CCATGAAACAAGGATTATTGTTGACCAAAAACAAACTCTGTAAACATGCATGTTGTCCTGCACTTTTAAAATACACATTTTACAGCGATACCTTCATTTCTGTATTGATACTAGCAAAAGAAAAGGCATTGAAGGAAATATGTGGTTTGTATTTTCCTAGCTCTGGACGTCAGTTATATAAGATATTATTACGTTGGACACATCACAGAAGGTGTTGACAATACACAAGTACAATAAACACAAATGTACAATTGTGTATTTATTTATTTAAATGCTTTTATCAATTTACTACAACTATGAATTACTTTGTAACCATGGTTGTGCAAATAATACTGTTTTACTTATGTACATGACTAAAAACAGGTCTGATTATAGGTCTACTTGAAACATGGCCAGTCAGATGATTGGACATGTGTCTGACATTTTTGTAAAATTATCGGCTTTTAACAATTTATCTTTTTTCTTGTCACCGCCTTTCAAGACCTCTGCAATTAATGTGGTGAGTACCGTTTCATCATAACTAACAGAACTGATGAGCAGAACTACAAAAATAAAAGACATGTTTTAATAAACCAAACATTTCCTTTAAAAAGTAATGATTTTGTGTTTGTCTTGTGTTTCATGATTTTGAGTTAGCAAATCTCATAATTGTGGGGAAAAAAATAGGTTTAAATTTTTTTTACAGAGCCAGGGGAGAAAAAACTTTGAACTTACAAGAATAAATTTATAAATCTGCAAGAAAAAACTCGCCAATTCTCAGAGATTAGAGTCTTTGCCAGATAATCTTACTAATATGTACATTTGAATTTTTGTGAACTCAACCCATGTAAAAAAAACGCATAAATCTGACATTTGGATAAAACAACCAGACGTCACATGTAAAATGCCAGATGTAGCTTGATCAGTCATATTTAGCATGGAAACAGAAAGCAGTAAAAACACCTAGAACATATGGCTCTCTGTATAAAGTGGACTTGCGAATTAGGCTGCACGTTTCAGCATATGGCAGAACCGATTGGTGGGGGTTGGGCAGTGATCTAACCCTCAGTTTCTACAGTTCTGGAAACGGGTGGATGGACTATTGGTGAATGTATCAGCAGCTTACATTATTGCATACCATAGAGAGAATTGTAATTTCTTTGTGGATTCGTCTACCATGACAGGTGGTTGCATGTTGCACATAGAAACAAGTACAATTTTTAGCTCAAAACTGGGATTCCCAGAGCCTGGTGTATAATTTTGCTAATTCTCTCTGGCTCTAGGCGTTGCAAGAACTAAAGAAATGAACTGAATCAAAAATGTTTTTGATATAAATGGAATATGATGTGTGAAACCGTAATGCAGGGATAGTTTCTTTGCTGGTTCTTTTTGTGTTTATTATTATCATCATTCAACAAATCCCAGGAAAAGACCAAAACCAATAATGTGTTGGGCCAGAAGTACTTGTCAAGTGGTCAAATAGCTTGGGAAACCCCTCCTCCCAAACTTGTCTGACATCAGATGTGTACGAAACAGACGAGCCAAAGTTCAGACCCATTTCACACTTTGATTGGTCAGCTGGTGGCCTAGGGCTTTAGGTGCTAATTATTAACTGTAACATCCCCAGATCGCGTCCAGCAAGAAACTGTTGTTGCATGTCATTAGCTGCACTCTTTCTCACCTTATTTTCCATGATCTCTCAAATATCTACTGTGGTATACAAGAATCAACCCCCCGTCCGGTTTCTGGACAACAATGGCGTGTGCCAGAAAGCATGCTGTGTTACTGTGACAACCTGCAGCTGTCAGCTTTCATTTGGAGCTTTTTTATGTTTATATCCTAATATTTTTTAATATGTTTGAAAATGCAATATTAAAATGTACTTAATAGAAATGTCGCTTTATAACACGTTATCAAAAATATACAGTAAAAACATGGACATAAATCTTGCTGCCCCGTTGGCCTGTCTATATGTCTTTCCATGGTTCTATGGCACCTACTTTGGGAACCACTAATTCACACGTTGATCTATGATCACTTGTCTTTCATTAATTCTCACTTTGAGACATTTCAGCTATGCAGTCCATTACTCATCCAAATTTAAAGATCATGCCCTGTTTGAGACTCCACTTGCCAATATTGCTGGTTGAAAGTTTCATGCCCCACTGATGACATAAAGGTTGTGACAGCCCCAGTCAGGCAGGGTCACATGTATGAGTAGACTATTGTTGGTCAGTTTGAGTATCAAAGTCAGGGGGGGTTGGGTACCAGCGTTTGGTATCATAAAAACAGCCCGGACAAGTCATGTGGGTGGGGGCTGAGCTGCTGAAGGAAGGATTTAACATTCCTGCGTGACTGATCTTCACTGGCTGAATTCCAGAAGGTCGCCATTGTAACATTACAGCACTGACTGCAGTGATAAACAACTGATAGTTATCACACAGAAGTTCCAGTGGGCTAATAAAACTCTTGCAGTTTAGTACAACAACTTCTATTTTTGCAGTTTGCATCCTGACACCACGATTCATTCATATTTTGGATAATGACCTTGTCTTGACCTAACATGGGGTTTCCAGATATGTATTAGTCATGGAGTTGGATATTTTGTCATTTGCTGGAGACCGTTGTAGGTTAACAATAAATGGGATCATACTGTAGGCTTGCACAATGAGATTTCCAATCCACAAAGAGATCTTCTTGTGTTCTCAAAAATAGAAAAAGTGTCTCAAATTTAAATAGCAACTTTTGACATTTTACAAATTTAAAACATATCAGTTGAGAGTAGTCCACAGCTTAGATATTCTGCTTAGCAGTGTGGTCTGTGGAGTAAAATACTGACTTACTATGGCACTCTTAGCAGTGTATAGGATCCCACCATTATTGATTTCTATTGTGTGTGTTTGAGTGTGTGTGCGCCTGCCTACATTTGTTTGAAGTCTACCCTACCCACGGCCTTGCTTTCATTTCTCCTTCAAATATTCATGAAAGGCCAAGCCTCTCATGTTGGATTCTAGGTATTCTGTTCACCAATAACTAATATTACCATAAATCCTCACACACTACAATGTACCTTGATGATTACAACACAAAGAGAAATGCAGTACATACAACATTTAATGTCAGTGTGCACACCGAAGGCACAATTGACCTTATTCCACTATGCCCCATTTAGGACTTATGTAACACTGGATTGTTTTAATTGGGCACTTCTGACAGTAATGATTATACTGAACCTGGGGCAATGGCCAAAATTAAATTTGTAGGGACAACACAAGCTAAATAGCCCTGATATGGTTGAACTGTCGGCTTGTTTGTAACCTGCCCAATCATGACCAGGGGCGGGCAGTATTTATGATACATATATTTAAGTGTGTATTTATTTATTTGTATTTGATAGGGTTGATGACAATGGCTTCATATTTTGTATCAAAATACTTAAAAATACTGTAGTACATTGTGAGAAGTCTATGTGATGAATGCTGCCTCTGATTGGTGCCTACTCAGTAATTTGGCTAAACTTGTTGAATTCAGAACAGAAAACTGATCCTGACCAGAAGAAGGTCAAGGTGAGAAACGTGCAGGTTTCCAGCTTTCCATCTGTTTTTAGCATAAATTGCTACAATTCTTAACCCACCCTCTTCAGTTTCGGTGTTCATTTTAGTAGCCTAGGCTAAATCATTTACCATTTTATCTAATGTTCTAGCTAACTATTTGACCCGAGTAGCAGCCCTCGCAGTTCACGTTACCTTGCTACTTGAGTGCTTACTTATTTTCATTTTCATCGGTTGTGAATGAAAACATTATAATAAAGCGTTTCAGAGCAAAGTGTTAGTTAAACATTAAACTGTTGGTGACTTTAAAACTAACCCTCAGCTGGGTGATCACAGTGAATACATGATCTGTTAACTGGTTGCCTGCCAGATTTATACATGACTCTTTGCTCTCAAACTTTGTCCACTTTTAATCAGCTGAGTCAGTGTTCTGGTGAAGGGAGAGATCAATAAAGCAAAGTGATTTTGTGGCACCTTTGAAATGTAATTTTAGTATAATTAAAATACAAAACTATAGTACTTAATTTTTATACATTGCGTTAAATTAGAATTTGGTATCTTATTGTAAAATACATTTTGATGTAATATTGCACATCCCAAATTATGACCACACACGTATCTCCCTGGTGGCCCTATGTTTTGCAACATTTTGGATGACACATCAAAGAAACCAGTTTGCTTGAAGCACTGAGATCTTTATTGCTGGTGCTTACTGCCACATGATTATCAGAGAAAATAATCATGTTAAATAGGAATACATTTATGTTTCCCATGAACCTTCATCTTACAAAACTAAATGTAGTCTGCGCGCCTGCTCTGGCATCACTGTAAATCTGAGCTGCACCCGATGTCATTAAAACTGAAATGTAAGTGAACTGTAGACACCGAGAAGTAGTGCTCATGCATGGACTGTTGAGGGGACAGCTTAGTGATATATTGTAAAGGCCCTGATGTCAGTTTTTCCCCAACATGCACAGTGTTGTTGTTCAAATAACCTTGCTACATATTGCAATCCAAGACATTTCTACATACCTCACATTTACCTTTGAGTTGAGTCAACACTTTTGTTTTTGTATCAGTTTTAACAAAAAAAAAAAAGAAGCTTCACAAAGACTGGCTTTATTTCATGGCCACTGGGTTTCTTGATATTGTCCACCCCCTCTTACAGCTATAAATGTATGTGTAACAACCTGCAAGTATGACTCATTCACTATCGTGTTCATCACGTCCTGGCAGCGATCATTTCTAGATAACAGCAGCTGGTTAGAACGTGGGAGCACTGCTGATGTGTTTGAAGACATGTCCTGACAATACTGAATGGATCATGCACCTGTCAGACATCATGTTCTCCCAGTTCCTCTAGTGCATCGTGACTTTGAGTCAGAGTCGCACAACTCCGCTTAGCCAAATTCTCTCAGTCTTGAGTCAATGTGTCACAAATAAGAAGAGTGAATGAAAAACAGAGACACGTTTTCAGAACATAAGTCCAAAGATGCTCAATAATTTATTTATATGCTGACATTTTAAATGTACACGATATAAAAACAGTTTCTTGTTTGAACCAACCATTCAGCCGACCCTGAAATACACCGACCTGTGACAAGCAAACAACTTTGGTGAGGAGTGAAAAACAATCTAAACTTGCACAGCTGGATTCAGCAGCCTCAGTGTGTCAGTCTGTAAATGTCACTTTGTAGTCCCAATGTCACACCAAACTGAACACCGGGCACTTTCTAAACTACAATAATCACAATAGTCTTCTTTTGATCAACAAAAGTGTTGTCTTAATATTCCCAAGCAGGTATTTGGGTGAACATCATGCAACATAAAGATTTAGAGCAACGTGTTTCATTGAAACTCTGAAAAGAACAGGAGCTAGGCACGGGCCAGGCCTGCAATTTTCTGTTGGCACTACAGTTCCTACAAGTAGTGCTACAAAATATCCTTCAGTATTGGAGTGAGTGCATCAGTGAGTGTTCAACATATATTGCACAGCTGTATGTCTCTGTCGTGCACCTTCAAGGGTGGGAAGTGAGGAGAGGGAAGAGTGCAGAGCAGAAACAATCCCAAAGGAAGAATGTCTGCTCAAATGTCTAGAGGGTGAAGGAATGTGTTCTCAGCTACAGACTTGAAAGCCAGAGTTTGATCTTGGTTGAAACTTCCCAACTTGTGTGACTGACAGGCTCCCCTCTGCTTTCTCCCACTGAAGATCCAAAAGTCTCACAGACATGGCTGCTCAGAAGGTCCTCAGACAAGCAGTGGTTAAAAAATAACCTCTATCCCCAGCACTGCTGCCATCCTCCGCCTCATCTCTTCTTCTTGCTGTGTCGGAGCATCTTCTTCCTCTTCAGGATCATCTCGTAGAGCTTCTCCAGGCCGGGCTCCAGGCCCTGACCATCCAGCGCCGAGCAGCCCTGTGAGTGGTGCAGCGTGGAGGAGCTCAGCTCATGGAGGGCCAGCACCTTCTCCACCTGAAACACAGAGGCACAACACAGGATGTCAGTTCAATAAACAAGATGGGCTTTAGTCTTTATTTAATCTAGTGGAGCTAGACTACCTGTTAGTTGCCAAGAATTATTAGCGGGCAAAGAGGTGGACATTAGAGGACAGTAAGATAGCTAGCTAATAAAAAAGTCCATCATCACACACACACTGTGGCAGGGCTGGAGTCATTAGAGCTGAAAACATTCATTTAAACAATTCATTGATTGGCCAATATACAGAATGAATTCATCGATTTGCCATGTTTTGTGTCTTGTGGTAAGTTAATATATCTGTGTTTGGGACTACTGGTTGGACAAAAGTATCTAAAAAATTGTGATGGCAATGTCTCACAAATCTTTGACATTTTATATACTACATAATTAATTACAAAATAACCAGCAGTTTAAATATAAATGCTAGCATGCTAGCATGTTAGCGGCGTAAACACCAACACTCCCCTGGGGCTTGAGCTTCCAGTCCAGGCAGAGTCAGCTAGGCTAATAGGGCTGCTAGCTACACAGCTAACTGAGGTAACTAGCTAACAGCAGCTAGTTAGCAGCAATTAGTTGATCCAAAATCAGTGAATATAGTTATATAAAATCTGTGTTTTGTGCACATCTTGTACCTACACCAGTGTCTGCATAAAATGGCTAGTATAAGATAGCCTAAATAAGGATTTTATTTAAGTGTGAATCATGCAGCTACTCTAGTGGAATCCCAGAATGAAATGAGCATATTGTTCCCTTTAACTAAATTATGCCACATTTTCTGTCAGCTGACTCATCAATTAACTGAGATCATTTCAGCTCTACCTACACAACAGCAAGCCATTCGTGTAATAATTACCTCTGAAGCAGACATGGCTCCATCCAGGTCCTGTTTGTTTGCCAGAACCAGCACGGGCACCCCTTGGTTCTCTGCCAACCGGGTGATCCGGTGGAGCTCCACCTTGGCTTCCTCCATGCGCTCCGCCTCAGCTGCGTCCACCACGAACACCAGCCCGTCTGTCCTCCGGGTGTACGACTTCCAGAGGGGCCTCAGTTTCTCTTGACCGCCGACGTCCCACACCTGTAACATGGTGGTGTTGGTTTTCCCCATGGGCACTTTGATCCGCTCCATGTTAAAGCCTTTGGTGGGGATCGTCTCAACAAACTCCCGTAGCTTGAGTCTGTAGAGGAGGGAGGTTTTCCCTGCAGAGTCCAAACCTATCACCACTATGTGTAAAGACTGGAAGCTGGGGAGGAAGGCCGTGCTAGGGGCAATTTCTGTTAACTGGTTCCCCATGTCTATGTCCTGTGAAGTGGAATAATCCCTCTAAAGATTTATAGGACTAACTTATTTCCTTTGGCAGGTCCCACTGTCTTGCTGTTTTCCTGGGTCCTTGTCTCACTTGCTTTCTGTGTCCTTGGCAGCACAAAAAAGTGTTTGTCTGGAGACGCTTTGAAGGCAGCAGGGAGGAGACTGGCTGGAGAAAAACACACTCCTGGCCTCACTTCAAAGGCTGGTGCAGGAGGATACTGGGGGACAGGCTGTAGTCACTGTGGACCTGAGACAACAGAAGAGGGGGAGGAAAACGTGAGTCAGCTATTTTAACAAGGGCACTGGGCTGTCAGTAATGAGCCCAGCAGAGACTTAGCGCAGCTCTTCTCCACCGTCTGGCCAGGAGAAGCCAAACTGAAAAATGTTCCCTTTTTCAAGTTTAGAAAAATATGAGTGCATGTTGAATACAGACTGCAGGTTTAAATTCAGTGCAACAATCGTTTAAAGGGCAAATGTATTAACTTGATATAAACTCTGTTATAAACTGCCGGTATGCTTTTGTTTTGTGTCTAGCAGACTGCACTGTTCATCGTGACCCGTTGCATTTGTATGGCACAAGGCATTGTCAGCACAGGAGCTAGTGTTTTCTGTTTCTAGCTGTATCCTCCACAGAATCAAAAAAAAAAAAAACAGGGTGAAAAAGAGGCACCACCGGCGGAGAAATCCTGCGGTGCCTCTTCTGGCTTTTAGTAGAATCCACTAATGTAGCCTAGGCGTTGTAACGTTAACGTTAATTTAAAAGCCGCCTTAAACAACAAAAGTTAGCCTGACAGATTATGAAGAATTAAACAAGTGACATCAAAATGGTTGATACATTTAGTACAGTTTAGTTACAAAGTTAAAATTCCTTTTTAAAGTACATTATCCTTGGAAGGAAAGCGACATCTTCAAAGGACTGGTGTCGAGAGCGAATCCGCGCTCCAACAAAGTCAACACACGTTAACAGTTAGGTTATTTGGATTTTGGTGTTAATATATCTCACCTGTTAGCACTTTCAAGGTCCTTAAACTAGTCAACATTGTTGCTCTGCGACGAATTTGCGAACAATATCCAAGTTTTAACGCCTAAATAATCCAGATAGAGTCGTCATAAACACCGCAGCGTTTGAGGGTGGACGCTACCTCGCACGTCCGACGAAGACTGGCAGCAGGAGGAGGAGCGCCGCGTACAGCCCGACCAACGAACTGCTGACGTAGCAGCAGGAGGCGGGGCCGAGAGCGTGCAGGGTTCTTCACTTTCCTCACGCGGTAAAATATTTGTGTGATCAAATATTCTTTATTATCTGAAGCACAAATAAAATGTTGTTGTTGAATTAGGTTGCTCATCCTGAGTTTATATGCGGCTTGAGTAAAACTGCAATACCAGTATCAAATTCAAAGGTTATATAATTATGTGTACAATAATTTGGATTATTATTATTAAGGAAATATTAACTTGTAAGCAGCTTTTGATCTTGCAGCAGGTCAATGTGGAGCCAATAGGAACTATTTTACATACTGTTTGTCTGTAACACTGCATCATATTTTTAAAGTTGACCACAGGTGGAAATAGGTGGAAACCTGCAAAGTTAATAGAAACTATAGTTTCAGAATCAGAATTAGGCAGGCTTACACCTAGAATGAATTTCTTTTGGTGATTTTGTGCATTTCAATAAACAGAAAATATATATATATATTTAAATGTTAAATTGACATGGTATAGAAAATCTAAGGAGAATAGTAATACAGAATATGTGCAAAAAATACAAAGTCTGAATCAGGTTTACATTGGCAATTTACAGTATGTATTGTAAAAGGGAGGATAAGGGGACGTGAGAGTCAGTTTCAGTGGGGACACAGGCCTTGTTGATGAGGCCAGCTGCAAATGGAAAGAAACTGGTCTTGTGGTAAAGTAGTACAGTAAAAACTGTACTTCTTAACTCTGAATTGGAGACAGAGAAGTGCAAAGTAGAATAAAATGGAAATGCATGTAAATGAAAATTACAAAGGTTTAACTTCTAATAGCAACTTGTACTGCTGCGGTGGAGCTGATTTGACTGAGAAAATTGAAAGGGAGCACCAGGAACACACTTCATTTGTGCAGGCAGAGCGATAAAAGAAATGCTGAATGAGAGATTGCATTGAGTAAGAGGAGCCAGTGGATCAGAGGCTAGCTCAGACATAACTCCATGACTTTGGCTGTCTATCATTTAAGTGCATACACTTCCTAAGAAGAAACTTCACCAGCAGCAGCCACAGAATAAGCAAAAGCTTATCATCTAATCATTATGATGCATTACTGCTTCTTCCCCTCAGTGCAAGATGTGTTCAAACTAAAAAGAGCTATAAAAGGAGCAAGTTAAAAACTGCCACAGCAGCTCAGAGTGCCAGCAGGCCATCATGGGGTCAGTGTGAGCCATCTATGACATAATGGCTCAGCTGTATTGATTTGCATGATACTAGTCCACGTAGTTCTTTCCTTGACACCCAACACTCATTATGATAACGATGTGTGTGTACATGTGTGTGTGAAACAAGTGATGACCTATTCTCACTTCTTTATTATGAAAGATGACTTTATTTAACTTGCACTAATCTACGGGTTTCGCAATTGCCCCATGGGGATAAGTAAAGTGTTTTGAAATTGAAATTGAAATTGAAATTGACTGACTGACTGGAAGCATGTTGACGCTTGACATAAATAGAAACTAAACATGGCAGACACAATTGATGTGGTTGTTTGATCCCTCTCTGGAAATACAGCAGCTATAAAAGTCCTGATTTGAATAGGATGATGTTGTTGTCAAATTATGTGATTATATCAACATCACGGAAGTTTCCGACACATGTGTAATGTCTGTGTGTGTGTATGCATGACAGGCTGAAAGTCTAAATCATGTTATCATAATCATGTTGTCAGGTGACAAGCACACAGACGTACACAGGCACACGGGGACATAAAGTACACACACGGGCTAGAATTAAAATGCATGGAGGGTTTTCAGATTGGAAAACTGTCTTGTCACTTCAGCAAACATCACAGACCTAATTATCTGTCTTTCTGGGTTGCTGGAGGGACTTTTGGAGCCCTGAAATTGAAATAATGAAAAGCTGTCAAGTATCGAAAGTTGGCATAAACCAAGTACTTGGTCAGAATCCTTGCTTTACCTCATTTATATCCTATTTTGCTAAATAGCTGTATTTTATTTAGGATAAGGTCCTTTAAAGCTACATTATATTACGACAGAATTCACACAGCAAAATGAGGTTTGTAGAATAAAACATGATATTTCTTCAAGTAAGGCACTAAGACTTTTTGGTATTTTTACCTAAACATAGGTACTGCATTGGCACCGGTATCAAACAATTGGACTAGGGCGTTATCACACTGAGCAGCTGAGAAAGAATCACTCAGACTCTTTTCTTAAGTAAAAGTACCAATACGAAAAGTGTAAAAATACTTATATGTAAAAGTCCTTCATTCAAAATTGTACTTAGGTAAAAGTTCATAAGTATATTAACATATGCACCAAAAGTACTCATTATGCAGAATGACTCATTTCAGAATACTATATATTATATTACTGGATTATAATTATAATTATTATTATCACTTTACCTTTAATTCAGCTGGTAAAGGTGGAGCTCATTTTAATGACGTCATCTACTGCTGGGCAGCTCCTGACCTTGAGTGCTCTGTTTATTTTAAAGCAATTTAAAAATATCAGTTATACAACATCAAGCCCTAGTTTTGGAGCTGGAAGAGAATCCAAACAAAAAACAAAAAAACTCAGACACTCTTCTGTTGGTCATCCAGACTGAAGCCATCGACCTGTCTGTGTTCTAGTAGGAATTCTGTAGATAAACCCTCAAAAACAACAACCTTTATGGTTCAAGAGAGGTCACTTAACAACTACACTAAATGTTCCTGCCCAACGAGGGATCATTTTCCTCATCTTTCCTGTCCTCATCCAAAAGTGGTGAATTTGCATAACTGATCCCAGAGCAGTCAGCCATCAGTCCTCATTGCACAGGGTAGTAGCACACTCTGTTGTCAGCAGGAGGAATGGCAGCCCTGACAGATACACAAACTCCTGACTGGTCTAGCTGTGAAGTGAAAGTATGTGGAGCTAAATGTGTTTTTTATTCAGAATTCAAAGGAGAAGCTGAGAAGCAGACAAGAGTGTGTCATCCTACCATAGACAACTGGATATACCATGGCACTAATACTGTAAAAGGTTTGTTTTGTAAAAGCAACAGATTACATTACCGTATGTTAAGGCTCTCTTAGAAAGCTTGGTTCAACGCTACAGGAGTAAAGATTAGAACAGCCAATAACCCTGTAAATGTACATACTGTATTAGCCATTTAGCCATGTGATAATGTAATATTTACTTATACATTCTTATATATTCTAGTAAAGGTTCATTAGTTACTGTCTGGATAAACAAAATGTCTATCGAACAAATAAGACCGTGAACACAGAATCACAGAGCAGCACACACAGTGCAGTGGAGCTGCAGGAGGTGCTGAACAATGATTTATCCACCCTGCCTTTCTGTTTCTCTCTTACAAAAGCTGCCCAGGAGAGCATTATGTTGCCTGGAAACGCCACTTAACAAGGTCAGAGATAGGAGAGAGGTAAAGAGAGGCTGACATCTCAGCCTTCACCGGTCCTCCACTGAGGCTGCCACAGCTGCTTTCTCTCCAGGGCACAGGTCAGGTGAGTAAACCTGCTGGAATCTAAGCAGACCCTTCTGTTTATCCATATCCTGTTTGTTACAGCAAAGGCTTACCTTTTCTTCCTATGGTGTGTCTCACCTAAAATCATTATACATTACATATTAAGGACATACCAAACTGCATTTTATGTAAAAAAATTAAGCAGGAGCTTAATCATGCCTATTCAGACTCTAAAGATCTTTTGTTGCACAGTTAAGAACAAAATACCCATGAAGAGAATGCAGTGGACTGTGTGAGCTGTGTGATCTGGGAGAAGTAGAAAATAAGTCATATTTTCATGAAATGGGTTACAAAAAACAAAAGCCAAACATTCTGGTGTACAGTTGATCCAGTATCCGGATTTCTGCTTAATTTTGTTGTTGTTTTTAAGTTTGCTAAATAGGCAAGATGGGTTATTAATTATTCTTTACGTTTTCTACAGAGCAATATAATCACATCCTTTATAATGTAAGATTTTTGTTATACACACAAACATCTGAAAATCTCATTACGTAATTTTCATGAAATGGTATTCTTTTAACTTTGTGTAGTATTATTTGAAACTGTACACACTGCATTCTTTACCTGTTTTTTATATTAATTGTAAACCAATGCAGGCTGGACATATTTACATGGATTACACGGTAGTCGTAAGTTAATAATTGTCACTAGCTATTAGCTGTGATAAGATAATCAGTGAGTGCCAGGTGACAGTTTCACTGAGAGCAGGTGACACAAGAAAGAGATCAGTAATCAGGGGTAGTGGTTGGGAGTCTAAGTGTATCAGGTAACTCTTGATCAAATGGATGTGATTCAAAGACCAGCACAGAGCTGGGTAGACATGGTTTCCACTACATCTCTGTTTAGCACACAAATGGCACATGCCTCATATGTTGACTTGAATCACTGGCTTGTGTGACAAATAAAATATAATGTGTGCTAGCAGGTTTGTAAACAATACAGAAAGATAAACTCAAATTTCTGCTGACTCCAAACAAAAAAGTTCTGCCCTGTCCCTGTCAACACTTTAAAGCTGTGAAAAGCAATATATTGACATTTTGGGAAACACTTTCTTCCTAAAAGTTAATGAGAAGATTGACCACAGAGTTGTGTTTGTTACCAAACACAATTAACAAGTAGGAATACAGAGCTGCAGATCATTCCGTGAAAACTAAGTTGTTAATGTCTCCTCTAGCTGCTGTACATGATGTCGGCTATGCACTGGGAGGCCAGACGGCGTCAGAGTGTTCTGGACCGCAGGATGGCCAGAGACAAACAGAAGGTACATGTTGCACTAAGCTTTTAATATCAAGGTTTCCAGGTTGTGACACTAGTGGAATGTATGCTTTTTTTATGCTACTGCTTAAAATCGGTTCACTCCCTCCTGGTGTGATCACCATTAGACTACTTTGTTGTAATCACAAATGGAAGACATACTGAGATATTTCACTTAAGTAAAAGTAATACCTCAGAATAGTAAAAATACCCTGTTACATTAATGTGCAATGCTGGTAAAGGTGGTGCTCATTTGAATTATCTTATATGCTGCTTGTGAATTTCCCTCCAAGGACCTTAACGTTTACTAATACATCACAAATAATTTATTGATATTTATATTAATCTGAATCTGCAAAGAAACTAAAGTTTAGTAGAAGTATAAAGTAGCAGATAATAAAAACTCTTACAATTATAATTAAGTGCAGTACTTGAGTAAATGTACCATGGACATTGGAACTGTAACCACGCTATGAGAATTAGCACAACCGGAACCCAACACAGCCAGATCCTGTGGACATAAGGTATACATCCTAAGATGATATTCCCAGAAAAACTTTACAATAATGCCTTACCAGCTCAGGTAACTATCTGTATATGCCAATTTAATTTAAAGAGGGAAGGTTTTTTTAAATCTAAAACTACCTGAGCTTCATTGACAGGATCGCTGACGTATCAACAGTGCAGCAAGGTTAGGTTAAAATAGAACTTCTATAGTGGGTTTACTGTAGAAATCTGAATACATTTCTTCCTAAGTCATATGGACTGTTCTGCCTATGGTGATCCAGCTGTCTGTCTGGTCTACTACATTATTGAACACAAGCAGGGCTGATTGGAATCTGAGCAGGGACATGTGACACCCTCATGAGGTCAAACGTGTTTCCTGTGTGAATCTGACAGCTTGTATCATGTTGCAGATTTCCAGCACATAATCAAACACACTACATGTATGTGTTAAAGACCTGAATTAAGTAGCATTAACTTTAAATAAATGGAGACACAATTGAAGACACCCTGGCAAAATGTCACATACAGTACATGCACTTGAAAGACTAAGACTAAAAGTAGGTTTTAATGATATGAAATGTATCCAAAATGACTGATTTCACCAAAAGTTAAGGTATCCTCATGCAAAGGAAAAATCAATAGGGAAAACTGTTACTGTTACTGTTATTCTGTCAAAGTGACAGAGAACTACATCTTAGATAATCTGTGAGAGTGTTTCTCTGATGGGGATATTTAGAATGGAAAATATCTTAAGGACCTTCCATATTAAAGGTAAAGCTTTTGACCAATAGTAGCGCTATGAAGCACTGTTTTTAAGCATGGCTCCCCATTTTGTTTGTAAATCTGCAGGAATGCGGGGGGCATGGATACACGTGCTGCTTGCTTTACAGTACTTCAATGATCGACAGTCGGTGACACTAACACACCAATAAATGAGCCTGCACCGCCTCGTCCTCTTGCTGATGTGCTCAGCTGCATATGATGGCTTTAACTTAGCTTGGAAAATAACGACATGGAATTTATCAGACCACAAATTAGACAAGAATTAAGTTGGAAAAAATGGTAGATGAGTGGAGTGTTTCTGGGGGCCATTTTCTGGAGTTTCTAGATGGACAGATAGCTTTGCAGTTAGCACACTGCTAGTTACCCATGTAGCTAGCTGCCCTATTAGCTTAGCTGACTGCAAACCTGGGGAGTGTTAGTGTTTACATAGTTAGCACAGGAGCTTTGGACTGCAATGAGGAGGAGGTTTTCAGGCCCAGACTCCGAGATCCCAGTCCAGGCAGAGTCAGCTAGTTATAGCTGCACAGCTAACTGATCTAACTAGCTAACACCAGTTACTGTTAGCAGTAGTTAGTACAACCATCCTTCCATCAAGAATCTAATTAACTTTCCTTCACAACTGAAAAATCAACGTTCTGCAAGACATACTGATAAACGTCCAGAAAGAGTAGGCCTAGTCCTGAGCTGAGTAGTCTTGCATAGCGTCATAGTTCGTATAAGTTAGACAGACTGAGCGATGGACGCATGCCTGTACTTCATGGGCATGCTGTGCTTGAAGCAGATCATGGGGAGATGAGGAAACTGTATAAGGATATCTTTGCCTAGATGACCTAGCCAGGAAAGTAGAAAATATCTAATCTGTACAAAAACTAAAGTGTAAAAATGAAACAACATTGCTTCCAGTCTAATTGCTAAGCTGAGCTTAGCTCCTTATTTATCATACAGATCATAGTTTACACTACTTACTGAACTGATATACCTGTATTTTGGCTCAGGCGTGCTCTTCTTTTGTCTAATATTATTGTTATTACAATTTTGAAATACTTTAAATGATATGTATTTGGTCAGATGATGTAGATGGGAATTTACACAAAAGGTCCCAAAAATTTGCTGTTCAACCTAGCAAGGCTACTTGAAAATATTTGACTTGTGAACTCTGTGGGCAGTTAAAGACTATTTTTATTTTGACATGTGGTTATGGTAGGTGTGATAATGCACTCATATAATAAATACAAGTAACACATTTCTTTGAGTCCAGTATCTACCCTCCCTATATCTATATCATGCATTGTTGTGTACTCTAAGTAGGATATCATGTTAGCATGGAGCACTGAACACAATGTTTGCAGTGATGTTTGCTGATTGGGTCTTATAAAGTAGAGATTATTTAGTTTCTAAACATTTTGCCTCCCACAAAATTTTGCATATTCTTTTAACTACGCTATTTCCCACAGCTTTCGCTGTTGCAGGGCTCTGAGACCAGCTGCAATACAACCGAATCAAACACAACACAAGAGCAAACAGGTATCATTATTCTTGACATGGATATATTCTGAACAAGGTTGAACAATGTACCTACCATCATCATCCTCCAAAGAACATATGTGGTACATACTTTTTTGAGAACAGCTATGAAGATGTGGTGAGAAACTGGTAATTATTTACCCTTTTTCCACTACAGGAACATTACTTAATGTGTATCTATTATAATTGGTTTGCTGTTTCCACTGTTCTCCGCCCACTTTGGGGTTGAGTTTCTGGAACCAGGTTTATTCCTGACCACATGTACAGGTCAATTTACAGAGTGGTATGCTACTGGGTCTTTCCTGTAACAGCTCAAATGCTGGATTTTGTAACAGTCTCTAACACCCAAATGTTGGAATGAATGAAGAGGCAAAATAAAAATAAAATGCAGAGAAATACAATAAAAAAAACACAATACAAAATACGGCAGTGGGCTATGACTATCGACAGAAAACATAAAATAAATCATGTTAACAACCATAAACCCACTTATATCAACATCAGTGTATAAAATGTACAACTGTAAATGACACTTACACTTCACCAAGTTCCACCAAACCCACGTGGAACTTCCTGGAGATCGCACAAATCAATGTACTTTCAACGTCAATTACCGTCAAACAGAGTTACACTTTATGTAAAACCTGTAACAGTTTCCGAGTAACAAAATACAATATCAGGGTCTAAATGCATGTTAGCATTACCATGAAATTTAGTACACAATGGTCGACGATTGGCGCCCAAAATCCCAGCATACAGTTCCAGTAGCATTTTATACACTTGCACATGAATATTTTACAAGATATGCATGCATTTACCTACTATTCTACACAACGAAGTCTCCGCACCAACCCCTTGTACGTCCATCGCACGTTAACAGGAAGAAAGACCATGATGCACTTGGCGGAACAACAACAATACTACTCAATGCTGTCGCCTTGTGACCAAAGTCTGCCATCACATGTACGACTGTGGAAATCCACTTACAATCTACTTCACACTTACTTTAAATTGAACAATGTTACTCTCAAACAAAACAACAAAGAACACATGTATTCACATTTACACAACTTTTAGAACTATATTAATCTAAAGGGGGAAAATCACCTATGACTAGATTTACCACCCGGCTACATTTGGAAAGAGACAGGCAAGCTGTTACCTGTCTTTATGCTAAGCTAAGTTAAACTGTCTGCTCGCTCCAGTTACATTACAGTGGAGTAGGTAGTATCGATCCCCAAAAGTCAAACTGTTCTTTTAAAAACAGAAGAACATGTCCAGACCATCATTAATATTTGGGGAGAGGAGGTCATTTATGTAGCCAGGGCAGTGACTTTTGGATTTTGGCACTGAAAACAAAACCTGAACTGAAAAGGGAAAATTGGCATGGAAACACAAAAAGTAATTTTGGCACTGAAGAAATATATTCTTTTGTTTTTCAATGATTTCAATTCTGTATCTGGGAACAACAGGAAATGAACAACTTCTATGGAAGCATATAAGGGACTGAATTAAAATTATCATGCAAACTTGAAAATGAAAATTTAATCCCACATAACATTATCATTTCCCACATATGTATTTGTTATTTAGGTAAAATTTTTAATGAAAATGCAATCATTTTCATTTTCACATACTTGTGTGAGCTAGGACCATATTAAAATGAAAATGGAACAGCATTTGACATTTCATTTTCAAAGACTTAAGTGCAATTTATACTTCTGCGTCAAATCGACGGCGTAGGCTATGGGGCTACGCAGAGGCTACGACGTCGCCTGACGTGCACCTCCTTCAAAATGTAACTACACGTCGAGTCGATGCAGAGCGTAAGCTCTGTGATTGGTCGGCTGGGTAGCCTCGCAATGCCTCCGAGCCGACCCCGCGCTTTAAAGTAACATTTACTAGCGACCAAAATGGTGGCTGTAACACAGTGAATCAATATATTTGACCGTCGCAACCCGAGCAAAATGACTCGTTTCGCTATCATAATGTGATCCATTCGGTCGGTAACATTTGAAAAGGCTACACCAGCAGCACATATACAGTTTTACCCCCATTTACATTAGCGGAGCGCTAAACCGGAAGTTAGCCTCCTCGGCCGGCAAAAGTCAACACAGTGGACGCTGTAGCGCTGCTGCCGACTAGCGTTTGGGGGTGTAATTGCAGAATGACGGACACACCTACGCACAAGTATAAATGCATGGCTACGGCGTAGGTACACACGTAAACCCTACGCAGGAGTATAAATGGGCCTTTAGTCTGCCTTATAGTTGACTATATTCAAATGTAATGAGTGAAACAGCGCCCCCAATCTATTGCATTTACATGTCCATGTGTTCATGGTCTTTTTAGGTCAAAATTTAAATGCCATTTCCTAACTATGTGAAAATACAAATGAGAACAGCATTTCACATTGCATTTTCAAAGACTGACTCTGCTCTATAGTGGACTTTATTCAAATGCAATGAGTGAAACAGCGCCCCCAGTCTATTGCATTGCATTTACATTTACAAGCAGCTTTCCAAGGGACACAATGAAAATGAAAATGCAATCTGTCAGTCCTCTCGTCAAGGCGGGTCCTCAGTTAAGACTCCTCTTCAGTTGGAAGGCCACTTCAGGTTGTCATGGTTCAGTTGTGTATCTACCATCACACAACACTAGGCTGTAACTTCAAAACCAAATGAAATCTATCAACCGAACCGCTCAAGGATGGATCTATACTGACTTCAAACTTGGAACCTGTAAGTTGTTTTTATGTAGCTTTTCTGTTTTTTTGAACACTTGCCTGTTGAACTTGGCGTTATGCATATTCTGCAGCTAATGTGGCTAACTGTAACGTCAAGCTGTTTCTGTTGTGTATTGTGACATTAAGCCCACACGCCGTCGCCTGTATGTGTGTCTGTTGCTGCAGTAGCCTATGTAAGTTTACCTGATAGATGCAGGTGCATGGCTACACACTTGAGATGATATTGGACTAAACTGTAAGTGTTTCCTGCAGACAGGCCAGCAGAGGTGTTCCCTGCCAGGCTGACAGAAGAAAACAGAGGACTCCTCACTCCTCCTCAAGTACAGGTTTATACATAGCTGTTGAACTCATGTTAATACTGCTATTAACAGTGGGTTTTTTATCCTGTTAATTTCTGTATTTTTCTGTAACATAAAGTAGACGTTATTTCCCACTTTTACCACTAGAGGGAATATACGGTTTAGGGAGTCATTTTAGGAGCAGTCGCAACACTGTAATGTTAGTGCTTTGCTGGAATGTGAGTCTGAACAGACCATGTGCTGGTAACAATCTACCAATCTGCTTGCTTATGTTGCAGGTAAGCAGACATGATAAATGTAAGAAATGGTGTCTGCAATGCCTGTAACATGACTTTACATGCAGCTGTAGAAAACAGGAGCCACAATACCAATCCGTGTAAATATAATAGTGTCAAATGTATTTCCTTTAATAAAATGTTTAGTGAGTAATGTTAGCAGCAGTCGCAACAGGTAGTGCATTTCTGCATGAGTCTGAACAGACCTTGGACCTGGAAGAGGAGGAGGGGGAAAGCAGGACTCCTCACTCCTCTTCAAGTACAGGTTTGTACTTAGCTGTTGAACTCATGTCAATACTGCTATTTATGTCTCTGACACGATGTTAGCTTAGTATCTATGCATTAACTCTCACCATAAATATACACTGTCTTTTATATGTCTTTACAGATAGCATACATTTGGGAGAAGTGGTGTGAGCCGAGTGAAGTAGAAAGTATTTGCTAGGAGATAGAGAGATAACATATGAAAACACGGAGGCCTACAGTTAGTGTTAGGTTGGGGTGTCAAGTAAGATATGAAACAAACAGAAGATGTGAAACTGGTAAAAATACAGATATTAAACAAACAAAAGTATAGTGATTACTGTGGCCACCCCTTGTCTTATACACATGTACACACATGTGGCAGAAATGAGTGCAACATGCTGTAAGTTACCATTTCAGCACAACTGAAGGTTACTGATCTTACAAAGTCTTATGCACTTCCTCCTCCCTTCCCTTTCTATGTACTATGTCACTAACCAAAGTATCTGCAGCTACTGTGCAGACTGTACTGTGTCCATGTTTCAGAGAAATTTGGATATTTATACAAGTTATTTGTCAGATAATTATTGCCATATGGTTTTAAATTTTTCAGATGCAGATTCAGTTTGAGATCATTTGATATAATTCTGTCAACATATAATAAAGTTTATGAAATAAGAAAATGCCTTCCTTACAGACTTATTCACTACTATTAGTAAAAGTTTTTCATCAACCCTTTGTGATAACATGATATCTTTGTAATACCACAGGTCCAGTACTAGTAAAATTTAAAAAGACCAAAACCTAAAAAATAAAGCACTTTTTTCATGGACAATAAAATGGGAATTTAAATTGGGTATTTATAATGCACGAAGTAGCAAAGCCATAACATTTATACAGAAACTCCAGATCATGTCCCATCTGGGTCACAGTGGTCATCATGACGCATCTTCCTGGGGATGCTTAGATTTTCCTGATGCTGCTGGCCGCTGAGTTGTCTTCAGGCCACGAAAACACGAAAGAGTCACCGTTACTTTCAAACCAAACTCCTGAGTGAAAGAGGCCCAGTCCATCCTGGGTGCAGCAGCACCAACCGGAGTGCCAGCGTTTGTATTTAAACTCAAACATAGTATTTCTTGTTTGCTTGCTGGAATTCAGAAGAGGAGGTTTTAGTTAAGAAATGGACTCTTGTGGACATTTGAGATAATGACTTAATTATTGGTGGTTGAACTGTGGGTTTTGTAATGATCACTGACTGTGTAATGAACTTTGTGTTTATTGCCATCAGTAGGTACCTGATGATTTATTATTTCACTCCATAACTTGACTCTTAAATTAACTTTAAGAGAAATTATGTGATACTTCTCCACTACTCACCCACAACCCATTTTACTGTTCCTTTCTAATCTGCATCCAACATGGCTGACAGATAAAATAAAACTAATATATTCAGCTAGGGCTGGCCATAACAATTATTTTTAGAACTGATTAATCTAACGATTACTTTTTCAATTAGTCGATTAATCTAATGAATGATTTTATTCTATGTATAGTATAGTGTATTCTAAAGAGGAAAAATGTAGCCTATTACTCGATTAATATATCAATTTATCCAAAATAAATATCAAAAACTAATTAATTAATAAATCAGTATTTTATTCAATCATCCTTAGAATAATGGTAATATCTTAAATATCTTAATACAATTTCCACGTCATTGATGTTGTGATAATAATAACTATAATAGACATTAATTAGGCTAATTTACTTAAAACTTTAAATGTTTCTGACCTGGATTTATTTCAACATAGAGTAATGCAGTATGATAATCAAATGTAACGATTCACAGACTGTACAGAGAGTCAAAGACTGACAGTCTGTAATGTTGAATTCAGCGGAGACATTACAGTGTTGTGTGACCAGTTGTGGCTGCTCCTAAAATGACTCACTAAACCGTATACTCCTTCTAGTGGTAAAAGTGGGAAATAACATCTACTTTATGTTACAGAAAAATACACGAAGAAACAAAAAAAAACACTGTTAATAGCAGAATTAACCTGAGTTCAACAGCTAAGTATAAACCTGTACTTGAGGAGGAGTGAGGAGTCCTCTGTTGTCTTCTGTCAGCCTGGCAGGAAACACCTCTGCTGGCCTGTCTGCAGGAAACACTTATAGTTTAGTTCAATATCATCTCAAGTGTGTAGTTATGATAACGGTTTTGCACTGTTCATTGCTGTAACTATTACAGCTATGTAGTTGATATGACAAACAGACTGACTGTTCCTATAACATTAACTGTGACGGAACTGCGGTATTGTCACTAATACTAGTATTGCAGTAATGTGAAGTATATCTCTGAATGAGAATGGGTTTATATTAGCCTGGGCTTGACACTGTCCAGCAGGACACTGATGTTACAGCTTTTGGGTATGAGCAAGTTAACGTTTTTTTGCATGTGCCATGCATCGACTAGGTAAATTTACATAGGCTACTGCAGCAACAGACACCCATACAGGCGACGGCGTGTGGGCTTAATGTCACTGTGACAGTCACAATACACAACAGAAACAGCTTGACGTTACAGTTAGCCACATTAGCTGCAGAATATGCATAACGCCAAGTTCAACAGGCAAGTGTTCAAAAAAACAGAAAAGCTACATAAAAACAACTTACAGGTTCCAAGTTTGAAGTCAGTATAGATCCATCCTTGAGCGGTTCGGTTGATAGATTTCATTTGGTTTTGAAGTTACAGCCTAGTGTTGTGTGATGGTAGATACACAACTGAACCATGAGAACCTGAAGTGGCTTTCCAACTGAAGAGGAAGTGAAGTCTTAACAGAGGACCCGCCTTGACGAGAGGACTGTCAGATTGCATTTTCATTTTCATTGTGTCCCTTGGAAAGCTGCTTGTATATGTAAATGCAATGCAATAGACTGGGGGCGCTGTTTCACTCATTGCATTTGAATAAAGTCCACTATAGAGCAGAGTCAGTCTTTGAAAATGCAATGTGAAATGCTGTTCTCATTTGTATTTTCACATAGTTAGGAAATGGCATTTTAATTTTAATTTTCACTCATTACATTTGAATAAAGTCCACTTTAGAGCAGGTTAAGCCTTTGCTGTTTCTATTTTCATATGGTCCTAGAATGCTCACAGTATGTGAAAATGAAAATGATTGCATTTTCATTTAAATTTTTACCTAAATAACACATACATATGTGGAAAATGATAATGTTATTGTGGGATTACATTTTCAAGTTTGCATGATAATTTTAATTTAGTCCCCTATATGCTTCCATAAACTTCACTATGTGTATTACGGCGGCTACGTCCGGAGTGGTAATGTGCTCAGTGCCACAGACACACAAAGTTTCAGCTTCATGAGAGGCCAGAGACGGCCTACTACTTTGATCCATAACAAGTATATCTTCTTCTAAACGTATCGATTTACTGTAAGCAGGGAATCAGTGTCATTCTGCTGTATGCACTTTATTACTATTATGTAAATGCTCTGTACTTGTATAGCGCCTTTCTAGTCTTTTCGACCACTCAAAGCGCTTTTACACTACATCTGCATTCACCAGTCATACACTGAGCCTAAGTGCTCAAACAGAAACTAGCATTCACACTCATTCATACACTGGCGGAATAGCCGCCAGGGGCAAATCGGGGTTCAGTATCTTGCCCAAGGACACTTCGTCACGCAACCAGGGGGAGCCAGGGATTGAACCGCCAACCTTCCGATTAACAGCCAACCCGCTCAACCCGCTCTACCCCCTACAGTATAAACACTTTTGATTTCTGATGTGGTCAGACAACTCGTTGTATGAACTAGTTCTGATCGAGGATCGAGCATAACCAACACTTTGTCGTTTGTTTTTGACAGGAATTGTGCGATTACAGGAAGAGCAGGAATTAGGTGATCTTTCTGAGATTTCTTTCTGAAGAATGTGGCCAAACTATTGAAATGTAATTTAAACCTGGCAGAGATCTGATCATAGTGTTAGTCTGGCTGATGCAACGTGTGCATTTACACCTGCATTTGCCCTGATCCAGATAAGATGTCCAGATACAGATCTCATGTCAATACCAGGTAGAAATAACAAGTCACTGGCCCTGACCATCCCCCAAACTACTTTGTCCAATATTAAATCACATAATTAATCATCTTTTTTATAATCTTCTATGGGATTTCGACTGTTGGTCTAATGCCGAGCGCTGATCATGTTTTTATGTATTGTTTCCAGCTGGAGGCCAATGTCCCCACTGTAAGGGCGACCTAAAGACTCCCGTCCATCACAGTGCAAAGATCCCCAACAGATACTCAGTAAGTATGAGAACAACGTGCTTGTAAAAGCAGAGCACATTTTTGAGTATTTTCAGAAAAAATAATCCTTGGTCATCTTACAGTCTTTACAGTACACCCAACAATGGTGAGGAAGACAAGGAACAACACTGCTCTCATAACCTCAATGGATTATTGGACCATGTTTGGAAGCTCTGAAACAGCAGCTCTACATTTGGTTTTGTTGAAACTGCATCAGAGAGATTATTGTGGTTCTATAAATGAATGGGATAAATATGATTAAAACATGCCTTCTCTGAAACTCTAACCTCATTCTTAAAACTTCAAGTGCAATATCCAAAAGAGTCAAATGCTTTTTCATAACACTATACTGCATGCATGGATTTTAAATTCTATTCTGGATCTTACAGAGAGCTAGTGCAGAGAAGCTAACACAGGAGAAATATGATCTCTTTTCCTGGTTACTGTCAGTAGACATGCCGCAACATCCTGGATCAACTGGAGAGTCTTTAGGGACTTATTCAGCCTGATAATGAGAAATTGCAGTAACCCTAACCCTAAAAATGCAACAAATGTGTGAACTAGTTTTTTGAGACAGGATGTTCCTGATTTTTGCAATGTTATGTAGGTGAAAAATGCGGTCCTTGAAGTTTGTTTAATGTGAGAGTTAAAGGATATGTCCTGATCAAAGATAACTCTGAGATTCCTCCCAATGGTGCTGGAGGCCAGGTCGATTCCATCCAGAGTAACTACACTGAACAAAATTATAACTGCAACACTTTTGTTTTTGCCCCCATTCATCATGAGCGGAACATAAAGATCTAAGACTTTCTCTATGTACACAAAAGGCCTATTTCTCTCAAATCTGTCAAAATCTGTGTTAGTGAGCACTTCTCCTTTGCCGAGATAATCCATCCACCTCACAGGTGTGGCATATCAAGATGCTGATTGGACAGCATGGGGATTGCCTTAGGCTGGCCACAATAAAAGGCCACTCCAAAATGTGCAGTTCCATCACAATGCCACAGATGTTCCAAGTTTTGAGGGAGCGTGCAATTGGCATGCTGACTGCAGGAATGTCCACCAGTGCTGTTGTTGTCGTGAATTGAATGTTCATTTCTCTACCATAAGCCGTCAGACATCCAACTGGCCTCACAACCGCAGATCACATGTAACCACGCCAGCCCAGGACCTCCATATGCACAAACTGTCAGCAACCGTTTCTGGGAAGCTCATCTGCATGCTTGTCGTCCTCATCGGGGTCTCGACCTGACTGCAGTTCGTCGTCGTAACCATCTTGTTGGGCAAATGGCGTCTGGCACTTTGGTGAGGTGTTCTCTTCGCGGATGAATCCCGGTTTTCACTGTACAGCAGTTTGCTGTTGTCAACACTGTGGATCGATTGGCCCATGGTGGCGGTGGGGTTATGGTATGGGTAAGCGTGTGTTATTAACACAGGTGCATTTTGTTGATGGCATTTTGAATACACAGATACCATGGCGAGATCCTGAGGCCCATTGTTGTGCCATTCACCCCCGACCATCACCTCATCTTGCAGCATGATAATGCACGGCCCCATGTTGCAAGGATCTGAACACAATTCCTGGAAGCTGAAAACATTCCAGTTCTTGCATGGCCAGCATACTCACTGGACATGTCACCCACTGAGCATGTTTGGGATGCTCTGGATCGACATATACAACAGCGTGTTCCAGGTCCTGCCAATATCCATCCAATATCCAATATTTTGACAGATTTGTGAACACTATTTGAGAGAAATAGGCCTTTTGTGTACATAGAAAACGTCTTAGATCTTTGAGTTCAGCTCATGAACATGGGGGCAAAAACAAAAGTGTTGCATTTATAATTTTGTTCAGTGTATATCTTAAAGGTCCAGTGTGTAATATTTCTGAGGATTTATTGACAGAAATGCAATATAAGGTCCATAAATGTTTTTAGTGGTGTATAAAGACCTTATATAATATTTTTTTATTACATAAGAATGAGACAATTACAGTGGGGAGAACAAGTATTTGATACACTTCTGATTTTGCAGGTTTTCCTACTTACAAAGCATGTAGAGGTCTGTAATTTTTATCATAGGTACACTTCAACTGTGAGAGACAGAATCTAAAACAAAAATCCAGAAAATCACATTGTATGATTTTTAAATAATTAATTTGCATTTTATTACATGACATAAGTATTTGATACATCAGAAAAGCAGAATTTAATATTTGGTACAGAAACCTTTGTTTTTTGTTTTCCTGTAGTTCTTGACCAGGTTTGCACACACTGCAGCAGGGATTTTGGCCCACTCCTCCATACAGACCTTCTCCAGATCCTTCAGGTTTCGGGGGTTTGACACTGGGCAATACGGACTTTCAGCTCCCTCGAAAGATTTTCTCTTTGGTTCAGGTCTGGAGACTGGCTAGGCCACTACAGGACCTTGAGATGCTTCTTAGGGAGCCACTTCTTAGTTGCCCTGCTGTTAGTGTTGTGTCGTTCAAAGAACGTTTTGTTCATTTGACCTAATCTTGTATGTGACTCGGGAGGAACGGGTTGTCTCAGTGAGTAATTCGTTCATTTTCACGCATGCGTGAATAGTCTTGGACTTATGTTCGCTCGTTACACAGAAGCTGCATGGGCTCCGTCAGCACAGGAAATAGAATTGTTTAGTGCAGGACTCATAACTGTGGGTCTCTGGGTTTGAGTCGTTCATTTGTCACGTGACGTCTCGGCTACTGTGGAGCAGGAATGAACTAATCGTTCAGCGCTCACATGGGTCCTCCTCAGAGTCTGTCTTCACTCAGCAGGCTGACTTACTGCCAGCACCGGGGAATGAGAGGCAAGTCTGTTGTCAGGTAACAGTCACTGGACTGACATATATCTAATATCTATTTTGATAATTTTGTGACATTTAATAAAGCATAACATTATTACAGCGCAGTTATGTAGTTAGGTAGTCTCCTCTCCAAAACATTAAAACACAGCCACATAGCAGCGTTAGCCCTGTGTTTTTTTTTACAGCTAACAGCTGATCAACCTGCAGTGCTTGAGATTATTATTAAATTTGTTGTTAAAAAGAGTGTGTTTTATTTATCTAGTGTGTCAAGCTTATTACTTCAATATATTCCCTGTAAATCTGATGTTAATATATAGATTTTACTCATGGATAGGCGATAGGCTACTGTATGAATGTGCACTTTAGAGATATAGTATAGTAATTTATTTATATATATATAGCGCTATAGCACTGGTCTGGTTGTATACTCAGGAAAGATTGTGAAAAGGCACGGATTTAGCCGGAGTAGCGGCTTAATCGAATATTGACAACATATTTCTGTGGTTTTTACATGGTTTGAATTTGGTTGTGGCTCCATGGGGCTTTATAGAACCATGATAGAGAAAGATCAAGAGATGAATTTGTGCATTTTACTTTGTCAATTAGAGCAAGCAAGGCAGCCTTCTGTGTTTGAGAACTGCGCTGTTATTTATTTATTTTTTAAGTCGCCTACTAGAGGGCTGCAGCGCCGCAATAACCAGCCTAGTTAAAATGAACAAAATGACACAAAAAAAAATATTAGTTCATTTTAATGAACGAGATTTGGTGACTCGAGTCTTTTCCCCATCACTACTGGCTGTGTGTTTCGGGTCGTTGTCATGCTGGAAGACCCAGCCACAACCCATCTTCAATGCTCTTACTGAGGGAAGGAGGTTGTTGGCCAAGATCTCGCGATACATGGCCCCATCCATCCTCCCCTCAATACGGTGCAGTCGTCCTGTCCCCTTTGCAGAAAAGCATCCCCCAAAGAATGATGTTTCCACCTCCATGATGGTGTTCTTGGGGTTGTACTCATCCTTCTTCTTCCTCCAAACACAGCGAGTGGAGTTTAGACCATAAAGCTCTATTTTTGTCTCATCAGACCACATGACCTTCTCCCATTCCTCCTCTGGATCATCCAGATGGTCATTGGCAAACTTCAGACGGGCCTGGACATGCGCTGGCTTGAGCAGGGGGACCTTGCGTGCACTGCAGGATTTTAATCCTTGACGATGTAGTGTGTTCCCTCACCTTCCTCATCATCATTGATGCCCCACGAGGCGAGATCTTGCATGGAGCCCCAGACCGAGGGAGACTGACCGTCATCTTGAACTTCTTCCATTTTCTAATAGTTGTGCCAACAGTTGTTGCCTTCTCACCAAGCTGCTTGCCTGTTGTCCTGTAGCCCATCCCAGCCTTGTGCAGGTCTACAATTTTATCCCTGATGTCCTTACACAGTTCTCTGGTCTTGGCCATTGTGGAGAGGTTGGAGTCTGTTTGACTGAGTGTGTGGACAGATGTCTTTTATACAGGTAACGAGTTCAAACAGGTGCAGTTAATACAGGTAATGAGTGGAGAACAGGAGGGCTTCTTAAAGAAGAACTGGTTGGTCGGTGATCAAATTTGGTGATAATGTGCATCCTGTCACCCTCTACACTCACCTAAAGGATTATTAGGAACACCTGTTCAATTTCTCATTAATGCAATTATCTAATCAACCAATCACATGTCACTTGCTTCAATGCATTTAGGGGTGTGGTCCTGGTCAAGACAATCTCCTGAACTCCAAACTGAATGTCAGAATGGGAAAGAAAGGTGATTTAAGCAATTTTGAGCGTGGCATGGTTGTTGGTGCCAGATGGGCCGGTCTGAGTATTTCACAATCTGCTCAGTTACTGGGATTTTCACGCACAGCCATTTCTAGGGTTTACAAAGAATGGTGTGAAAAGGGAAAAACATCCAGTATGCGGCAGTCCTGAGGGCGAAAATGCCTTGTTGATGCTAGAGGTCAGAGGAGAATGGGCCGACTGATTCAAGCTGATAGAAGAGCAACTTTGACTGAAATAACCACTCGTTACAACCGAGGTATGCAGCAAAGCATTTGTGAAGCCACAACACGCACAACCTTGAGGCGGATGGGCTGCAACAGCAGAAGACCCCACCGGGTACCACTCATCTCCACTACAAATAGGAAAAAGAGGCTACAGTTCGCAAGAGCTCACCAAAAAAGACAGTTGAAGACTGGAAAAATGTTGCCTGGTCTGATGAGTCTCGATTTCTGTTGAGACATTCAGATGGTAGAGTCAGAATTTGGCGTAAACAGAATGAGAACATGGATCCATCATGCCTTGTTACCACTGTGCAGGCTGGTGGTGGTGGTGTAATGGTGTGGGGGATGTTTTCTTGGCACACTTTAGGCCCCTTAGTGCCAATTGGGCATCGTTTAAATGCCACAGCCTACCTGAGCATTGTTTCTGACCATGTCCATCCCTTTATGGCCACCATGTACCCATCCTCTGATGGCTACTTCCAGCAGGATAATGCACCATGTCACAAAGCTCCAATCATTTCAAATTGGTTTCTTGAACATGACAGTGAGTTCACTGTACTAAAATGGCCCCCACAGTCACCAGATCTCAACCCAATAGAGCATCTTTGGGATGTGGTGGAACGGGAGCTTCGTGCCCTGGATGTGCATCCCACAAATCTCCATCAACTGCAAGATGCTATCCATCAATATGGGCCAACATTTCTAAAGAATGCTTTCAGCACCTTGTTGAATCAATGGCACGTAGAATTAAGGCAGTTCTGAAGGCGAAAGGGGGTCAAACACAGTATTAGTATGGTGTTCCTAATAATCCTCTTCCAAACTGCAGTTAATCTATTGCACACTCAGATCTAGAACATGCACAGAAATAGAAAAACCAAAATAATAATATTCACAATTGGGATACCATCCTTCAATTTCATAATCTGCTGTCATTTCTGGCCTCCGGCAGCATGCTTAAAAGCTTTTTCACCATTTGGGAGCAGAAAAATATAAAATAAAAGAGGATTTTATCCATAATTTAATTTATGTATTTTTAACACAGCTGCACAACACTGACAAAGCTATAGTGCAATTTTCACTTTGACAATACTTTATTAAAACACATCTTCTGTACCACAACTGTCACGTGATTGTTAACTTTCAATAACAGCTCTGCACAGAAATCACAGTACAGTAGATTCAGAACCTCAGGTGGCATTTCTGCTCCAACCTTCATATTGTCATTGCATCCACACTGTTGTAACTTTGGCATCTTTTTAAAAAAGCTTTTCTTTAATGCGATCACACTCTTCTTTACAACAAGTCTTACCTGTTTTATTGTTTATGTTTTGTCTTCTATTATTGTTGTATTGTTTAAACTGTCTGATTTTATTTGCCTCATTGCCTGCTGAAATGTTTCAATCCTGGTTTAACCACCACAAGAACTGTATTATTATTATTATCATCATCATCATCATCATCATCATTCTTCCATGCTCTCATATATAAGGTGGGGTAGAAAGAGTCCATTCTTCATTTAGTCACTCAGATTCATCTTTCCTTTGCAGGCCTTTATCCATCCCTCCTGGTATTACAATATATATTATAAAGTTCATGGGAAAAAAACATTACAAGCCCAATTACTCAACCTCACAAACAGTATGTCCACAGTATTTATTTGTCGGATTCCTCTATTAGTCCAGTCACCCACCATACATCCATCAGGAGGGTGGTGGTTGCACACTGTGTGGTATGGTGCTGTTTGTTCCACAGTCGATGTACTCGTATGTCTCAAGCGAGAGCTGCTCATAGTGGGCCAGGTAGTACACCGTCATAGACATCCTGCAGCAAACGGACGACAAAACAAAGTACAATTAAACTGATACTGATAATAACTTGAACTCTGTAACTTGGTTAGCAACATTTGGATTTAAAGGGACTCGTCAACATGTTTGCACCATACAGTCTATGGTTGGCACTTCTTTGCTTTCTTCTCAGGAAACGGAGAGAAAGAATCTCAGTAGTAGACACACACAGCACAGAGTTGGAGTCAGGATATGGCTACGCTAGCCAAAAACACACCTTCCAACACCTCTAAAGCTTATGAACGCGTTGTATCTTGTTTGTTTACTGTGCACACAAACAGGAACGGTGGTTTTAGTGGGTGTGACATGATGAATCCATTTATTGGTGAAGAACTTTTTATCCATCAGCCCAGCACTTTGCACTGTTTCCCAGAGTCTGGTTGTCAAAGTGAGGTCGCTAGACTTGGTACTATCAAGCCTGTAGAGAGACCTATACTAAACCCACTTACTTAAGAGTGGGAGAGACTACAAAGTAGTACTGGGCAGATGGATACAGTGTTGTTAATTCAGCACACAAATCTCTAAAATCACACATTGATATTTCTGTCTGTAAGTGAAATACATTATAAAAGGATATTCTATATTTTACCTAATAGACCCAAACTATTCCTTCATCACCATGTACACACATACTTTATTTTGACTCACACACACTTTCCTGCTCCCAAAAATCTCACTAGAGCAAATTCACTATTTCCTGTTACTGAAACGAGTCATTAATGACTATCTATATGTCTTTTTACTATATGTATCTTTTATTACTTGACAGAGACATCTGCACAAGAATTCCAATGCTCTTCGTTTGCTTGCATCTGAGCAAATAAGCAAATGCCAAATAAAAGTCTTGTAGTGAACTGAATTGTGTTGGCTTCAGCACAAACTGGGGTAGAGGTCAACACAGATACAGTAAATGGTTATTCCTCTGTTATCTGGCATTAGTAGCACTGACAATACTGAGACCATCCTTAGAATGTTACTACCAAACTACTGTTGAAAGATTCAAGCCAAGAAGTGAACAGAAGTGAAAAAATGAAATATTCATATTTGGTTTTCAAGAGTTTAGACTGCATGAAATGCAGTGCATGAACAAACCACATCCCAACTCTGTGTAGCAAATTAAAGCAAATACTGCGGAAACTTGAGGAATTGGCGTTCCACCAAACTGGAAAATTCCAACTCGTTTAATTTGGCAAGATAGTATTAAAACTCACAGTAAGGCCCGCCATAATGCCAGAGCAGCGTACTACCCGTCGTTAATAGAGGAAAATAAGAACAGCCTCATGTCTCTCTCTCTCTCTCTCTCTCTCATATATCCATATTGCAAAAATCAGGAAAATCCAGTCTAAAAATGATGCAGAAAAACTAGTCCAGGCATTTGTTATCAGGCTGCTCAAAAAAGTCCATGAGGACTCTTCAGCTGATTCAGAATGCTGCAGCACGTGTTCTGACAGGAACCAGGAAGAGCTTCTCTGCATTGGCTTCCAGTAAAATGCTGTTCTGCCAGTGTCTGGATGTGTGTGAATGTTAGTTTCTGTTTCAGCACTTAGGCTCAGTGTATGAATGTGTATGACGATGCAGATGTAGTGTAAAAGCGTTTTGAGTGGTCGAAAAGACTAGAAAGGCGCTATACAAGTAGGCAGACACCATCTCCACATTTAAGAGTAGGCTTAAGACTTTCCTCTTTGATAAAGCTTATAGTTAGGGCTGGCTCAGGTGAGTCCTGAACCATCCCTTAGTTATGCTGCTATAGGCCTAGACTGCCGGGGGATTTCCCATGATGCACTGAGCTCCTCTCTCCTCTACTTTCTATCCCTATCCCTCTGTATGCAACCTCATCCCATTATTGCATGTTACTAACACAATTTCTCCCCTTTCTGGTAGTCTTGTGCTTTCTCGTCCCTCTCCTCTCTCCTCCAATCACTTCCTGCAGGTGTTTCTGGCTCTGGAGCTGTGGAGTCTGGATCTGTGGTTGCGGGTCACCTGCTGCCCCCGTGTTCATGCTCAGCACCCTCTACTACAATTATTGCTACTAGTCCTATTGTTATTATTGTTATTATAATCATTAACATTACTATAAATATCTGTTCCATTATTCATTCAGTCTGTACCTCTGTGTGTATATTGTTTAGCCTGCCCCCCTCCCCCCAAATCCCTCTCTCCCTCTTTATGGCTCTCTCTCGCCCTCTCACTCTCTCTCTCCCTCACCCCCAACTGGTGGAGGCAGATGGCCGCCCACACTGAGCCATGGTTCTGCTCGAGGTTTCTGCCTCTTAAAAGGAAGTTTTTCCTTGCCTCTGTCGCCTAGTGCTGCTCTTGGTGAGTATTGTTGGGTTTCTCTAAATAATATCACAGAGTACGGTCTAGACCTGCTCTCTTATGAGCGCTATGAGAAAACTGAACTGGATACTTACTGCAGGTGCAGATACAGAATGTGGACGGGCAGGGAAACCCTCCTACAGTAGTTACTGCAGAAAAAAAAGAGTGCCATGTACATTATTTGTACAATAATGACAATATCACAATACATTGACAATACATGTTTTGAACAGATTAAGCAGATGTGAAACACACAGACAGACAATAAGCCTAAACAGAAACACATAATATTCCAGGAGGACAAAGCTGACTCTACCACCAGGTAAGCTGGTATAACAGGCTCTACCAGTGTACATGGAAATTTAAAACCAACACCATCTGATCTTACACACAGAGCTGTGAAGTTTTACTTTCTGTATTCTTTTTGTAAATGTAACTACGGAGATTGAATAATTATTTGCACATTACATTTGCATATTTACTGTACAGAGTGGTATCAAGTGGTACAGAGAATACTCAAAATGTCAATTTGTTTAACAGCAACAGAAACTGTGAGAAGCAGCAGCATTTAGGAATGATTCTGAATGAAAAGAGAAACTCGGAGCAGCAGAGTAGTGAATATGACATGACTGAAGTCTGCATATTTTAATACGCCCCGAATGAGATCCGTATGATATAGTCAGTAACACTGGCAGCTCACCTCATGTCAGGGTCTGTCAGCCTGATGGGGATCACAAAGGAGTACTGGAAGGAAGAGTCACAAGCCATTCATTCAGTATATTCAGATACCAATATAAAGTAATTCACAACACATGGAAATCTGAACAGAACTTTTCAGGCCAACAGGTCTGTCTGTCACTACTTTCTGACTCTCTGTGGCTCTCTGCTCCAAGCCCACTGGTTCTACCGAGTATGTAAAGCTTTAAAAACAGCTCACAAATAGTTATGTTTAAAAAGGTTCAGCAATTTCCTCAAAAACAAACAAACAGGCGGGAAAAGTGCATTTGTTGGGGTCTATTTTCAGCCATGAAATTAATCCAAAATTGTTTTTTGGCTCTCTTTTTCAGGAATGCCCTGTTTACACACACACACACACACACACACACACACACACACACACACACACACACACACTTGCGGCGTCTTCATGTCAGCACACAGCAGCAACCAACACACTGTTGGTTACACAACCTGATGTGCTCTGCTGATTCTGAGACATTTGACACTATCTGAAACATCCGTGATCAGATCAGTGTTAATGTGCCCAGGACGCCCTTGACAAAGAGATTTTATCTCAATGGCTCTTTTACCCTGGTTAAATAAAATTAAAAAAATCCTTCACTGCTGTTATTTCCACGCAAGATTCAGATTTAGATTTAGTAGCTCTTACTCTACATCGGTCACTGTTTAATTCTACACATTTATATATCCTGGGCAGCCCTTCTTACCAAAAATATAGTTTACCACAAAAGTGATTATACCCCTCACATTTTTGTAAATATTTAATTATATCTTTTCATGTGACCCAATTTGGACATTTTCACTTAGGGGTGTACTCACTTTTGCGGTTTAGACATTAACGGCTGTGTGATGTGTTTTTGAGGGGATCAAAATGGGGACCTTTGAGCAAGTCTGCTTCTATTACTTTATTAATGGTTTAAGTCTTTTCATGGGATTGTGACAATATGAAAAACATAGAATGTATCAACATGATCTTTTAACAAACATCCTGCTGTATCTCATGTCACAATGGCAATTGTCTGTCTGTGTTTGTTGGCAGATTTTGCAAGAATGGTGATATAATGATCTTAATAATAGAAACCAGTCTTAACCATGTTTTTTGCTAACATACATTATACTGTTCGGTCGTTCATCCTTAGATGATACTATCCGTTCCTGTGAGCTTGGTATGACTCACCATTTTTATGGATAGTGGTTGGACAGAGGTGACATTCTTAATGGAAACTGTTCCCACCACCGTGTCAAAGTTCAGGGCCTGCACAGTCAGATTGTATGCCTGCACCGCTGCAAAGTTGTGGTTGGTGATGTTCAGGACATTCTACAAGGAAACACAGTTGGCATTTATAACATGACACATCGCCCTTAAATGAGAGAGTTCCACTGTTCTATTATGACAAATCCTATCAATCCTTCCATCCACACCTTTCACTTTTCTTCCTTCATCCATCAAACCCTTCATTCCTCTCTTTCACTCCCTCTCTACCCACCGTGATGTTAATTTGGACATCGTCTTCAGTGAAGTAAACAAATGATGACTCGATGGCTACTAGAGAAAGAAGGACAGAGCGTGGGAACAGGAAGAACACCACCAGGGAGCTGACCAGGAGGCACAGACCAACCGACGTAGCAACGTACAGCTTCCTGAGAGAGGAGCGAACAGATCAGTGGAATACATCAAAACATCATCAGCCGAGTGAAACCACCTCAGGCCAGCCTGTTCATGTAATAACTTATAAACCATTCAGACCAACACAGGTTAGACCCGAGTCGGGAGTCAAATCTCTCTCCACAGATGTACACAGTGTAAGTGTTTTCTTACGTGTGTCTGGGACTCAGCCTCTGGTCATTACAGGGGATGACGGCCACCAGCTTGCTCTCCTGACCTGTAACACACATGGAACATGGTTTCATAGCATAGATGGAATGTGGGAGCAAATTTGATATTGTGAGTAGTTTGATCCTCTCAACTGCAAAAGAATTGAGTCACGATACCCCAGGAGCACAGCTGGGTATGTTTTAAGGCTTGTACCACGACCAAGTGGGAAGCTTCTGGTCAGAAACGTAAATCTCACGAGGAAGTCGACCCCAGACGACCCCACCGTCTCGGCGTGGATCACAGACTGTCTCTCGGACATATCTGCATGGATGAAGGCTCGCCACCTTCAACTAAACCTCTGTAAGACTGAACTCTTGGTTATTCCAGCCAAGCAATCTGTCCACCATAACATCACACTACAAATTGACTCCTCAACCATCACTCCAACCAGGGTGGTGAGAAACTTGGGTGTCGTAATTGATGACCAGCTGTCCTTTTCAGACCATGCTGGTACTGTCTCTCGGTCATGCTACTTTGCTCTATACAATATCAGAAAAATCAGGCCCTACCTCACTCAGCACCCCACCCAGCTTCTGGTACAGGCCATGGTTATCTCTCGCATCGACTTTTGCAATGCCCTCCTAGCAGGTCTCCCAGCTTGTGCGGTGAAACCCCTACAAATGGTTCAGAACGCAGCAGTGCGTCTGGTTTTTGATCAGCCCAAAAGGACTCATGTCACTCCATTACTCAGTGACCTCCACTGGTGCCCCGTGGCCTCCAGAATCAGAATCAAGTCACTAATGCTGCATACAGAGTGACGACTGGGTCTGCACCCATCTACCTAAACTCCATAATACAAACTTACATTCCTTCTCGGCTTCTCCTTCTCCTCCAACGAACGCCGCCTGGCTCTGCCATCCCTTCACACAAAGCAATCGCAGTCCCTGTTCTCATCTGTGACACCACGATGGTGGAACGAGCTACCACACACCATCAGAGCAGGGGCGTCCCTCTCTAACCTCAAGAAGCTCCTGAAAACTCATCTCTTCTGAGAACACTTCCTCTTGTAACACCTCTAACATCTAACATGCACTTCCTGTGCTCTTCTTCTATCCCCTACAATGATCTTGTATTGATTGCACTTTTTTGTTAAGTCTTACTTCTTTCCCTAGGTATTTACCCCATTAATGTGATAGGTGCTATTAACTTTTACTAGTATTTTTTGCTGCTCTTACTAGTATGTATTGTCAGTTGTAGATCTTGAGCTGTATTTGATGCTCTGTTGATGCTTGAATGTTGTTTCTCAAATGTAAGTCGCTTTGGGAAAAAACGTCTGCCAAATGAGTAAATGGAAATGGAAGTCCCTTAAGCCTGCATTCTTTTGAACAGCAACTCTTCTGGTTGCAAAAAGAAGTCCAGTTCCATTAGAAACAATGGTAAAATTCTCAGCTGAATAATTACCTCAGTAAACACTTTCCTAATGAGTTTATGGTCTCATTCAATAGTTTCATGTTTTCTTCAATACAGATTGATGTTCATTTAGTAAATTAAATGTCCCATTTAGAGGAAAATAGACCATAAAGCAGAGTATGCTTCAGGGCAGGATTATCTATGTTACCATGGCGACCTGTCAATCAGGCTAGAGTGACTCGTACCCTCGGCACTGTGGAAATTGAACCTGTGGAAACCGCTTGAAAAAGCTTATTAGGAGTTGGCTGTTCACTTTCTCTGGTGAGTACATTTAGTTTTAAGAATGTTGTTCGCTAGACAAAATTGTCTGCCCTGTTAAAATGACAGTTAACGTGAATTACAGATGCACCTAGCTAAGCAAGCTAGCTAGCTTCACACACGGCTGTTAGCTCCACCATCTCGTCCAAATATGGTCACACCTATTGGCCAAACTCGGCAGTCCACAAACCAACAGGTGATGTCACGATGACTGCATCCACTTCTTGTATACAGTTTATGACCACGACCCAACATTTTTATTTGTTTTTATTTTTTACAATACAGTGTTAGCACTTTGAGGCTGATAGCAATTTGTTGCTATATGAAAGTAAAAAAAATTATTATTTATATATTATTTGATAATGATAATAATGAATTACATTTATATAGCGCTTTATCATAGATACTCAAAGCGCTTCACAGTGATGTGGGGGGTACTCACCTCAACCACCACCAATGTGTAGCACGGCAGCCATTTAGCGCCAGAACGCTCACCACACATCAGCTTGAGGCAGAGAGGGAGGGAAACATTGAGCCAATTACAACGGGGGATGATTAGATGGCCAGATGGTAAAAGCCAGGTTGGGAATTTTGCCATGGCACCGGGGAACCCCCTGCTCTTTGCGACAAGTGCCATGGGATTATTAATGACCACAGAGAGTCAGGACCTCGGTGTAATGTCTCATCCGAAGGACGGGCTGATATTCCTTTTTAACATAAATCATGAGCAAACATTCAAGCATCCCTTATATTTGATTATTAAAAATGTGACAGATGTGTACAGAACACATTTTGCAGTGTAAAAATATCCTTGTCAGTGCTCTCTGGTGGAAAAACTACATAATGGTGTCACTGTTTCCAGATTACCCAACAAATCTTTTGGCCCTGTCAGACACACTACAAAGACGGTTACTGTGCAATAAACAGGATACTTACACCAAATACAACAAACAAAGGAGTGCTTCTAGCTGTCGTGCGGCCGCCATCTTGTTTTCTAGTGCATGTGTGGAATGCATGTGTGCGTGCAGACCCTGGATGTAGTATGTATACAGGCATGTGCATGTCTCATGCAAGTCCACAGCTGTCCGTTAGCCTTGGGTAGTATCTGTTTTTTCATACCTCCCTGATATTTCATCGGGGTCCAGGGTATATCACGGTATTTGTGTAAAAAAATAAAGTAACAGCTGAGTCATTGTAGCATGTATGACAATGTCTAGCCTACAATGATGTGTGTCTAGGAGATACATCTAACGCTTAATCTTATTTTTTCTCTTATTTATTTTTCTATTCTACTTTTTCTTGTATTTTCTTATCTGTTGTGTTGTATCTGGAGCTGCTGTAACAAGTCAATTTGAATGAGAACGTGAATACCAGTGTGGGATCAATAAAGTCTATCTTTAGACATTTACTTAGTAGGGCAGTACCGAATGTCTGTTGTCAAATGAAGTCACTTGGAAAAAAAATCCTCAAACAAAATCCTCAATTTGAATAAAGCGATACACCTGATTAAATGAGTTAGTGTTTCATCAATACTAAGACAAATACCATGATATACTGTAGACCAGGCAGAGTAGATTCAGTTCTTGGTGTATTTAATAATAAAACAACAGGCTTATGTGGTGTAGAGGCAGGCACAAAGGTGAACAGTCCAAATCAAAGCAAACAAAATCCAAACTGGTACAGGCGATAATCCAAAGACAATAAATCCAAACTAAATCCAAACACACGAGCAGAAAACAAAAAACAAAAGACAAAGACGACGGACAACAGACAATGTGAGGACACTCAAATATGCAAGAGGACATTGATTAACAAAACACAAGTGGAAATATCAGGGTGTACCAAACAAGTACAGAGCCTGGGCTGAGTACAAACACCAGGTTTTTTCAGACAGCTAGCGGACCGTAAGGAGATATTCACTAATTATGGCAAAAGACGTGTATTGGATTAGAATCACTTACCCCACCTTTAATGATAAGAACTGGTCAGTTATGGTGCTGTTAGATTGCTGCTAGATTATTGTTAACACAGGTGCACACCTCCTCTTGTGTGTGCAAACGGGAGAGTAAACAATTTTTTAACCACAATAAAGATGTTGTTTTTGAAAGGCTAACAAATGTGGACTGAAACATGTGAAATTTGGAAATGACTAAATCTGTCTTTTTTCAATAAATGTAGACTTTTGGACTTCACAATGCTCTGGAGTTATTGAAAATGTTTCGATCACACAAGTAAGGAAACAATCCCATGCAGCCACTAGGGTTGGGCGATTGGGCAAATATATCTGCAATCTTTTGGGGTTTTTTGGCAATTTATTTTGCTAATTTAAATTTCAGCCCTGAAGAATGAGTGAGAGCCACCGCTCAGCGACAGACTCTCGTTCAGCAAGCTAACCCAGTATAAAAAGGCCAGCAACGGCCAAAAGAAGCAGAGGAGAACAGCGTGTAGAGCTGCATATACTGTACACACACGGGCAATCGCCAGTTGTTGGGCTGATGGTGGCTGGTTGGAAAATTCTCTTAACCTTAACCTCAACACATCACCTCCATCAGTTTAATAGAAAGAAGAGCATCTGTATTTGTAAGGCATTGAAAATCATACCTTTGGGTTTTCCAAATACCCTGCTATATCAGAGATCAATAACTCTTTCAACCTACAAATTTGTATTGAATTAAGATAGAGAAAACAGTGAAATGATTAAAGAAAAAGCTGATTTATCGATAATAGAAATAATCATAATAAATAATAATAGCTGACACTTAGAATGGATGGAACTTCTTATTCCAGACAAAGGGGTTGTGTGTGTGTGTGTGTGTGTTTTTATTACCTCTGGGTATGCGTCCTGTACCCTGGCAGGTGGGACAGTGCACTGTCTCTCCTGAGCTGCGTCTCCTGCTACAGCTCTGCTTATTGATGTCCTCCTTCTCAATTATACGCTGGCTGTCATCGTCTTGGCCGTACCTACTGTGCTGCGATCCCGGCCCCATAGAGCCACCATCACACCTGCTGTGAACTGCCCCCATACCTGAAGAAACACCAAGAATTTCAGCTAATAGTCAACTACAAAATTTAGACAGACTGTTGGCCCCATCTATACTACTGTGGAGGAGGAGGAGGAAAAAAAAAAATCTTCATTCGAAATGTTTTGAGGCGAAATTCTTCATGTTACTAAAATAAAGTCATAATTTCAAGATGATTCATAACATAAAATATGCATGTTTTTCTTATAATATTAAGATTTAATTCTCATATTGTGACTTTTTTCTCCTAAAAGTATTACTTTATCTTGAACTATTTTAAAATTATGACTTTATCATTATGATATTATGATTTAAATGTCAGATATTAGACATTGGTCCTAATACTCCATAATACAAAACCACACTTTCAGTCACTAGCACAGTGTATTACACTCTAGTAGAGGATTAAAGGATAGTTTCCCCACTTTTTCAAGTCCTTCTTAAAACAATACTCACATGCCCATATGAACTGTGACACTGTTTTGGCTTGCTGCAGTCCTGTTCGTACTGACCTTTAAGATATCCCTTCTAAAGCTTTCTAATGTGAAAGATGGAGGACAAAATCTACAGTCCTTCCATGCAAAAATGCATTCTGATGTTTATCTGAAGCTAATGTTGGTTTTAGAATAACAGGGATATATTTTACTGTTACATTAATTTGAGTAAACTTGTCTTTGGTTCCCTGGTCAATGTTTCCATGCTGAGCTCTGGCACAGGGACAGTAACATAAAGAGGGGATTTTGTTGCAAAGATGTAGACATACCTCCTTCATTTGCTTAACTCTTCTGAAACATCATATTAGCTTCAGCAGATATTAATGAGCTGGCCAGATGCTAAACATTTGAAAATCGCCTTTTCAATTCAAGGTTTGCTTGTTCTACTAATGTAACGCAAATGCAGCCTGCGTGTCCATTTCACAAGCCGGCAGAAATACTTTCACTTTCCATTAATGTCGCCGAATGAATGCAGACTACACACTGAATACACATCTACGTCACAGGACTGATTCTTTAACAGAATCCTCTCATTACGCAGAGCAAGCTTTCTTTTGATGGAAATTACTTCTGTTCTCTAATTTGCATTGGTTGCCATTTGTTTTATAGCGATGTCCGATGAATTAATTAAAGGGATTTTTGAAGTTAGGTTGTATGAGATACTTGTGTATAACCTACACTAGATGGTGGTTGGCACTCCCAGATTTGGAGAAGCAGACAGAAATATATTTAGAATATTTTACACAGATTTCTCTTGCAGTAAAATCGCCCTTTATGACAGTTAACTGAAGCCGGAACTGGAACTCACTCAAATCAAAGTTATTATTATTATATTATTATTATTATTATTATTATTATTATATTTTGTCAACTCTGTCAGACATACCAAAAAAGCATGCTATTTTAATTTGATTAATTTAACAAGGGTGTCTAAAGTATCTAATAATGGTGTTCAGTAACATGGTTAAGCATTAAAATGCATTATATACATTTTTATTGTGATCACACTATTTTGAAAAATATATTTTTTTATTCCATTGTTTTGTACATTCCTTTTTAATATTCAGCATACATAATCAATCAATGTTCTTGGGCAAAGAAGACATTGTTGCATGTAGTTCGGCTGGTGTCTTAGTAAACACAATAAATTGAACTGAGTTACACATTTCTTTGTAAAAGGAAAAAAAAATCATCTGACAACTGTGTAACTGTAACTGTGTTATGTAGGTTCCAGTATCCTTCCTGTGGTTTTCCTTCCTCCTTCCAATGGCTCACTGGAGAATCAAAGAAAACTGTCAGAGACTAATAATATATTAATATGTCTCACTGTCCCACTACATCAGGGGCTATGCTGCAGAGCTCTCTTGTACGGCTTGATGCCTTCCCAGAAGAATGTCTTTGACTCAACAGAAGCAGAGATCCCTCCTCCCATGTTTTGGGTGAGCATTTTCTGTTGGACTAGGAGGGTGCAGAAACTCCACTTTCAGATCTTGGTGCTCGGTGTCTACATCAATGGCCTTTACTAGTAGGGGTGGGGGGAAAAAAATCGATACAGCATAGTATCGTGATATTTGCCATGGCAATACTGTATCGATACACGGACGCCAAGTATCAATATTTTATTATATAAATTGCAGATGGGATTTTTAACTTTTTTTTTTGTTCTTTTAGTCCACTAGAAAACGTAACAGGACCATATAGAAGACTGAAAAAGTGATATGAACAAACAGAGAAATGTACCTTTTTAGATAAACAGATGTTGACAAAGTTTGAAAAGTTGTTGGAAAAAGGTAAAAAATTGCAATATATCTCAATATATTTAAAATCGCAATAAAATCGAATCGCAACATAAATATTGTGATAATATTGTATCGTGGAGCCTCTGGTGATTCCCACCCCTATTTACTAGCCACCAATGGTCACCATACACCACTGCTAGCCAGTCTCCATCCTCAATACTGTCAATAGTTATTTCGACTATAGTGACCTCAAGACCCTTCCGTAGCTCCCCTTCCATTTCCTCCCCCTCGCAAATTAAAGCAAATATCGCGGAAACTTGAGAGGAATTGGCGTTCCACCAAACTGGAAAATTCTCGTTTAATTTGGCAAGATAGTCTTAAAACTTATAGGAAGGCCCTCCGTAATGCCAGAGCAGCGTACTACTCGTCATTAATAGAGGAAAATAGGAACAACCCCAGGTTTCTTTTCAGCACTGTAGCCAGGCTGACAGAGAGTCACAGCTCTATTGAGCCAAGTATTCCCATAGCTCTCAGTAGTTACGACTTCTTGAGCTTCTTTAATGATAAAATTCTAGCTATTAGAGACAAAATTCACCAAGACCTGCCCTCAACTGGCACCAACTTGCACTAGTGCACTGGCACCAGGTTGCTTAAAGATGTTTTACCTTTAGTCAGCACCTCTATACTAGATATGATCAATCTATCTTTATCAACAGGCTATGTACCACAGTACTTTAAAGTAGCTGTAATTAAACCTCTTCTGAAAAAGCCCAAACTTGACCCGGATGTTTTAGCCAATTATAGACCTATATCTAACCTTCCATTTCTCTCTAAGGTTCTGGAGAAAGCAGTTGCTAAACAGCTGTGTGACTTTCTACAGAGCAATAGTTTATTTGAGGATTTTCAGTCAGGATTTAGAGCTCATCATAGCACAGAGACAGCACTGGTGAAAATTACTAACGACCTCCTTATTGCATCAGACAAAGGACTTGTCTCTGTACTGGTTTTATTAGATCTTAGTGCTGCATTTGATACCATTGACCATCAGATCCTATTGCAGAGACTGGAACATTTCATTGGCATTAAAGGAACCGCTCTAAGCTGGTTTAAGTCCTATTTATCAGATCGATTTCAGTTTGTACATGTTAACGATGAGTCCTCCATGCATGCCAAAGTTAGTCATGGAGTTCCTCAAGGATCTGTCCTCGGACCAATCCTCTTCACTTTATATATGCTTCCTTTAGGCAATATTATCAGGAAATATTCCATAAGCTTTCATTGTTATGCAGATGATACTCAGTTATATCTATCGATCAAACCAGATGAAACTCATCAGTTAGCTAAACTTCAAATGTGCCTTCAGGATGTTAAAACCTGGATGACCTGTAATTTTCTAATGTTAAACTCAGATAAAACTGAAGTTATTGTTCTGGGGCCTAAGCACCTCCGTGACGCATTATCTAAAGATATAGTTTCCCTTGATGGCATCGCCCTGGCCTCCAGCACCACTGTGAGGAATCTTGGAGTTATCTTTGATCAGGACATGTCGTTTAGGTCTCACATTAAGCAAATTTCAAGGACCGCCTTTTTTCACCTACGTAATATTGCGAAAATCAGGAACAGCCGGTCTAAACATGATGCAGAAAAACTAGTCCATGCATTTGTTACTTCTAGGCTGGATTACTGCAATTCCTTATTATCAGGCTGCTCCTGCCCTCTCTCTCTCTCTCTCTCTCTCTCCCTCTCTCTCCTTCACCCCAACCGGTCGAGGCAGATGGCCGCCCACCCTGAGCCATGGTTCTGCTCGAGGTTTCTGCCTCTTAAAAGGAAGTTTTTCCTTGCCTCTGTCGCCTAGTGCTGCTCTTGGTGGGAACTGTTGGGCTTCTGTAAATAGCATCATAGAGTACGGTCTAGACCTGCTCTTTTATGAAAAGCTCTGTGAGATAACTGTTGTTGTGATTTGGTGCTATATAAATAAAATTGAATTGAACTCTTCTATTTCCTTTCTTCCCGGCCCTTAAATCAGTCTGCTGTTGATCATGGAGTCAGACAGAATCATTCGCTGGTGCTTAATCTTGTTCCTTGTGATGTTGTTCTGCGAGAAGAGTACATGAAGTCTGGCTGATCCCCTGGAGAAATGTTGCTTTTTCTGTGCTGTCTGTTTCTTCTCACTCACTTACTTGTAAGTCAAGCCAAACCGGTGGATCTTATGAAGAAGGTGATACTTCTTCATAATCTTGCCTGATAATGTCAGCTGTCGACTAGTTGATTTGTCAGTTGGACGGTGCTGACATGTTAACGCTGTGACAGCTGTGATATCAACAATGTTTTGAAATAATATAAAATTGACTTACCAGACTAAGTGTTACATCCAACTAAAGCAGGAAGTGGAAAAGAGGTCCTCTGGGTTATATCTGACAATAACATTTCCTGATTTATATGGAATGATGAAAAACATCTGAAAGAGTTGATGGAAAGTGAGGACAGGCAGTTTTTTTTATGGACAGCTTAAGTTTCATGTAGTTCCCAATTACAGGGTTTGCATTTTAACAAATTCTAATGAAATGATTTTAAAAATGTCTGAAAATAATTTCATGAGTGTACATACACAGGTCATTTAGATTTAAGTTTTAAATTATTTAAATTATCATTAATTTCTTAATTTTTAACACAAAGAAGACTTTTGATGTGTTGTCCCTGATCTCAAGAATCAGTGGTGGTCCCATTTAGAGTAAAATAGATGATAAAGCATGGTATGCTTAAGGGCGTGGCTATCTTGTGATTGACAAGTTGACAAGCCAATATGCAAAGGCTAAAAGATATAGGGTGGAAGGCGCGGCTATAAAGTCACCTGGATCTTCTGCATAGCTTCTGTGTTGTAGCCAAGACCAAGACCAGAGTTTATCGAGGCCGAGACAAGACCAAGACCAGTTCCCCACATTACATGGCACACAACAAAATGTGGACTTTTCAAACACTCCTTTTCCATGCTTACCATCATGGGGAGGGGTGACAGTTGTTAACGGGAACAACGTATTTTTAATTAGGGTTACTGGTTGCATCTGAAGAAACACATTTTACATCCAATCAAAGTTAGGATGTAACAAATAAATCAGACAATGTAAAAGCAATTTATTGCTATTCCCAAAGTTATGGTCTTTCTTGACTGGTCTTGAAATGAAATCTTGAAATGAAATCCCAAATCCTCAATGTCCGAGACCAAGACAAGACCGAGAACAAGTGCGGTCGAGAACGAGACAAGACCAAGACCATCAAAAAGTGGTCTCAAGACCGGTCTCGAGACCAACAACAACACTAGCTTCTGCATTGTGTGGCTCCACAGGAGCAATCGCACTAGAGATTTCCCAGGATATCCCCTTAAATTGGGATAAAATGATTTAATCGTGCAACTCTTCCAAACTTTAAAAAAGGCTATTGAACCAAACTGATCAAATTCTGATAGTAAAACAAGTCTTTTGCCGGCGGTTGTGAATCTCAAAAATAATTATCCACTGTTTCCCTTTTGGGACCAGTGTGCACCACGGAACTGGAAGTTATAATTCCATGGTTTGGCTATTGGCTTCAAAGCGGGGGGGCTTGGTTCAAAAGGATAGTCCACTAACCAAGAGGTGACATTATGGTGGCTAAGTCCATTTGTACAGTCTGTGGTTAATTCAGGATTTTTCCCCATGAAAATGTAGTTCGTAATTCAGCAAAACTGGCAGTTTTAGTACCTGCAGGACAGGTGTAGTGTTGTCAGCAGCGCAGAGAAGAAAACAGATGTCTCCCTATGACAGTCATGTAGTGTTAGGGGGACTTCCAGCAAGACGGCATGTTGAGCAGTGCTCATGTCTGAGGCTGCAGAAAATCTGTCCCTAACTTGGCCTTTACTCCTGAAGAACACTCAAATTGCTCATAATGAAAAACCAAAGTGTGATCAAACCTGCCAGACTGAAATTTCAAGATGGAAACAATACAAAGACCCAGGCTGCAACAAACATAAACTCTTGGCAACAAAGAGACACAAAAAAAGAGCCAATTACCCCACTTTTTCATTAGAAATCTCAGACAAAATGTCTAGATTAATAAATAATAATAATAATGTCAGCTTTATCGGGAGAAATAAATGTCACTACATTAGGAGAGAAGGTCTCTTTATGGAGAAAATTTTGGATTTACTGATTAATAATTTGATTATGTTTGGTAAGCACTTTATCCACAGGTGTAAACACTTACAGGTAAAGCCCCATATGAATGGATGGAAGAATTAAACTCAAGATTTTTGCAAAGTCTTTGCAATACACGATGAACAAACAGAAACATTTTTCTTTGTTGAACTTATTTATGCTGCTGGAATAAGAAACTCAAATTCTCCTTATTTCTAGTGGTTATTTTATTTTAGTCTTGCTATAATTTTACACTGTTTTAACACTATTTGTATTTGCGATTGTTTAAGCATGCCATGAAGAGTTGTATTGCAATTTGTACAATAAAAAAAAGTAATGCAGCGTTGTCTATCATCGTACAAACATTTGGATCATTTGTTGAACGTTTAGGTTTGTTTCTGCAACAACATATGGCAACAAGCTCTCTAGACATGTCGTACTTTCAATGTCCCCTGAATCCCCGCCTCCCCCAGATGTTCCTGAGGTGTTGGATAAGCGCACTCCGCGTTGACAGCTTACCTGGCCTGTGAGCTTCTGTTTTAAGATCTTTTAAGCGTCTTCTGCGTCATCTTCATGTTGGAATCAACGATGACTTCTTGTTTGCTGATGTTTGGTAGCTCCGATAGCGTCGGACCAACACTTCCGGTCACAATTTTCAAAGTAAAACTCTCATAGACCTCACTTTTCAGGCTATTTCGCCTCGTTAACTCATCGTTTAGGGATAGGTTCCATTCAGTGGTGTAGTCTGCGTCATACGCAGGTATACGCCCTATACCCACTAGGAACGGTCAAACGTTTCCGTATACACACTTAAAATAGCGAGATGATACGTAACAATATCGTTTTGTGACAGAACGTTCACGTTCATTCATAAATTCACCCCGTCTGTGTTGCGAAGCACTGAATTTACGTTTGTGGCGTCCGTGGCCTGTGACCGGGATCTGACGTCAACTACCAGACAACAGAGCAGCTGCGTGGCGGTCACTCGGCGCAAGTTTGAAATGAACTAAAGTGAATCAGGAGATATGAAACGCGAACAAACTCGAGCTACACTCTTTTAGTGTTTTCGTTAGCCTGCAGCTGTCCTGCCGCTCCGGCTGACACTGCAGCTGCAGCAGATGACAAGTTACAGAAAACGAGCCAGATGATGCTGATGCTATTGTAACAGGCACGTGCACACATAGACATAAAAAGGGGCTTCAGCACCTTTGTTCTGGGGCTCTTTCAATAAATCAATAAATATACAGTATATTTATTCCTGTTTTCACACAGCTTCCCTGTCAAACAAATATATTTATTGGGGGGAAAAACTAAATATAACTGCAGGTGACTAGGATAACAAAATAACTAAGCATATAACCATGGAACTTCCCAAGACTTACATCCAGAGTATTTTCCTCTGAAATGTTCTATGTAAATATGCAGATTAGCTTGTTTTGGTTCATTGTGAAGAAATCTATAGATGCAAACAGATGGAGGGTTAAAATAAACTTCATCTAAAGGTGTATTCGTGAAGTTTTATTTCCATCAGAGTAATAGAAGACATGGAAGCAAAATAGACCAAAGTCTCAAAGTTGACCACTATATGAAAAAATGTCCTGCCTTAAACAGTAACTTCATAATATATTTAACGTTTTGTTTCATTTTTATTTATTTATAAATAATTCTGAGAAATGCCCTTTTTTCACTTGAGCCCCTGCCTACCAATGTCTGCGCACGTCCCTGTATCAGACCTGGTGAGTGAAAGTAGCATTTTAGTTATCATATATATATATATATATATATATATATATATATATATATATATATATATTAATATATATTATATTGTATATTAAATTGCATCTATTACTAATTAACTTAAATAACGTTGATGTGGTGGATCAATGAATGCAGGATACTGTGTGTGTGTGTGTGTGTGTGTGTGTATACAATAGTAGAAGTAGCAGTTCTTGGATGCTTGCTCATGCATTTAAGCTGTTTCAGTAGGCTACATAACCTTGACAATGATTTTGGAAGATAAGTGTGCTTGAGATGATGTGGACCACTTTTTGTGTCCTTACTGTTAATAATCTGTAATGGATGAGTTTTGGTGATAGAACTGCACACAGGCCTATGTTCGTTGTTATTACTGCTACTGATAAGCTTCCGCTTTCCATTATTGTTTATAATAGTTGCAACTTACACTCTTAAATGTGCATTGAAAATTGCCAGCTGATAAAACCCAGATTCGTATAACATCTATGGCTTCATGCAGCTCCTAACTGAAACCCATTATTTTCATATAACATTTTGTCTTCTATTCTCTTTTCATATCCATTCTCAAAATTACTAAATCCACAACTTAACACCTTAGTGGCTAGTGAAAGATCAATAATGAACTGTTACCACTAATTTACTAATAAGGTAAGATGAAGGCAGCAGCAGACAGACTTCATGTTACTAAAAAGGAAAATGAACCACAAATCCCTCATGAGTGTAATGACTTTAATGACTTTTTTTGAACATCATAACCATGATCATAAAGTGCAACACAGAAAAAAAGCTCAAACAGTCTAGCTTTTCTCTTCATCCTTAAATACTTAACTTGTATTCATACCGCAATATGAAAATATTTCACCTGACTGTCCCTCGTGAAACACATACACGTTTAATTGAAGCAAAATGACATACAGTACAGTGTGTGAAACTTTTCCCCTTCTTCAAGTGCACATTTCCAGATTCCAATTCACCACGCAGGAGTTTTGATGAGATGTGCAGCAGGGTTTCATTAATTACCTACGGAGGTCCCAGGATCTTGATGTCTATTAAAGGGACTGTGATGAGATTCAATTGAGTGAATGTGATGCAAAATGTACAAGAAACCCAGGAACACATGACATTAAGCTCAGGTAACCTATGGGAGTTTACCCTAGAACTGTGTGTAGAAGCAGATAATCCTCAAGGAAAAAACTAAACAAACAAAAAAATGGACAAAAACATATTGTATTTCCCATTTCCTGAAAACATTTAAATTTGGGTTAGGTGGTGAAATAGTTTGTACACCATTTATCATAATTTGGCTGGCAATTCACAGTCCCGTAACATCATATTACACTGTAGGTAAGAGTGGCTGTATGTCAACAGTGGTCTCTTTGTTTAATACTGTTCTCTTGTATTGGAGTATGACCCTCAGTCTCACCATTCTGGCTACTTATGGTGAGCTTGTTTTTTTTCTAATGAACATTGCTGAGTGAAAAACATCCCATTAAAATCTTCACTACATATCGTCAGTTTGTCAGAAGTTTAAATATTCGGTTTTTGGCTGAGTTGCAAAGTTAACGTCTGATGCCTAAACCTGAAAGGAATAGCTCAACATGGGAAATGTGCTTATTCCCTCTCTTGCTGAGAGTTAGATGAGAAGATTCATCCCAATCTCATGTGTGTGCAGTAACAAAGCTACAGCCAGCAGCCGGTTAGCTTAGGTTAGCTTAGCACTAAGACTGACAACTGAAACAGCTAGGCTTTCTCTTTCTGAAGGTAACAAGAACCACCTAACAGTAGCCAACCTGGAAGGCTCACTAATGAACACATTATATAGTCTGTTTGACCCTTGTGTAAGTGTGTAAGTGTAAAAATGTCATGCTGTTGATTTACTGAGGTTATGTGCTGAACTATTTCTTGGCTAGGTGCTGTAACTTCTGCTTACTGAGCTTTAGAGCTCCCGGAGCATGCTGGATGTTTCCATTCACATAACGTTACCCTCCGTGGTACCTTCAGATTTAGCATACACACATGAGAGTGGTAGCAATGTTGTCATGTAACTCACAGAAAGAAAGTGAATTTCCCAAAATGTCAAAGTCCCAGTTTGTGCCTTTGGATTAATAAAGACAGTGATTTTTAATTGTGGCTTGGCCAAATGTTTGTTTTTTACCCACTGATTTATGTATCATGTATGCACACAATTAATCATAATCCTACAACAAGTGCTGTTTTATTAAATTATTTCTTCTACTCCAAATCCTTCAATCAATCTGGTAACATTTACAAACAACACTAACACAAGCACGCACGCACGCACGCACGCACACACACACACACACACACACGCACGCACGCACGCACGCACGCACGCACGCACGCACGCACACAGCAGAGCAAACTCAACCACCACACAATAAGCCTAAAAATACAACATCCACAGCTCTAATTTTTTACATTTCCAAGCAGCTTTCAAGCATTCGAAGCACAAACACCTTAAACAATCTATAAAATCAATCTTAAACTTAAACTAATGAAGTCAAATGATAGTCATAGCTTCCATCTAGGAGGTTTTGTATATAATCATACATTTTTTGAAGGGGGACAAAAAACACATTTTCACATAGGTACACATTGGGTTTTTCCAGTTTAAGTTTGGAATGACCTTACTGTTACTGTACATGCTCTGAATGTGCTCTACCAAAGGACCCTCTATGAGTATCAGCCCCCACACCAGACCACTTTGAAGAAGCACAAAACAAGAATTGCAAAATGATATGAACAAGATAAAGACAGTGAACAGAATGTTAGTGAAGTCTTCATTTTCAGTCCACGGTACGCTTCCAACGAAGAAGATCGGATAATCTAAGGGTGCTTTCACACCTGTAGTGTGGTTCATTTGGTCTGGACCAAAAAAACCTTAAACCTTTCACTTTTTATTTCTGGTCCATTTGGTGTTCACACACTGGCTTGTTATAAACGAATCAGAGCTGTAAACATAAATTCATATGGACTGACAGGTAACTCACTCATTGGACAGTTTTGCTGATGCCATCTTGTATTATCAGCACTGGATCCATCTAACCAGATAGAAATAGGATGGAAAAGACTGTTATATTACAGTCGCTATGTCTCACTTACATGGAGTAAGACATGCGTTCAACACAACTCTATTTAACTTCTTTTCATTTTCTGATATATGGCAGAGATTTCCCAAACACACGTGCTTAAGCGCATATGTGTTACAATGGATTTGCGCATAAATATATATGTTGCTTCATGCTGAAATCCCATATCTACTATCATAAAATGCCCTGTGTTTATGGAGTGAAAGCAAACAAAGGGCATTTTATGAAACCACAGCAGAGCTGGTCTGGAACCAGACCGAGGCCCTCCTACTCAGGCAGTCTCCATGCTGTGATTTCGTTGACATCTTTCACACCTGCCTAAACAAACAAAACCAAACAGGCAAGCACACAAGAGTTTGTTTAAAATGAAGCAAACAAAATGAAAGCACCCTAACTGTATCCAACCTCTTTCCAATGGCAGAACCAGAGAAGGACGAGTCTCCAAAGCCAGTTTACCAGGGGAATATTTTTCTGCTTTCAGTAGTTAGCTACTGATCTAAAGCAGGTTATGTGTACAGAACAGTGACAGGTGTGTGGAAACCCTGAATACGTTCCAGTGATATGGACATAAGTTATAAAACAAACAAACAAACAAACTAATGATAATAATACAATGCAACCTTTCTCTAAGACACCTGAACCCAAATGAAACAGATAATCACTTTGTACCCAGCTCTAAGGCTCTAACATGAGAGCGTAGACAAGTGGCTCCAACGTAAGCAGCATTGTCCACATACTTGTCTGCATACTGTACTTTGTGTGATTACAGTTATATGTAATTCTATATCAAAATATCAATTCAACAGCTTCAAGATAATAACCTAATATTTTCTTAATAAATTACATTTGATAACAACCAAACCTTGCTGAGCCCAAAGCTTCACAGCTTCTGTAAATTGGGCCTAGAGTTGTGCTACCAAGTCCCAGGCCATTTGTTACCTGGGCCAGAGTTGCAGAACTCCAGGGAAGATTTGGTCCAAATCATCCTTGGCCAACACTGAAAAATCTTCATTGATAACTTTTTTGCAAAAGGATTTTGTGCAAAGGAACCCTCATGCTCACACAAACAAGTAGTTGAAAGCAAGTATTTCAATTGTCTGAGTTGTTTGGTAAATGGCAAAAGCACACCATTAGGCTACTTAAATGTAGTTTACAACCATGTGAACACATGCTGACTGCTGGTAAGGGCTAGGTACTTAGTGACCAGTGGTGTGGATCTCATAATAGTTTTCAGTGCAGATGTGGATACTGCACGTCATCACTATGCTGGGCAAAAGGGCAAAGCAGGAAGGTACCATGTGTAGTTTTTCAAATCATAACCATGCTTATTTTGATAGGGGTATATTTACCTCTGCTAGCCACTAAGCTGCATCTTACATTAACTGGAAAATCTGTTACATTAGTGCATGAATGTGGAACTGCTTTGTATTTGAAAGTAACACAACTTCACATTAGCATATTGTGTCACATTAAAATCCATATTTGCTGTTACTGCCTCTTTTATATTTGCATGCCATCTTTGCAGGCCGCAGAGGGCTCATGGGATATGTGGTCTTAATTTTAGAAAACGGTAAATGTTAACCGTAGCTCCTTTGAGACTTAAAGAACATGTCTCTTTCTTCAGCTCTCTTACATTCCTATGCACAGCAGCTGCCCTGCCACTATCAAGGCCTAAGCTGAAAGTAATACTACAGACAGTGGGTGTTTGATGGTCTACACAGTATCCCAGAGAGTTTGCTGGAATGTCTCCTTGTATGGTCATAGAGAAGATTTATCTCCATCCAGCTAGTCCAGGATGGACCAATTAGGAGAGAGATAGGCAGAAGGAGGAAGGTAAAAAGGTAGATGAGCAGAAATGAATTTCTCTCTTCCAGCCATTCCTCCTCTTCTTTCTTCATCCATAATTTATTGTTTCAGCTCTTCTTTCTCCTTTTTTCTTCTTCCTACACTTCTTCCTCTCTCTCTCTCTCATCAGTAGCGTGTAGAGTACCAGTCATTGTCGGTCATCTGAACGAGCTCGTTGACCACGTCCAGCAGGTTGTAGTTGTATTTGTTCAGCAGCCGCTGGTTCAGCGGCCTGTCCCCAAAACCCATTTCCACCAGCACGGCCATCATGGTGTCCTGGGTGGATGCATCCACTGGAGGCTGAACAGGAATCAGATCTCATCAGTCCATCAAACCTGCTACTAATTACATGTCTGTGAAGATTTTCGGTCAACCAGGTTGTAGTTATTCAAGGAAGGTTAAATCAAGGGCAAGTGGACTTCTCTCATCTAAGGCTTCACGAGTCACATGAGGCTGCACAACCGTCGGGCCTCACGTGGCTCCAGCGACCACAACACCTTTCGTTACAACAGCCAGGAGCACTAACTAACCAAGCGGTATCCACCACCTTGATAATGACCCCACAGAGGTTTCAATGGCTGGGATTCCCTGCCATTCAATCAGAACTGAAGAAGTCTCTTGGATGAGACGTCTTCAAGTATCTTAACCAAGTCCACTCGCCCTTGATCTTAACCTTCCTAGATACTAATCACATAAAACCAAATGTTCCAGCAACATATAACGGTTAACAATTGGTCATTCACTAAACCCCTCCCCAGAACAGTGAATTTCCAATCATAGCAAACATAACTTGGGGCGGAAAGTCTGCCTTCGGATTTCCATGTGTTGCAGAAGGTTGCATGGGGTTGTAAAAGATAATCTGTGTACATGAGATGTTGGTTTACCAACATGTGACCTCAGTGATGAGGAGTGATGAACCCTTAGGTGCTTTATACAAAGCTTAGAAGGTAGTCTCTTTTTTTAAAAGTCTTGCAAACCAAAATTATAAAAGCATTTATCTGCTCTAATTTAAGCTGCAAATTCTAGCATGTCTGGCTATCTAGCTTACTACATACAGTAGCAGTCTATGCCTGTGCCAACATAAGTTGGGATACAGATTTTTTACAAAAACCTAGCACTTCCCATTTAGTGTTGAATTGAACCGGCTACTGTGTAACGCCGGTCCTGTATGCTATTTTATCAGAGCTATTTAGCTGTGTCCTCTTCTAGTTTATACAGCTGCATCCCCAGCCAAACCTTTTTCGAGATAGAGTTATGTGCACCAAAGATCACATCAACAGACGTTATCCATAATTTACAGCAACAGCAAAATGTTGCATTGGAGAAGTATCAGATCAGCCTTGGTATCGGCAGATATCTAATACTGAAGGACTCGGATTGGGATCAGAGCCAAGAAAACTTGATGGGGACATCCCTATTTCAAGTACTTTAAGAGGACGGTGAACTTCTTAACAACAGAGATGTAAAATGTGAGGTATGAAACAAGACTGTTGGTTCTAAGCTGCTTGCTGACCTGTGTGGGGCCTTGTCCAGTGAACAGAGCTTTGTAGGCAGAAGCAGCTACTGACAGAGCGCCTTTCACCAGGCCGCTGGTGATGCCTGGGTGCCTGAGAAGAGACAATAAAGAGGTTACGTTCAAAATGTGACAGCTGTGTGAAAGCCTTGGCTACATCTCCAACTCAGCATTTCCACAGAAATAATGACGTATGAAGTAAAGCTGAATGACGCCGACAAATCGTTTCAAGCTTTTCACTTGTGGAAGGGAACATGTAGAACACCTGCCCTGTCACAGCTTCCCAGAAATGTTGCACTGGCTGTCCGTCCAATGCCTAAACTCTAGTTGAGGTCATGTGATCATTACAGGAGAATAAAATTTGTTTTATATTTACTTGACATCAAAACAAAACTATCCTTGTAGACACTGGACGTTCTGTTAAGAGATACATATGTTGTGAAAAAAATCGGTCTGCGCAATGAATAAACTTACTGCAGTAAAATAAAGCCAGATTGTATAATGATGCCTCTCCCACATTTCATTTCACTTCATTTTTTTTCTTAACTTTTCCATAAGCACCTTTTAATTTGAACAGATTTAAGCAAAATCAAATCTTACATCGAAGTCAGAACTGTCTCACCATAACATTCCCCAAAAGCAGAGCGCAGAAGAGAAGGCCGGACTGTAACTGATGACATCATCATCTTCTGTTGTAGAAATCCAAGGTTACATCAGAAAACACTAAAGAACTGCAGTACGGAGTCCTCTGGCACTTCAGAGGACAACGCGAATGAAAGGATTAAAGGCTCATGGAGACTACACGACTTTCAGCGTCAGCCGATGGCCGTGCCATTCACACTAAACATCTATAGTGTGAACTAGGCTTAAGGGGGAACGAGTATTCAGGGACTACAAGCATTTCCTGGCCCATGATGATGACTGGCTAATGACCGCCAATTTTGATTCCCTAGAGCAGCGCTCTTTGATCGGTGTGCTGAACTGGTTCCAGCATTAGACGGACCAACCTGACGGAAGCACACCATCCCAGTAGAAGTACAAGTAGGCTAAAACCAGGCTATTGTTTAGGCAGGCTCATTTATATGCATCAACATTCAAGAGGTGCTTTGAATCGACCATTTAAGGAATGTGGGTGTGTAGAGAGAACACTGCCTGCAGGTGTGTAAGTGGAAAGTAAAAAATGGAAATTGATTACAACACAGTTTCATTTACACCCAGTGATTTAGTAAACTAGGGGCCTCGATGCAGCCGGAGTACAATATGTTTCCATTATTCAAACTGTTCACTAGAGCAGCACCACAGTGTTTATTCACATTATTTTTTTAGTACTTCCTCTGTTTTTTGTTTTACATAACACACTAAGGCACACATGCTAGTTTGAGTTTTAGAGTGTGTGTGCGTGTTCTGACTGCATTTGGGGGAACATTTAAGACTAAAGACCAGTGAATTGGGGATGGCTTGTCCAATTGGGGATTTTGGGTCTGAGTATAAGTGTATGTTTGTGAATGAGACCTGGGGTCCTCAGGGTTGTCCTCTGTGTCTTCAGTAGCTTCAGTATCACCTGCCTGAGCTTGTTCAGGACCAGAGGCTGTGGGACAACAAAACATCACATTATCCTTGACTCCATCACACATCTGTCCAGTTTCAAAAATAAACACATCTCTACCTCTCAGCCTCTATAAAACATTTGGCAGTATCAGCATGAATAAGATGATGCTAAAAACTCCAGCTCCATAGTCCAGCCTCACAGCTGCTAACATGCCTGTTATTTAACTGGCAGAATATAGCGGTGTGCTTACCTTCCTCAGTTTGGTACAGTTCAGAGCTCTCTGCTCCTTCGCCAGCAGCAGCAGGTTCAGCATCTGTTTTTCCACTGCTCTCTGGACTGCAGAAGCAAGACATTTGCAAGTGTTAACAACCAATGCAGCTCCAATGGGGCGTTCATTAGCAGAGTGATTAAAACACATATCACATACAATTACTGCATGTAACCCCCCACTACACACCCCAGAATAAAGGCAAAAGGTCCAAAATCCTTAAAAAATAAAGCTGCAATAATCAAAAATTTTGAATTATAACAACCTATAATAACCCACAGACAAATATCAACAACTCTATAGCTCTCCTCATCTCTTTCAGATTGTGGTTTTACTGCCTGCCTGCACTTCACTTCACAAAATAAATAAATAAAGCCCTGCAGTTGAAAGTGTACAGTACATTCATGCTTCTGTGTCTATATCCCACCCTTCATACTGACCTTGGTGTGACGTTGGCTTTAGGTGGTGCCACCACTTCAGGTGTCAGCGGTTCATCGTCCAGCGTCTGAGACGTACAGAGCATGTCGTTGGCGCTGCTGGTGCCCGATACCCCTGTCGCTGGAGCCACTACGGCTTCATCCGCCTCACCCAGCTCTCCCCCCGGGGTGGAACTGCCAGGGTGGTCAAGAGAGGGGGTTTCTAGGTCTGTGGGGGTTTGGGCTGCGATGTCACCAGGTTGGGACAAAGCAGAGCTGCAATGGGACAAGGAATGGGTTGTTTAAGGGAATATGACAACATGCACCCTCCAGTTGCCATATTGGAGGTCCTTACCTAATCGTTTATTGCAAACATAACAATTTCTGCAAACTGAAAGTGCAGGCTGACTCAGGCCCCACCCACACTACTCCGTTTTGGTTTTAAAATGGAGACCTTTTGCTACGTTCGCACCTCCAGTTCAGACTAAAATGGCGATGACGCGGACACTCATGTTTGGCTCTCTGATTGGGTCTCATTAGTCATGTAAAGCAGAAACACAATGCAACTGATTTGTTGTTGTTTGCTGTTTTTGATTTGGTATTTTAATTAAAATATTTTTGTACCGTGCAAATAACACTAAGGCTATAACCTATTTACTTTGTCACGACTCCCAGTCTGTTTTCCACCGCCACAGTCGTTTTTAACTCCCGTGTTACATTCAGTAACAGCCCCAGCTCGTTAATGATCCATGCAAAAACATATCTGGTGCGGTTCTTCGTCGCCATTACTTTATTCTTTTGCCAAATCTTCTGTAACTAGGGAATAGACCATCTGCTTCGTGTTTACATCGGCATGCGCATGCCCAGTGTACGTGAACGGACACTAGATGTGCAGTCGTTTTAATGTAGATGGAGATCAACTCTAAAACGCAGCTAAAAGCTGGTGTGGACGGAGGTTGTATTCGTTTCAAAACTCTGTTTTTAAACAGAAACAGAGTTTTGTGGATGGGCCAGCAAGTCAAGTACCTGTACATGGACTCCCCCAGTGGCCGACTGGTGTCAAAGCAGTCAGGGAGGATGATGATGTAATCTTCTGAGGAGGTGGAGGAGGAGCGGCTCCTCGTCCCTTCTCTGTTGTCTTCCCCCTCTTTCTCCTTCTCCTCCCCTGGCTCATTCTCTCTCTCCATGGGGGACATCTCACCTTCATCTGTGTTGGGATCAGGAAAACTGATAACTTTCACAGATGACACACCGCAAATTACTGCACAAGAAAAAAAAACATAAAAACTTCTCTGAGATTAAAGAGAGATAAATCTCTCAAATTTACAAGAAAGAAACTCAGATTTTCTCTGAGATTAAAAAGTCATACACCTGAGAGAAATAGGCACTAGGCTCAAGCAAACATTCCTTATCCAACTAGTGCATTGCATCTTGTAGTTCATGCTGGTGATTGACTTCATTTGTTGAATCCAGCAGCTCCTTTGTTATTCAATATCTGCAAGCCTCACATAGTCTGTAGGTCTACCAGTAGATGTATGCTTTTTGGTGTCTAAATATTTTGGCATATGATTACTGTAACAGCAAGTTTTTGCTGTGAAATGGTGAAATGAGTCTGTAGTTTTTTTAAATGAAATCACTTATCAATTAGTCACTTTTTTGCCTATTTATGAACAGGTTGGAACCTCATATACAAATGAACCACACAGCTGCTTTCTCTGTGACTTGGAACAGCCACTGTTCTGCATCCTATAAAAGGCATTTGAGTCATGGAGAGACCTCCGCTTTGTTTGGAAACCGACAAAACTGACACAGAGATGGCTTTCATCCTATTGGACAGGTAAACTTATATTACTGCAAACCATGTGAAATATATTACTAAATATATATATATACTAACACTGACCAGTTGCTAACTTTATCCGGTGAAAAAATACTATAGTTGTATGGCTTTCCACATTACTATCACGTTACTATCCTGTGTACCACCAGTATTATGTCAAAGTGTAAAAAATTTTTTTTAAAGACCAACAGGGCTGATTAGCTTAAAAACGAGTTGGCCAACTGCAAGTCAAAGTTCTTTTCCATGGATTTAGTAAATACCTGTTTCCCCTTTTTACCGATTCTGTTGTCATTACTGCAAATGAAGTAAAGGCACATACTATCAATACAACAACCGTGATGGAAAACCATCCCATCTAGTCTCACAGTGAACTGTTTATAAAAAGTTTTAGCAATCAGATATATAAAATTTAAGTGTCTTTGTGTCTGAAAGATCCATTTAATCACTGCCTATGTGTAAGCCACAAACCAGTCTTAGCTATGAAGTACCAACAACAAGCCCATTCCAAAGATTTGTGTTTCATGTCCTTCACGAGTCATCATGTGCCCTTCACCTCACCCTTTCCATGCACTAGCATTAGCATTAGCTATAGCTGATATAATCTGCTGCTGGAGAAAATGATCATTTTAACCCACTAATACTAGAAATTGAAAATCATTTACTGTCCTAATGTGAATATTTACTGATGTACTCTGCACAAAGGCAGAGGATTTTAACTTATTCTGACTAGATCAAAAGGCTAAACTCTAAGTGAGTTATTGGTATGTGAATGTATTTGTCACTGAGGTTAGTGCTGACCATAGTTGCTCATCACAATGCATCTAGAAACGGCCATTTGTGTCATTTCTGCTTAGTGGATCTGTTTGAAATCTGTCAGGGAGTAATGAGAGAGCCAGAAGCAGCCACACCTCCCACTCCTCAGCAGCAGAACTAACTCCTTTTACTGTGAGGACAATTACACTGTGTGCAAGCTCAAATCAGGTGGTGGCTGTTATTAGCGACTCTTTAAGCATTGTGACTTTGTTTGGCTGCACTGTAAACAGACTGTTTGCTCCTCGGTTGTATTTCATATATACATATATAGACATAAGGAACTATTCAAGGAGTGTTTGCTGTCTGTCAGCCAAATCAGCCAGGATCAAAATCTGTAGGATTATAACTTTAAGTCAATGTTGCGTTGCGAGTCTTTTTGGATTTTGCCAAGTCAAGTCTAGCCATGTCATCAGTTTCATGACTCAAGTCTGACTCGAGTCCACAACTCTACAATAAACATGTTAAATCAGAAGAATTTGTTTGCGAATGTTTAGCCAAATGCTGCCATAAAAATGGTCCAATCAAGAATTGTTGTTGTGAGATCAAATGGGACCTCAGCTCAACCAGTTTTCTGCTGTTACCTGTGATTGTTTGCTCCTGCAGGGTGGAGGCCCTGGGCGGAGCACGGAGCGGGGTCGGTGCTGAGCTGGGGCCGGTTCCCGGGGTCGGAGCCACAGACAGGGGAGCAGGGAGGGAGGCTTTCAGCGGGGGAGGGAGGGAAGCTTTCAGCGGGGGAGGGAGGGAAGCTTTCAGCGTAGCCGGTGGTTTCAGGGGGTTTTTAGAGCTGCTTGGGCTGCTGTCTGGGCTCTCCTCCATTTTTACAGTTTTACTCTTGACACAGGAGGAGGAGGAGGAGGAGGAGGAGGAGGAGCTGCACGGAGCAGCTGGACGCACCACTGAGAGCAAACAGGAAGTCCACTGTTAGTGACTGTACTTAATACTTTTCTCTTTCAATTACAGATGCAGGCAGAGAAAAAAACTCCAATCCAATAAAATACTGCTGGAGCTGAACATGATGCCACAGAAGGTCCCGTCAGCCTCGTTACGTTTCTCTGGAGCTTCCTCACTGGTGAAGCATATTTGCCCAGCATGCTATATGTTGCACAGTAACGCAGGATAGTGTTATATAGTTGCATAGTAAAATAATTGCACATGATGAGACAAGCAATTGTTACGTTAAAACCTTTATTGGGAGGATTTTACGATTGTGTGCACTTCCTGTATGTGATCTAATGTTATTTATTCCAGATGCCGGGTGGTTGGATTGGCGGCACCACCTGTGGGAAAATAATTACATGAGCTGATTAGCAGAGCTCAGTTAATTAAGAGACAAAAAAACGATATGGATGAACTGCATGCAGTTATCTTTAGGGTTAATGTTGAGATACATGTTTGTAGTGAATGTCATGTCATTTGCTAAACACTTACCCACGTTCTCCTGTGTCTAACTCCCAGGGTGTGCGATCAAAAGAGTCCCCAGGGAAACAAACACCTCTTTGTCTTCATCAGCAGCCATACCAACATGTACTCTGCTTCTGCTGAAGGATTGAAGCTGAGCAGGTTTGGGCTTGGCTAGTACCTGGATGGGAGACCTCCTTGGGAAACTAAGCTACTGGAAGAGGTGTTGGCGGGCCAGTAGGGGGCAGTCTCTTCTGTGGTCCTAATATTAACGTCCCAGTGCAGTGACGCTGTGCGGTAAGGAGATGCCGTCCTTCAGATGCGACGTTAAACAGAGGACCTTATCACATCCCATGGCACTTAATGCAAAGAGTAGGGGCTTCTCTGGTGTTCTGGCAAAATTCTCCATCTGGCCATCTAATGCTCCCCCAGTGTAATTGGCTCTATGTTTCCTTCCCTCTCAAGCTGGCGTGCTACACATTGTTGGTGGTTGAGATGAGTCCCCATTCCCCGAAGCGCTTTGAGTATCTAAGATAAAGCACTATATAAATGTAATGCATTATCTATGGTTCCAGGAGGGCTAAACCACGTAAGATTGTGTAGGGATGTGGAATATATGTCAGGGTTATGTTTGCTAGCTTTGTTGTTGTGTTTTGGATGTATTAACTGTCAATGGGTTGACTGATGTAATGTGAGTATTTTTCTGTTATGTTTTTAATTTGTAGATATTGCATGTAAAATAGGTACCCCTGTTTTTGGTAGCACCCAAGGGTGGGTACAATAAAAGGCTGCCCTTTGGTCTCCCACAAGTGGTAGGACTGGTCGTGGTAGGCACTTATTCAACTCATTATGGGGAGAATGCTGAACATACAAGATAGACGGCGATGTTTTCAGAGAATTGTAGGGTGAAAAGAAACAGATGAGGCATGTCTCTTACATTAAAGTGTAGCAGGATCCTTTCTCACTCAAAGACTTAGGTGCTGCTGGGCAGCAGTGTGCTCAGTGCCTCTACTGTTGGCCAGAAAATATAGTCTTCAGGTATCAGTGAAACACTATTGGGGAAGTCTAGTTCCAATAACAGATCTCAGATTTTGAAGATTTATAAGATGCAAAAACAGTGCACAGAGGTTGATTATACGCTGGAAAGTTATCACAGCGACAACTGTCACCACGCTCAGAAGGTAGAGCCTCTTGGTTGGTGCCCTGGTCTGAACACCTCTGTCTTGTAGTTACTTTACAGCTGCTGCCAGTTTTTTTAACCACCTTAAAAGGTGCCCTCTGGAATTATTTTCTTGTAAACACAGGTTCTGTTTACATTCAGTGTTACTCATCAAAACTTGCTGAGTGCATTTGCAAAGCCAGTTTCTCTTAAGAGTTTAAACATGCATCATTTATATTTCCTTTACTGGCAGCAAAACACACAACAGATATAGGCCGTCAACCTTTTTTATTCACATTTTGAAGTATCGTATCAGCAAAAGGTTGATGGAAACGGCAAAATTAGAAAAATAAATAAAGTTTGTATGCTCGCTTGAGGTGGTTTTTGCCTTTGACGTGCCTTGTAACTTGTAACTCACGTCTGATCAGCTGTTTCCGCTGTCGCCATCTTGCCGGATATTCACTTAACATGCGGAGACATGGCTGCTAGCAACTTGCCTGCTTGAAACACATTTCTGAGGACCTCTCTCCATTTTTCTAAGCTCAATGGCCATCAGGTCCATGCGGCCGGTTTCGTTTCTGGTTTGGAACCCAGACGTCTTGTTTACTACAGCCATGTGTAACGTCAACTACTGACGTAATGTAAAATAGCACTGTAGCAGCAGGACAGAGGGTCAGTGACCTTCTACGGGGAGAGCAGTGATTGGTGGTTATGTAGGGACTGAACCCTTCTATAGAATTTGACTTCTAACCCCTTGTTTTGTTACTTCAGAATAGTACTGTACCCTTCTATGGGTTTGACCTTTTATTTTGCAGACTCAAACCCTGCTCTGGTACCTAACAGATACCTAAACATGCCCTATATAAGCTATGTTTGATGTACAGAGAGACAGAGTGGCCATCGGGCTGGGTCACTCTCCAAGCTGCTGCAGAGCTTGTAATTGATGCTGAACTCCTTGATTTAATAAACTTTTATGATCAAGAACAGTGTCAAGCGGGTTTCCTCTCAACACATCATCGCAGCATTATTGTTCGGACACCACAGTAACTACGCTTGCCGCAGCCTGGTTTATTCGCTCCAAACCAGCTGGTGGAAAACGCACATATCACTTTTTTGCGACATTTCAAAAATCCGCTTAAAACTCGCATGACAGTTAGATGGCAACATGGCTACTGTGAATCAGAATGCACATGATAATTAAAGCTGACAGCTGGTGAGTATATGGTTTTACAAAATACATTTGTTCCACCTTCCATAATGATCAATATTTGGAGAAATTATTATTTCACATGCTCACAATGCTTAATGAATTAATTCATTTACATTTTGTCGGTGCTTTCTTTCATCCATCAAACATCCAATGTTCAATCAATGACTGGAAACAAATTAGAGGACAATATTTAAAAAAAGAACAGTTTAATGAATTTAAAAAGGACAGCTTCAGCCTGTAACCCTTGCTGAATGACCTTTACCTGTCTCTGGGCGGGAGCCTCTCAGAGGGGCGTGGTCAGGGGCCTCCTCCAGGGTCATTGAGCGGATCACAGTCTCACAAACAAACTGAGTCCCACTGATGTCATCCTCCCCTTCCTCCTGAGCTGGGACTCCACCCCCTTCTGCTCCAGATCCCGGGCCATGAGGAACATCTGAGGATCAGTAACAGGTAGACAAATGAAATGGAGGTACTTGTGAGGTGGAAGGTTAGAAAACACACATTGTTTGATGTAGCGAGTTAAACAGAATCAAATTATTCCCAAAAGGGGCTTTAGGGCAGAAAAGTAAAAATGATATATTGTTGATCATATGAAACACACACCTGTCAGCTCATTCCCACTGGTAACAGCCAGTTGATCGCTGTTAGCGGGATATGGATTTACTAGTACTTTCTAGTAGCTTATGTCTTATTTCACCATTGTAATTCTACTTCATTCTTCACCTTATTTTAGGGTTTACTTACTAATTGAGTTTGCATCCTTTCCCTTCAGTTCTCTTTTGTACACCTCTGCTGCAAACACGTCAGCGTGCCCTGCTTCTTTCTGTCTCTCTTTCCCTGTATATATCTGATCCCTTGACTTTCTCCACCAGTAGTAGGATATGTTATATAAAGTCGCCAAGAAGACACAGAACTCATCTTCTGGATTTTCCTCAACGAGATTCCGTTAACAGCAGCAGCTGTGCATCATGTGGTAGGCGTGTTGACGACGTAGCCTATCAGAACAAAACCAACGTGGTAGCTCCTAGTGTTGTAGTCAAGACCGTAGTTAGGGGGCTGAGACCAAGTCGAGACCAAGACCAAGGGAGGGGGCCAGACGAGTCAAGCACAAAACCAGTTCCCCACATTACATGACACACTAAAATGTGGAACGAGATCATAGGTGCTTCTCAAATTGATCCGAAAGATCCACATTCCCATTAAAGCACCCACATACAAACACTAAGCTGAAATCAACATGAGCATCACCATCTTGGGGAGGGGTGACAGTTTATTTAGCGTTATTGGTTGCATTTGAAGCAGTTTGTTTTACATCCAATCAAAGTTTGGATGTTAACAAATAAATCAGACCATGCGAAAACAATTTACTGATATTCCCAAAGTTATGGTCTTGAAATAAAATCCCGAGTCCTCAATATCCGAGACAAGACCGAGTACAAATGAGGTTGAGTCCGAGACGAGACCAAGACCATCAAAAAGTGGTCCATTTGCCTCGGAAGTCGGAGGTCAGAGCTGGGAATGACGTCAAACCGAGTGGATGCCGTTCCAGTTAACAAGTCGGAAAACCTCGCTCAGCCAGCCGTTGTTTACAACTAAAGTTAGCCAGGTTAGCTATTGAACTCGGAAATTCTGACTTCCCACGCCAAATGGAACGCACCATTAAGACCTGTCTCGAGTACTACAACACTAGTAGCTACTGAATGTTCACTGTCGCTTTACCTGCGCTTGTAACGTAATTGACAACAACCCTGTATTTCTCTGCAAAATGCTAAAATGGGTTGCCAAATATACCTGGGCGATCCGCCCAAGTAAAACATATGTGTGGGAAACACTGACTGAACCGGTTGTTTTTCTTTTTACAAACCAGGTCTTGAGCAGTGTCGTCCAGCACTGAGTCTCCCTCCATGTTGCTAGAGAATTTGTGCGCTAAAGGGACTGCGCACAGACACAGAGGGTGGGTGGTGGCGACAGGAGCAAACGCTGGCAGCACTTTATGGAAAAATGTATTAATTAACTCAACATCAAACTATATCGGTGTAAACAGTATTGTCTAATTTTATATCTCTTTTGAAAATACACTGCTCAAACAAATAAAGGGAACACTTAAACAACACAATGTAACACCAAGTCAATCACACTCCTGTGAAATCAAACTGTCCACTTAGGAAGCAACACTGATTACAATCAATTTCACATGCTGTTGTGCAAATGGAATAGACAACAGGTGGAAATTATAGGCATTTAGCAAGACACCCCCAATAAAGGAGTGGTTCTGCAGGTGGTGACCACAGACCACTTCTCAGTTCCTATGCTTCCTGGCTGATGTTTTGGTCACTTTTTGGCATGAGATGGAGTCTGCAACCCACACAAGTGGCTCAGGTAGTGCAGCTCATCCAGGATGGCACATCAATGCGAGCTGTGGCAAGAAGGTTTGCTGTGTCTGTCAGCGTAGTGTCCAGAGCACGGAGGCGCTACCAGGAGACAGGCCAGTACATCAGGAGACGTGGAGGAGGCCGTAGGAGGGCAACAACCCAGCAGCAGGACCGCTACCTCCGCCTTTAGGTGATAAATTTGATTTCCATTGATAATTTTTGAGTGATTTTGTTGTCAGCACATTCAACTATGTAAAGAAAAGAGTATTTAATGAGATTATTTCATTCATTCAGATCAAGGATGTGTTATTTTAGTGTTCCCTTTATTTTTTTGAGCAGTCGGTATATCTTATAATTTTTATACACCGACAAGCCCTACTACTTAGGGCATTTTTGTACCTGGTTGGCATGGTTGGATCAGGTTGGTCTGTCTAATGTTGGACCCAGTTCAGCACACAGATCAAAGAGCACTGCTCTTAAGCCTAGTTCACACTACACGATTTTTAGCCCGATTTGCCAGTCGGCGAGCTCGGCGGTCGCCAGTCGTTATGTGTGAACTACTCAATGACGCATCAAAACGGCTCCCCAACACATTTCAGACACATCGCCGACATCTGCCAAATATCTAGCACGCCAAAAATCTGGAGGAGTCGGCCGACTCGACATCCAACCAACCAGAGCAGGCAGCTACTTTTTCACTGCAAAACACTTTTTACTGACCTCCAGCTCTCTCTGTAGCTCAGACAATCCCTGCTACCTGCCTGTGCTAATCCATTCTTTCACCCAGATTCTTTGTCTTTATAATTGGTATCTTTATAATACAGCTGTTTGGTGTGTAGGTTCGCGTCATTTCCCGTTTCACATGTGTTTTCTTGACTAAACGTGGTTTGGAGACCAGCATTGGGTGACAGAGTCGTTGTCAGCTCCTGTAGTGTAAACGCCACAACGACTTCAAGACTCCTGTCACAAGACGGCAAGTTGTGTAGTGTGAACAGCAGGGGACGCTGAAAGTCGTGTAGTCTGCACAAGCCTTTAAGAATCTAAATCGGCATATTAGCCAGGCATCATCATGTGCCAGGAAATCCTCGTGTCTCTAAGCACTCATTCCCTCTTCATCCTTCCATTCCCTTTGTCCTATGCAGTGCCAGTGTATTCATTGTGCAGCATTACGCAGGAGTGTCATGCAGTATTTACACTGATGAGCCATAACATTATGACCACCCGCTCCACCTATGCAGCAGCCACTATAAACATAACATTAGTTAACGGCAGATGCAAAGACGGAGGAAGTTAAGAAGAGAAAAAGAGAGTGACCGAAGCAAGAGGCTGCCAGACGTTAGCGAGAGCTTCATGAAAATAAAGGCTGCAAGACAGACGCCTAGCTGGACTTCTTGCTGTTGGACTAGTCAGTAATAACTTACTAGCTTGTTGCTGTCTTGCATTGTTGCACTTGCTTGTTTGACTGTGTTAGCTAAGCTGCCGACTCATTAGACAGGGCGAATTACACTCAGAAAACACATATTTCATAATGTTGCTGCAGTTTCTGATCTCTACACACTGAAACTTTATTTATTTAAGCCACCTGTGGATGCATTAAATAAAAAGATTTAGTTGAAGTCAGTTTAATGTATTACTGTGGCAAACATGGGTTCTTAGCAACTTAATGTTCATATAGAGAAGGTTTGATATTATAGAGTAATAACTAATAGTATGGTAAAAAGCAGTGTGTGGAAACATTGTAGAACACGATGTAAAATACAGTAAGAGCGAACAATGCAGGAACATGCATTAAAATGATACTTATGTACATAAGTCTGTTGCTTGCTACCGGAACGCTGCAGTATCTTAGCCTAACAGTCTGCTTTTCATCTTCATCTTTCTCAGCTGTTACAAAAACTAACTCTACAACTCGGAAATGGGTGTAGAACAGGTGAGATTTTTGCAATAAAGTTTGAGTTGTCAAAGTGTCCTTGCCCAAGATACTGAACCCCAAATTGCTCCTGATGGCTGTGCCATTGGTGTGTGTGTGTGTGTGTGTGTGTGTGTGTGTGTGTGTGTGTGTGTGTGTGTGTGTGAATGATTGGTTTCTGATGAGCCGTTGGAACCTTAGCCTCTGCCATCAGTGTGTGAATAGGTGAATGTGACATGTATTGTAAAGCGATATGAGTGGTCAGAAGACTAGAAAGGTGCTGTACAGGTGCAGTCTATTTACCATAAAATACCAACTTTTGTGTCGACAGAAAGTTCCTTCATGAGGCCTCAGATTACAAAGTACACTTTATCTTTCTCCATTTTGGATTTTCTTTCATTTACCAACCTCTCAACAAAACTCTATCAAGAACCTTAAAAAAATGTATGAATAAGAAACTCCATTACCCATGATGCTAGTGATGACTTCAGTCTCTTCCTGGATGAGACCCAAAGAGGGACTGCTCTTGTCCAGCAGGTGGCCATCTTGAGGCAGAGGGGACATGCACGGAGTCATGTCTGGACGGAGAAAAGACGACAGAGACAGGAAATGAACTCAGGTCCCTGCAGTTACCAACACGTGACACTGATGTGCAGGGGTGTTGATTTGTAACATCACCAAAAAGACAAAAACAATAATAACAGTATACGCATCAGTGGAGCATGTTATTATCCCACGAGCTGTTTTTCACTCCGCTAAAATCTCACACGTCCGCATGGTTGATTAAAAAATAGCAGTATCAGTTTCAGCTTCTGATCACAAGCTCTCAATGTTCCTGAACCAACCACCAACAACTGGAAACCACTAGAACTCTTCTTACCAGCAGGGGTGTTGTTTGGGACACTCTCCAACTCTTGGACGATGTTGATGTCCAACAGCTCAAAAGACAGAAGATCCTGAGAGATCAGCAACAACAGATAGCTAATTAAAGATGCTTTTGAACTGCATTATGGTAAATGTAGGAGGCAGTGTATTTGGAGTTTTACCCATACTAGGAATAAAAAGTCTGGAGAATTCAGACTCTGCTGTTTCCATTTTGACCTTTTTTTTTTTTTTTTTAAATGCGTCTCTCGTGAGTTCCCCAACTTTACAAAACTGCACACTAAGGACCCTATCTAAATGGTCTAAAGTGCATGGCGCAAGTGCATTTAGGGCGAGGGAGAGTGAATATGGACAGAAGTGTCAATGTGATGTAAAAACTCTCTTTGATCATGAAGCCTTATAGTTGTTGTTTATCAGTGAAGTGTATGACAGACAGACGCTGTCTCCTCTATGAAAAGTCTGGTTCCTCACTGCGCTGCATTAGTAGAAACTATGATGAGCCGCTATAGAGTCGCATCTCACAAGAAGCGTCTTCCAGGTGATGTACCAGTGTTTTCTTTAACGTTTTACCTGTGTTTAATGATTAGAGAGGCGGCTGTCAGTAATGTTAAAGGTTTCCACGCGTGCAGTGATGTCAGCAAACATCAAATAAACTCTCCAGAGAACAGAATTCAACTTTCAGCTTCTGAAATCCATGTTTAGACACTGATGGAGCTCAGGATTGATCAGGAGGGTGCCCACTTTACGCCAAACAGTTTCACTGTATGAACCTGTATGAACATTATTAACATTAGATCCTGACCGATCCTGTCGTCATGTCAGGAGATTTAAATAACCAATGAAGTTACGCTGCTGTGCCTCATGCGTAAATGCGCACAGTGTCTTTCTTAATAACCCTATTTCACCCACCAGCAACCCACCCGCTATTAATCAGAACATTCATTTTTTTGACTTGGCCCACCTGATAAGTGGATATAACTGTGGATCACTAAAACCCGCCTATGCAGGATAAACTATCTTACAATATGAATAATGTGCTCTTTAAAAAGCGGGATATTACTTCACAAGTGACTTTAGAACAGGTTTTTGTTGGGCAATGGATCGATCACTTTCTGCTGCCCCAAGCACCAAAACACTCGCGCGAACACACACGTCCATTTGCTATTTACAGAGCATGGGCGCTGGGCGTAAAAATGACAACTGCGATGGTCGGAAACTAGCAATGAGAGTTGCGCTGCACTGGGTTAAGATAGGGCACTAAATCACTGGAGTATTCCTTTAAGTAATTCATCTAGAAAAATACCAAACATACTCCAGTGTGATGATTTACTGATATTCTAGGTTTCGTTTCATTGCAAAACTGAATATGGCTGGGGTTTGGGAGTGCATAATTCATCATAAATCAAAATAAATAAGAAACAGATACAAGATGAGACACTGAAAATATTAAACATGCACAAAAGAGAGGGATTTTGATATTGAAAAAAAATGTTTTTACACAGAACCACGTGTCTGAACTTTAAAAGTCTATTTTGTTTTTTACTCTGTCTTTAAATACTAACCCTAAATGCATGTTTGCTTACCAGTGATACTGTATTTGTCACTACCTGCATGTGCTCCACAATAAATACATTTTATTGGCTCAGGAGGAAGAGTGGGTAGTCCACTAATCAAAAAGTCAGTGGTTCCCCAAATTGCTCCCAGTGGCTGTATGAATGTGAATGGGTGAATGTGACTTGTACTGTAAAGCGCTATGAGTGGCGCAGTCAAGTACAGTCAACCCTTTTAATGTGAAGGCAGTGGTCAGCCTTTACTTTGAAACCAGAAGTGTTGACTTGTCAGAAATGTAGATCCAGAAATGGGACATTTCGCATAAAGATGACTTTTGCTTTTGATACTTTGAGTATATTTTACTGATAATACATGTGTGCTGTGTAGAATTTGGAATGCAATTTGTTGTAATTGGCAATTTCTTAGACCTACTCAACAATACATTTTATTTGCACAAGCCTAAACACATGTTGGTGTATGATCTTCTTGACTTAAACGGTGAGATGTTGTTACAGCCTCGCGTTGGCTGACACATATCTTAATCAGATCAAACAGAGAGTTGTACAGATTTACATTTTGGGAATAAAGAGCACTGGTGGCAGTTCGGTACTTGGTATTGGCCAATACCAGCGTAGGTGTCAAAATCAGCATGGGGGAGAAAAGGTTGGATCGGTGCATCCCTAGAAATAAACCTTTGCTGTAGCCTTAATGTAAAGTGTACAGAAGATAATTACCTGTGCAGTGAGCAGGTCAACAGAGGGGATGTAGTACTCTTCTTGGTCCACTGACATTAATGGTAGCTCCCGAGATGCTGCACAGGTTTTTCCATCCTTTGACACTGGGTTCTTACCCTGCAGACAAAGTCCAGTGATTTAAGTGAGACACTGTACACACCCATCTCTACAGTATGTCACTATGCCTGTATGTTGTGTGCATTTATTGCATTTTTGACTGTCTAACTTCCACAGGAAAGCAGGATTCCTGTTTTCTTTCATCCAGCCATTTGTTCTACCTGCGGTGTGACACAGGGTGACACCAGTATCCCATCTGCCATCATGGGCGCTGGAGCCAGAGGATCAACCACGATGCTGCACCAGACCCTGGGTCCAAACTGCTCTCCAGCATGGGCCAGGCGCCAGTGGGAGGTGTAGGAGCCCTCCACAGTGGGAGCACTGAGTGCTACACTCACTATACCAACCTAGACACACGCAAAGAATTTTGTTGATCATCAATGTATCAAGAAAGTAGTAATATACTGTAAAATACAGCGCAAATGACGGAGCACTTTGGGGTTGACCCATGTGATTCAGAGCTACAAAGAGAAAGTGAGAAAGATGAGCTAGCTGACAAGTCCAGGGGACTTTTCCCAAAGGTAAGTGAAAATAACAAAACTCCCCTAATGTTGCCATCTCACCTGTCCTGGCTGGAGGAAGGGAACAGACACCTCTCTCCAACGGTCCCCAGATCCCACCGCCAGGTTTCCCCACATGAATTTGAGCTGCAGGAAACAAACAAGGCAAGATATGATGTTCACCTATCAGTGGAACTTTATTCAACTACAGTATACTGTATTTACTCTGACAATACAAGTGGTGCTAGAAATAAGTTTGTTTTTAAGCTGTACCAAGCAAAATCTTTATATAAACAAGGGCTCAAATGACTACATGTAATGTGAAACGTGTCCGTACAGTTATTCACTTATGTAAAATGAGATCTTTATCTCAGTGGGACTTACCAGATTAATTAAATTTTAAAAAATTAGTATTAGTATTAGACAACTAGCCGCTTTAGTCATATTGCAGGAGCAACCGTGGGAAACAGAAAAGTAAAGTTGCGTGATGAATAACAGCTTGTTGCATCACTGCTCCCATGTGTTGTGTGGTGGTGCTGAGCTGAAACCTTATAATGCATCTTTATACATCACTGTTTTTTCACTTTCTACGCGTCTCCACAGTGCTCATACTGCTTTCCCCAGAAATTTACTTTCAGACAAACTTTTGTCTGCCGTGGTGGTCAGTCTGCGGTGATGAACCAGGTGCAGTGCCTTTTTGTATATTTCCATTTCCTCTTCTCATATTTCTGTGCCACTTTTCTTCTATTTTACCGGCAAAAAACCTTAGTGCAGTACTTGAGTAAATAAAGACAATCACAATTTGACAATATAAATTTTAAAAAAGATGGTAAATCCCTATCCATCTCTACCGCCATGCTAACAGCAGCTGTTCTTGCTAACATGCTCACACAGACACTCTTAACACATGGTGAGGTTTTGCATATTGTTTCCCATCTTCAACATCTTAGTTTAACATGTTAAGCGTAATAAGATAGCTGATCAGTACTACACAGAAGTACAGCTGAGGCTGATGGGATGTCATTTCTCGTAGGTCTTTAGTCACAAACCAAAGTATTGGACAGCTGTGGGAAACAGGACCAGGTTTCATGGCAATCCAATCAAAATATTGTCAAGACATTTCTCTCTGAAACAAAAGTGTCTGAGGCATTAAATGAAGTTAGGGGATCCCCAAAATCAGTAGGATTCATTTTCTAGGAACCATGGATGTGTGTAAGCTTTAAATAATTGTTCAGACCAAAATGTCAAGTGGACCTCTTCAAGGTAAATATTTTCTTGTATACAAAGTTTTAATCTAAGTGGCAGACTTCCCTGATTTTAACCAAGCCCGTCCATGGTTCCCAGATGATGAGCAGTCCATTCATTTTTTTTCCTCTTATGGCCTGTGTAAACTTCAACTTCGGGCACAAGATATCTCCTACTTCACCCGGCACTTTCCATGAAATCTGAGCATAAATAAATCTCAGCCAGAAGTAGAACAGTAGACTTCTTTACCTTAGTGTCTGCACTCCAGCTGATCGTTCCAGTGTTCCTCATCTTCCAGTACTTGATAAATTTGGTCCCGGGACGCAGTCGGGTTCCATCAGGAAGGTTTTCATCCAGAAATGCTGCCGTCATGGCTGGAACCACCAGGGGACAGGGACGCTTTGGACGCCTGGGCAAGAAATAAAGTCCTTTGGTTCTGAATCATGCAACATGCACCTGGCATAACATGTACTGTATGTTGTGGCCTCATATAGCCCTAACTATTGTACCCATTACTTTTAGCTAACTGTTTCTACTTCTGTGTTTGCTTGCGGTGCTCAGGTGTTATATACTCATTATGACTATATATTTTTTTAAATATATAAAATTGTAATATTGTTATTATATTTTTTTCGAATTTTTTGAGCTTTCCATAAACCCCCTGCCAGCTGCAGAAGTACCCCCCTGGTGTACAAATTCCCCTGGGTGGGAATCACTGACCTTCTTTTTCACTAGTGTACACTGACCTAACAAGTTTGGCCTATATTTTGTTAGTAACCTACTCAGGGCTGTTGTGCTGGGTGGCTCGAGGCTGCAGAAGGACAGGGGAGGAGCTTCCGTCTCTGTGGGAGGAGCTCCACTGTATGCCCCGCCTCTCCATCCTCAGCTGTTTCCGGATCTCTTTGACCTCGGCCTTCAGCAGGCGCTTCTCTGCCTTCAGCCGCTGCTTCTCCGCCTTCCGGAAACTGCGGTCGCCTCGCCTGTAGAACCTGTAGCGACCATACAAAAATGCAAAGGAGATTAAGACAACATGCAGATGCTGACCAAGCACATAAACCAAGACGCAGACACCAGGGTCTGAGCCATAGCGTGCCACTGTGTCAATGACACCCTTAACAAAAACTTGCCATCGCTACAGCCTCCCTGCACTCATCTTTTGCCTGTAAAACCTGGGGCGGGACCTATACTATTAACAGGTTTCTCAATTCTAAATAAATAATATAGTACATTTTGCTTTACACTGACATTACTGACTCACAGAGCCACTATACTTGACATTGTACTTTAGTACAAATTTACACAATTTACAGAGCAGAATATTTCCATGTTAGGCCACTTTTCCAAACATGATAGGTTTATAAAAAGATTCACTGTTATAGATTACACTACCCAGCAGTTTAAACTGAAGATTTTATTAAACCCAGTAAGCTATGGGCTTTCCACCTTTCACTCATACAGATATGACCATGATGGAAAATTGCCGAGGCTTATTGCAACAGTTTAGCTGCACCTATCCAACTTCAACAATACAAAGCATCAGTAATAACAATTAATTTAATATATATTACACATTTCTGCAGAACAAGTACTTTACTTTATATTAGACTTTAAATACACTTTTTTAAAATCCACCCTTACTTAGGTTTCAGTGTCATTTTTTCACTGGTAACAGAGTACGTTTAACTGACAGTGATACAACTTTCACTTTAGTAAAAATAATAATTCCTCCACCCCTATTACCTTTACTAACCTTTAAGCCAATTTCTTTTGTAAACGTGACTTTCAACCCAAGGTTGTAAATCTTACTGCTGCTGTTTTAAATAAAGGGTTGAATATGGTAATAGTTTCTGTATGTTAAAACTGACGGTCTCTTCTATGTAAACACAAAGAAAATACTGAAAGTAAGTGAAGTCATGTTAACAAAATAGCGGTGTGTTACCTGCTGTGGTCTGGGGCAGGTGATCCGTGCTCCGGGATGGACAGGGGAGTCCTTGCTCTCACCAGGTTGTGACTGGGATCATGAGAGAAACTGCAGGGCTCGCACAGAGTACAGGAGGTGCACACACTGACCAGAGGACAGATGGAGAGAGGGTGGAGAGACAGAGAGGGGTAGAAAATGAAAGGGACAGAGGGAGATAAGAGAAAAGGTAATTCCAACTGACATCATGACTAAGAAGTTTCGAAATCTACAGAGGCAGCAAATACCTAAGAACCCTTTCAGAGTCCACAACGCTGTCCACTGAGACAAGCTGAGGACGGCCTGTCACTGCACAATGCAACATGACTTTCTGAGGCTGAGACAAGTGGAAAGCGAAAACAGAGCGGCTGGCGTCAGACTTTTAAACAGAATCTGACTCCCATTTTTAAGTTTCATGTATCAGGGAAAGAGAACTTACTACACCCTCCTCCTCTCTCTCACTTTCTCTTCATTGACTCATAAAGCAGATCTCAGTTTCCCAAGTTACCTATCAGGATTCAACTTTGTCTGTGACAAAAGTTGCGCAGAATAAAATATTACTAAGACTGGGAACACGGGAACAAGGACAACATGTAAAACACCAAGTATTCCTCATTTGTAAGTGATACTAGAGATGTGATCTGCAGAGTAGTATCAAAATGTAAAAAGCAACCCTCTAAATTGGCAGCCTAATGAAAATGTTTCAGTTGCCTAAGGTTAAAGGGGGGAGGGGGGTTTACTTTCTTTCTGAGAGCGAGATGAGAATATTGATAAATCTTATATCTGGGCTAATTGATTTTCGAAATGAAGCTGTGCCTGTACTCTGAGGGGTTCTGCCGCACCAGTTTCAGCAGCTCAGCTTGGCTCCTTATATTGAAAACCTAATGCAATGTGGAAGTAATCAATTGTCTTACCGTATTCAAATACACACACACACACCTGTTTTATATTAGAGGGAACTTCGCTTGCAGGAAGGCCTTGATCACATTCACACCTGGAAGCTGGCCAGTACAACCCCAGTGTGATCTGCTGGCTACTGAGCAGCTCCACTGGAGCAGTTGGGGTTATGGGCCTTGCTCAAGGGCACCTCAGTGATTGTAATAAGTGAGGGACAAGCCCTGCCTTTTCACATTCCACACCAGGATTTATCCAGCTGGTCTGCGGATTGCTTTTCCACATTTTATGACTTATCTACAATGTTACAATGTTGGATGTTCATGTTAAACATGGCCAAAGCTTCAAATAATGAGGTTAAAGTATTGAGTTTCCTGTGAGCAAAAACCTCAGATTTCCTCCTGTTCTCAACGCTCTGTTTTGAACTGCTTTTTCTACCAACGGCTCTGTTCTACGACGCACGGAGCCAGACAGAGCTGGTGTTCTATATACGGTCATTTGCTCCCACAGCTACTCTCAGTCTGGTCTCAACAGCCTGGTAACATGCTTCAGGTCTTGGCCAATCAGAAGACAGTAGGCTTTGAGAGGGAGGGCCTTAAAGAGACAGGAGCATCTACAGCTTGTTTCAGACAGAGGCTGAAATGAAGCCCTACATGAAGAGTCAGTATTTTTGGAACTTTGAAACATACAAAGCTGCCATACAGGAGTCACAGAACTACAATATAGGACTGGAAGAGCAGTATAATAGGTCTCCTTTAACCAGCAGAAACATGTATGATGTTTGGTAAAACACAGAACAAAGTAACACAGGGAAACATTTGATCACGTTTTAAACAGTTATTACCATATGCAGCAGATACCCTGTTTACACATTTTGGAAACACAAAAAACTCAAAAGTTTGTACTCTTAGCTGAGGTGGAAAACTTGTGTTTGATTGAAACATAATATGACTACAATGAGTCCAATGCATGCGACTTAAACGTCAGTGAAGTTTCTTCTGAAGAAACAAAAAAGTCAGCTGTGATGAGGAGGCTGCAGCTTCTTCATATTAACACACAAAACTAACAGAAATGTCATTTGAGCTTCCACTGCAGCTCTTTTAATGACGTCATCTCGCTGTGGCCTCTTCAAGCTCCGTCAGCTGCTTATCTCGATACGCTCAACTCCTAATATTTACATAATACTAGTTTTCTTGGGACAATTTTCAGGAAAATTGGTTAGAATATGTGTTACTTTTGGATGAAAGCTTGACTACTGACAGCAGCTTAACAGCAGGTTAAAAATAATGGCAAAGTAGAAACCAAAGGAAATAATTAGTGAACAAAAACTTCTGTTACAGAAGAGAACCTGAGAGCAGCAGAGCAGTGAGTGACTGTACTGAGTTACAGTTGTGACTAAACTAACAATCCAGAGCGACAATTAGCAAGTTAGCTGTCGACATCACATACCTGCACTGGTAGCCTCCTCCGGTGGTCTGCCCCCTGCAGGAGGAGCAGGGAGGAGTGGAGGAGGATGGAGCCCCCAGGTAGAGTGGAGGAGGAGACCTCAGGGACCTGCTGGGCCTCCGCTCCTCCTGCTGCTTCCCCTCTACCTCCCCCCCCTCCTCCTGCTCCTCCTCCAAGGGGCTTGTGGATGCAGCACTGTCCAGAGAACTCCCGGCAGATCTTCTCCACCGCCTCGCGAACCACCTGGTCTTTAAACTGGAGGGATGGGTGGGATGGGGGGGGGGGACGAAGATGGAAGGAGAGTGTTCACTGATTTAGTATTTTTCTGCCTCTGTTACAGATGTTGAGTGCTCATCATTTCATGTCTCTGTCAGCTACTGTCACCCGACACCTCCGTCAGGTAGTTCTTACCTTCTCCATGTAAGAGGTGAACCAGGCTGGAGGAGTCTTGTCTTCTTCTTTAGTACCCTTCACATCTTTCATAATCACCTGCTAAACAGAAGAAGAGAATATTCATTAAGGAAAACCTGCAAATCAACATCTTTATTACATCACAGTCAATACAATTGGACAAATAGTTTTTAGTACAATTTCACAAATGACATCATCCACACCAAGAGAAAGAACATTTGTTGAAGAGTTACAGCCGCTTTTCTCAATTATTCTGATGGTACATCACCATGGTAACCTATGCTGCAAGTTCATCAGAGATGATGGACACAAAATAAATCTAGTGTGGCTTCATTTTGTTACTGCTTTGGTGACAGTTACAGAAATTAAAGGGACACTCCAGTATCAGATGAGAGCAGACAAAAACAGAGTCATGATTCCTAACAGGGACAAGTCCTGAGTTTACATTACAGTGACAGCATGTCAGCAGTATACTGTGCCAAATATATCTATGAAGTGACTTCTTTAATTGTGCTTCAGGTTCATATCTATCAACACAGATATTTCTTTGTGTGACAATATAATCCTGATGGAAGCATCATCCAGGGAGCAGTCAGGTGACAGGTTTTGTACTGTAATATTAAACTTAGAAAAGACAAGCTTGTGTTTGGCTTTTATTTCCAGATTCCTACCACACAAGAAAGAAAGATCAACAGAGACATTTTAATAGATCAGCAGAATCACTTTGCCTTCCATTTTTAAGACAGAGATAGAAGAAATGCTTTCTTTACACAAACACTGTTCTACAACCCCTGGTTGGATATTAATTGTGCTATTTTAGTGTTAGTTTTTGTTATTCCTGACATGAATAAAGCATTCATTGCTTTGAATTTGTCTTACCATTTCTATTCTATTCTGGTAGTGTGATTACTGTAAAGCCTCCATTAAAAGCCTAGTCTCAATTAGAAGCCTGTCCCTTTTACTGGCCTGTGTGGCTACACGTTTCGACAACTAAACACAGGTCTCAATGAGAAGCCTGGTCTGGTTTTTATAGAAGTTCTTTGGATGTGTAAAACTTTTTGAAGGCCACCGTGTCACCTGCTTGAACTAGTTTTAAGCTGTTTAGATCGTGCATAGCAATATAAATGTTTAAACTTTTGTCAATATGGACATGCTACACATCGTCAGATCAGTTAGATTCTCCACATTTCAATCATTTAGTTCATTTTACAGAAACCATGAGCACCAATGTCTAACTCACCTAATTGTTATACAACTAATATTCATACTGGTTAAAATAAACAATTTGACAGTAGCCTATTTCCCATACTTAATTAATGCGGTATACTGTTAATCTTTTACTTAAAACAATACTTTCTACTGCTACAGATTGTCCCTTCTGATTTCACCTAATCTCATGTCCAATATTCAGCTCCTGATCTGTTGATGCATATGATTGGCTTGTCCTTAGGAACTCAGGCTCCTTCATGTGAAGTGTGGTAGCTCAATACAAACTTCAGCTCACACTAAATGTTCTGCATCCATCTGCTTGTGTGCACAAGTTCACTTACATGAAGAACTGTCCTACAACTGCCATATGTATAAAAAATAAAAATAAAAAAAATAAGTGTAGCACTCTGTTTGTGAAAAAGAAGAGTAGGGCCCATATGACTCAAACATTTGACATGAGTGACACATTTTTAGTCTTTGTTTTAGGAATAAGAGTAAAAGCTTTTAATCAACTTTCTTAACTTAGGAAGTAACTCCAATAGAGTCCTAACCTGTAGGCTACGGAGTCGCCAGGAGGAGACATTCAGGAAGACCACAGACTGCATGGTATAATGTAGCTTTGCTGTATTTTCTGTATTTGGGTCTGTCACAACCTGTCATTTTGGCAGCTCTAAATCTATATATATACACACATAATGTATTATTTACTGCCCTCGTCTAATACTCTTTGCAGCTCTGAGTGTCGTAAAACAACAACGTCACACTCTCTCCAAGGAGTCGTCCTTGTCCTCGATGAAAGTCAGCGTAGGAGGCTTTATAAATAATTCTCAGTCCTACTCTGGGGAAGGAGGTTTTTAGTCCTAAATTCACTTTCAGACAACGTAAACTAACCAGTGAACGCGAACCAGTCGTCTGACCAAGGCCAGTCAGTCTCTTATGTGCTGTTTTCCTACGTCAGTATGACCTGCTTTGGTTTTCTCTCTTTGTCAGTTCTGCTCTCGCCGACAGTACCTGCACAGATCAATGCTTTTAAGCTGATAAAATATCAATCAATAGGCCGTCAACACGCTGTCATCGCTTTGCTTCTCATGTTCTTTTTTAAAATGAAAACATTATTAGATTTTCTAATCCCTATATATACACATGGCAAAAAATAAAAAAGAGGGGTAAGGATGACGACTATAGCATGAGTGTCAGGACAGTGCAATGTGTCTATCGTTATTACCGAGTTACTGAATCTGGTTTTGTGTATGGTAACTAAATAAACTTAATGCAAAATTAATTATTTGTTCACCATCATCACCATGGCTGCCAATTTACGATCATCCTCCTTGACAACACCTCGCATGTTATAGACTAATATTCTCTCGTATAATGTATATGCATGAATCTCACACCCTCGTGTAACAAGGTTCATGTCAGACCATTCCCTCTTTATTTCTGTAACTGTACAGCGCTGCTCTGACGACACATCATTGTACAATTACAATTAATATTTTATTTTTTTCGGGTCCTCTAATATGACTATCGTGGAGCAGGTCACTTATATAACCACTTAGGGGTGTCTTCTTTTCTCTGTGAGGTTTGCTTTGAGTGTTCCTTTGATTACAGTGGAAAGCTCTTATCATGATCATGTGTGTCTGGGACAAATTTTTTCTTTTTCTTTATTACAGATTACCATCTAATTGACATGTATATTTATTACATGAATATAAAGTCATGAAATGCACAGCTTCACTATCTACTGAATCATACCAGCTGTTTCAAAAAAACAGTGCAGGTGTTTCAAACACAATTCAAATGACTGTACTGTGTATAACTTTAATACACTATACAGTAATCCAGAACTGTACATAAAATACAGTATATCTTACTGTAGTTTAGATTATTGTTGTGCTGTTTTTAAACACAGTAACATAGTAGTGCTAATAGGCTGCTAAACCACAGCTGGGCGCTGGTTTCACTGCATTTCTACATTTTAACAGCCTGAAAATAAACTGCAGGCTATCAATACCCAGCTCGCGGCAGAGTTTGAAAACAAATATATTCATAAAATATTCAGATTTTGTTTGTATGAACAGAGCAGACTGAGACTAAGCGGACTACTTATTTGTATAGGAATGATCCTGTCCAAAGCTTTTTCATTTTGCATTATATTAAAAGGATTATTTTGTCCATGGCATTTATGTCAGTGGGGTTAGGCTCAATGACAGAAACACCTCTCTCTATAACGCAAAGCAGTTCAACAGAACTACTCACTACATCGTCCAAAATGATCAGAAAGTTGAATCGAGTCCTCTCTAAAACAGTTTCAACACAAACTGAACATTAGAACCTTCATGAAGGCAGGATTTATTGCAGGACGGTTGTAATAGAGCAAATTAGTTTTAGCTATAGGTGTACCTAATAAACTGTGTGCAATACTATTATTTGTGGGAATTAATTAAATACTTTGTGTAATACCCTTGTGACTGCAACTATACAGTGGTGAGATGCATCTTTTCCAGGGGCAGCAGCAGTAGCTCAGTCAGTATAGACTTGGCTTGGGAATTGGGGGAATACAAGTCAAGTCACTGAACCCCTAACTGCTTGGGGCGCTGTTCTTGTGCAGCAGCCCAATCACTCTGACATCTCACCACAACAATGCATGTCTAGAGGTCCTGTGTGTGAATGTGTGTGTGTGTGTTTCAAGTAGTTGTTCTTCTTCTTTCCAAAGTTAGTTGATAAGTAGCAGATGAGGTACCATGACTGATAAATGACAAAGAAAGACCCAGATCCAAGAACGACATGCTGTGTGTTGGGGTCTTACCATGCCCTGTTCTGGCACCGCAGCCTGGACTTTGCGGCTGACCACCTGGGCCAGAGCGGGGCAGTGCTGCGGGGGTCTGAAGCCCCTCTTGGGCTCTGTTCCGCTGGTCTTGGTGGTAGGGACCCTTGCCGACTGGCCCCGAGTCTCGTACACGTTCATGTGCAGTCGGTTCCCCTGCCTCGCTGCACTCTGGGAAACGAGTAAATAGGTTAGTCTCGCCTGCTGCCATTTTTAGATCTGGATCAATTTCTCAACTAAGCCATGTTATTTTTTCTGAGTACCCCAGGAAGAGCTGGGGGTAGCAGGGTCCGTAGGGAGAAGGGTCCTACCTGCCTTTACTAAAACTGAACCCAGACCCTATCCATATCTTTAAAAACTAATGCAATTGAACCCTACAGGCACTCGCAAATTTGAGATTCTAACCTGATCCGGGATCCAAAGTGAGCGGGCAACAGAACTGAGCTAAGCAGCCTCCCAGTGATTAGAGCCAAACTGAACCCAGTCAGTACCGAAGAGATTTACAGCGGCTCTGACCAGGTCTCTGACTCCGAGGTCGATGAAGACACGGTGAGGACAGGAAAGGCGCCAAGTGTGAGAGGAGCAAGAGGGAGGTCGGCCAGTGACAGAGTGTAGAGTCAGAGTATTTTCACATCCAACTCGCTGAATTAAGGGTTTATTTCTACTAAACCAGAGTCAGTGACAGTGACAAAGCCAAACTTGACCCTAACCCTATGCTTTGTTGGGACCTGTCAATTTTGCGTCAGGTAGCAGGACTCTACTTTGCTAAGTCAATGTGAGCAGAGCTTAAATGTACAGCACAGTACTTCTTTATTTACATAAATAGTACATAAGTGTGAGTAGTAATTACACTTACCTTTAATGCCTCCTCATACTCCACTGGAATAAAAGCAAAAACATTCATTATGAAATGGCATTAATGTGCAACTGATTGTTAATCTCAGATTTGTTTTGCTTCGTTTAACACACTGTGTCTTCTGACTGTTTAGGTTTACTCACCTTGGCTGTTAATGGACACCTGGAAGAAAAAAGGGAAAGATTCTTTATATAAACCCGTTAACGTTTTCACTGTGGTGTCACTTTGGTATAAGTTTGGTGACACAGTTTCAGTCACCAGTCCACCAGTTTAATGAATCTGAAGCTCAGTTTACTTATCATGAGGAGTACTACACAGCCTGTAGAAACAGCTGTGTACAGTCTTCTGTGGCTCTGAAGATGCTTTGTCAAATCTGAGAATCTAACCAGAATGATGTCACTGTGATGTTGTCAGTGTTATAGCAGCATGTGCAGACTATAAAGTATTTAGCAGACAGAAGGTGTTGAGTTTAAAACACATGGGAATTTAACAGGCAGGGTGGGTTTAAAGAAAGACACTTCTGAGTTGCATTAGGGGAAATGTAGGATCCAGCATTTTTTGCTCAGGTATCTTGGCCTATTTTCCACTAATGACATGTTTTTTTAACTCAATCTCTTGAAAGTCCCTCACCTTTATGGATGTGCAATACTAAACTACTGAATATGTTAAATATTTCTCTGAAGCCATAATTTTTCTGTTTCTTGTTCAATACAATGAATTGATAAGAGCTCCACTTTGATGACAGATCTTGTGTACTGGTGTATTTCACATCATATTGTTTCATTATTAAGCCAGAGGAACAACAGACAGAGTCTCTCACCTCCTCGTTTTCCTCATCAAAATAGGTCAGCTGAAGACTGCACAGGCCAAACGAACGCTTCACCTGCACACAAGACACACAGAAAGGACAGAGGATGGGAGACAGAATGTGACTAAGATGTTTGTTCATCTGGGCTCAGCCAGAGGAAGCAGTGTTCAGAGAGTGGGGTCCATTCACACTCCAGTGGGCTCTTTACTGGCTGAAAGCTGGACGCTTTATCTGGCTAACACTCCTCCCTCTGTGGCTCTGTTTCTCTTCTGTATGCTTTGACAAGAACCAATAGGAGCTCTTGTTGCATGTATTATTCAGCAGATAATCCTGTACACCAAACCCACTCGCATCCCACTCACTGGTAAACTCAAAATTGAAAGCTGACGTCCATGACTCAGCAGCACTCAGACAAATCAACTCCCCAAGGCTGCCGAGACAGACGGACCATAAATTCAAAGGTGCAGATTCCGATTGGCCAAGCAGCTGTGCCATCATATCACAACAAGGATGACGTTAAAGAGACGCAAAACTAGGGCTGGATATCATTTAAGTTCTATCGATTCCACTTCTTATTGAACATCTGTTCTGATCCCAGCCCCTTCACCACAAATGTCCCTGCTCTTCCGCCTTGCTCATCTTCCCCTTCATGGCTGAAGTGAAAGGAGTCTCTGTACTAGAGGGGCGTTTCCTGGGACTCGTAGCTAAGAAATATATATATATTGGAATCATTTGTAGACATCGTTGTTTCCGTTCAGTATAAAAAGGTGAGGCTCACCTGTGTTTTGCACCTGAGCGTGAGACGTTGCTACTGTTAGCGTTAGCTGTATTTGGGGCGTCAGTGTACCTGGGAGAGCGTTGATGGGACACTGATGACAACGTGTTCCTTTAAGGGGGAGAACAATACATCGTTGGGGGAGAGACTAGGGGTGGGGTGGGGGTTCTGGATGGTTTGTGGATCTGGTTAAAAATGGCAGCTAATGCTCAAGATTTTCAGACTTAAAGTGGGGATTGGGGATTGAGTCTCTCTCTCTCTCTCTCTCTCTCTCTCACAAACAATTAAATTGTTATGATAATAATTTACCCTTTAAGGGGGACAATTTCCAGCAATATCCAAAGGCCATGCAATGGAAACATGGATTACAAGGACAAAATATTGTCTAAAATGCTGCATTCAGTTTAATGTACATTTCGATGTAACATTGAGGCAAGCAAAGTGTTAAACTGATGACAGTGATGTTGATACAGTATCGATGGCGTATGTAGGAGCAGCTTACTTGAAAAAGGTCTGTCTGGATCTAGCTACTAAACAGTAACATGGATGACAAAGTGATCGATTACGTGGTCAGTTATAACATCACCAGACTACTGCGAAATAAGTGTTTGCTTTACGAGTCTTTGCACTCAATTGAGTGCAATGAATAATATGAAGTTCGATAACACATAACGTAAGCCTATAAAAACGTTTATAAGTGCTAGCTTGCTCTACACAAACCTTAATAAAACAATACTAAAACGATAGATTAAACAATACACATTGTATATTTTTCATTCACTTTGTTGAAGTCGAAGGTCCGCCTTCACCGCTGAATGCACGCAAGGATAATTACCTTGGTACGACACCGGTGTTGTGCCGAATTCTGCCTGCCTGCTGAGGATTGCATGCACCTCATGGGTGATAAAGGTCATTCATGCTGAGAAAAGAAGTGGATGCAAATCTCAGCAGGTAGCCTACAAAATTTGATCTGCCAAATTATGCATCCACCTCTTTGGAAGGACCCAAGACCCAGACACTTTTGCTGTGCTCACTGATCAAACAGCATTATCACCACATATATTTATTGAATGTCAAGGAATGGTACTTCTACTAAGTGTATTAAAATATTAAAGACTCTAAACGTTCATAAAATATATACTTCGAATCATTTATCACCATTGATGAAGCCCACAAAGAATATTACAGCGTTTGAAAGCATTATTTGGAGGTGCATGCAATTCTCGGCAAGCAGGCAAAACTCGGCATAACACCGGCTTTTCCTCGATTCCTTAATCCCTCCGTAGTTGAATGGTCAGTATCACGAACGCTCCCCAAATGTGTCCAAAACTAATGCATTCAAGTTAACTCTGAGAAGGTAGTCTATCTATGTTCTTAACGTTGTCAGAGACCCACCTTCAAATAAGTTCTAAGCAAGCATGTGTAAGGTGCCTAGCTAATAATAAAAGCTATGTTAACGTTAGAATACAGCTGCGTTGTCGAGGTTAGCGCGCTGTACATAGCTGCTAGTCAATATCGGTTGCACGCCCAAACAAAGCTGCCTGTCAATAGCCAAATGCCATATTGGGTCACCAACTGCCTTTTTCCGGCTTGTCAGCGCAGAAACTTTTAGCTCATATTCATGCAAACTTCAATCAATAACAATATCAGCACTACTGCTTTTTTGTTGTGCATTTCATTACTACTTATTAAACTTGCCCACCAAACAGCACATGAAGATGACATAGTCAGTCCCTCAGTGGCCTTTTTAATCAAGTATATCCGAACAACCTAGCACTGTAATGCCATGTTCAGGTCATATTGCTCAGACCATATTTGTGTGCAACAGTGTCTGGAATATCTGGGGAAAATAATTATGATATCTCCCACTTTGTGGAAAGAACTGAAGAAGTGTCAACAAACTGGTGTCAATGGTTGAAATGCCTACATAAATAGTAGTTGAATTCCATCAAAATAAAATCTAACACAGTGCGGACTCGTGTAGGCCAGCTCTCTGAAGCTCGACATTTTCGGATGCACTCTGTCCCATAAGGCAGCTGATCTGTCTCTCTCAGCAGGCAGAGGGGCTGATAACGTCTCCTCCTTGGCCGGGTGTGACAGAGATGTGGTGATCCAATCACAGAGGGACAGCTTTAAGTACAGGTGTGAATGCACCCAAGAGGCATTGTGGACGCATTGAGATCTGATCGCTCAGACCACATTCAGAGGAGGTCTGTTCCGCTAAGGCTAGTGTTGTGTTGTTCAAAGAACGTTTCGTTCATTCGACCTAATCTTGAATATGACTCACGAGGAACAACTAGTCTCAGTGAGTAATTCGCTCATTTTCACGCATGCCTGAATAGTCTTGGACTCTTACGTTCACTCGTCACACGGCAGCTGCATGGTCTCCGTCAGCACAGGAAGCAGAATTGATCAGTTCACGACTCTCAACTGTGGGTCTCTGGGTTTGAGTCCTTCATTTGTCACGTGACAGCTCGGCTACTGTGGAGCAGGAATGAAGTAATCGTTCACCACTTAAATGGTAGTGTTGTAGTCAAGACCGCCCAAACCAAGACCAAGTCAAGACCAAGACAAGAGTTTATCGAGACCGAGACAAGACCAAGACTTTTAGGGGCTGAGAGCAGTCGAGACCAAGACCGAGGGAGGGCGAGACTGAGTCAAGACCAAGACCTGCATTGCATGGCACACAATAAAATGGTACTTCACAAAGTGATCTGAAAGATCCACATTCCCATTAAAACACCCACATACAAACGCTAAGAGCTGAAATCATTAATTAGGGTTATTGGTTGCATTTGAAGCAATAAGTTTTACTTCCAGTCAAAGTTAGGATGTTAACAAATCAGACAATGCAAAAACAATTTATTGATATTCCCAAAGTTATGGTCTTGAAATAAAATCCTGAGTCCTCAATGTCCGAGACAAGACCGAGTACAAATGCGGTCGTGTCCGAAACAAGACCAAGACCATCAAAAAGTGGTCTTCAGACCAAGACCGGTCTCGAGTACTACAACACTATTACATGGGTCCTCCTCAGAGTCTGTCTTCACTCGGCAGGCTGACTTACTGCCAGCACCGGGGAATGAGAGGCAAGTCTGTTGTCAGGTAACAGTCACTGGACTGACATATATCTAATATCTATTTTGATAATTTTGTGAGATTTAATAAAGCATAACATTATTACAGTGCAGTGATGTTGTGCTAAGTTGTTAGGTCGTTGTTCTGGATCCGCTCCACTTCAGTACCCTGACAGGGTTCTACCTGGAGCCGAATTACCTCAGAGGTCGTCTCCTCTCCAAAATAAGTGGACCCGGTCATTAAAACATTAAAACACAGCCACGTAGCAACGTTAGCGTTGGCACTGTGGCGTGTTTACAGCTAACAGCTGATCCAAGTCCGCCAGAGAACGCAACATAACTTTTCCTTTTTAGCCGTGCAATTGTTTCACAGCTCTTGGCTGGTGAACAACCTGCTGTGTTTGAGAGCGATGTGCTCATGTTTGTTTCTCTCTGTCTGCAGAATCCGGACCTGATGTGGCCCATTCTGCGTCCAGACCTGCCAAACTGCTGCGTTTATATGTGTTAATATTTCTTTGTTACTCTCTCTGTGCTGGAGTTCTTTTAAGAACTTGGTGGCTTGATCCAGATTATTATTAAATTGGTTGAATTTTAATAAGAGTGTGTTTATTCATATAGTGTATCAAGCTCCCCGCAAATCTGATGTTAATATTTAGATTTTACTCATGATAGGGATGTTAGGCTACTATATGAATGAGCACTTTAGAGATATGATAATTATAATAATACATATATATGGTTGGTCTGGTTGTATACATATACGTATAAATGGACAGATTTAGCCGGAGTAGTGGCGACTGAATATTGACAACATATTTTTGGTTTGAATTTGGTTGTGGCCCCATGGGGTTTTATAGAACGATGATAAGAGAAAGATCGAGAGGTGAATTTGTGCATTATACTTTGTCAATTAAAGCAAGCCAGGCAGCCTTCCGTGTCTGAGAACGGCGCTGTTTTTTTAATTACCCACTAGAGGGCTGCAGCGCCGCAATAACCAGCCTAGTTCAAATCAACGAAATAACAAAAAAAGATTAGTTCATTATAATGAACAAGATTTGATGACTTGTCAAAAGAGTGACTTTTCCCATCACTAGCTATGGCCACATTATTTTAGCAGTGTAGCCTGGGACACATTGAAAGACCGCCAACTCAACTGACGTCCTCCGCGTTAGCAATAATAGGTACTAATTCGCACCAATGGTGTCATATTAAAGTGCAGAACGTCAAGAAGAAGCCGCAACAACAGCAAAATGGATTCTCGTGGATGAAGTACTCACAAAACACACTGTCAGGTGTCATCCGGCTGCTCTGCCTCAACCCTGTGTGATTTACGAAGTCTCGTCATGGACAGAAAGCTAACAGCTAACTGCTGCTGACTGTAGATGTTCAGCTCAGTTGCTTGAGGTGCTAGCGGCACTATTAACACTGGCTGACTCTGCCCTAAGCAGCAACACCAGGGTCTGAAAAGGGAAGTCAATGGGGAAGTTCTTTAAACCTGCATTTTTTTTCTAATGGCCAGTAGGGGGCCACTCCACTGGTGGCACAAAGAAATCCGATTGTATGTAAGCCTATGAGAAAATGAAGCTACTTCTCACCTGATTTATTACCTCAGTAAACACTTTAATGAGTTTATATGGTCTCAGTCACTAGTTCCATTTGGTTCATTTAGTAAATTATGGTTCGATTTAGAGTAAAATAGACGATAAAGCAGGGTATGCTTTAGGGCCTGTTACCTTGTGATTGACAAGTCGCTAACACAGAAACCTGTCAGGCAATGCAATGTGTATCCCTCCCCAGCTCCACCCTCTCGTCCGATTAATCACTTAAAGTTCAAAAAAACCAAGATGACGATGGCCAATAGGCCAAGGCTTCAAAACTCCACAAACCAAAAATGGGTGACATCCACTGCTTTCTTACAGTCTGTGAACTGACCAGACTGGGAGCTTGGAGGGGAGTGTTGGTGTTTACACCGCCTGCACAGGATCTGCGGACCGCCGGAAGGAGGGTTTGAACTTAACCTATAGTTTTATAAAAATATAAGGATCATTTTAATGTGAGACCAAGATATGCATCTGGCATCCAGCGTTTAGTTGGGGGATTCTAAATCAGTAACAACAAATCATGTAATACAGTATTTAATTGTTATTCCAGCTAAATGAAAACAGACTATGAAACAGATATGGAATATTCAAGTAAAGGTCTGTTTGCCTTTGTACACTGGTATGTTAATATGTGCACACTCTTGCTATTACACTGTTCCCTTGGTTTCCCTCTGCATTTTTCCTCCATCATATGAGGTGTAGGTTGCCCTGTACCAATTAGCACTGAGTGAGCTTCAGACAACATTTGGGTGACAGTCCAGCTAACTGAAATGTGACCTGTGTTATCCATGGTGACTCATCGACCACATGGTTTTGAATGGCAGCCACAGCCACAAATGTGAATTGAGTCTGATGTCCACGTGCACACACTGCTGACCTCCTCTTTCTTTACTAAGCACTTTTCTGACTGTTTACACAACATCATCATGGTTAGGAATATGTGTATAAGTCATTTAACATTTAAACAATCATTTCTGTCCATTGTGTGAACACATAATTCCATGAGAAACTGACTGGTTTCTATGTATTATGACTGTGTTTATAGACAAAGAGTGAATACAGTACAGTAATCTACAGGAGAAATGACAAATCCAGAACTGTGCTTATTTCTCTTTATAGTCATTTTGAGTCTCTGAGTCTCCTTGTGGTCATTTTGATTACAAATTACAACAGGAAGACGTCTCTGATATAAACTCATTTTAAATAAGTGGTACATTGCAAAGTATTATGGGACTAGACCTACTTACAACAATTCTGTTTCATAATGCAGCCTACTGCTGATAAGCCAGTTCCCTGGCTGTTCAATATGTACAAAAACTCGTACTGCACATTCTTTGCAACGATGCTGTTGTGTACTCAGAGTAACACCGAGTTACATTTCCATTCCAGCTAACAGACCAGAGGCATGCATTTCAAATGGAGGGTGGCGATTCAAACTGCTCAGACCAGTTATGATGAGCTGATAAACAGAGTTTCCATGACGACATCCCAGTATAATAATCCAGGAAGGACTGCGGTGTGTCCTCCTCGTCCTTTATGACACTGTCATCTCTGCTGTGCTGTCAGATTGATGGGACAATCTCACAGATTTAACGTTTCAGCTCACAGGACGCGCGCTGCATGATGCTAACCTTCGTGCTATAGTAATGCCAGTAGCATCTGTCTGATAGCATAGCTATAGCTATTCCCTGACACAAGGACTAACACATCAACGTCAGCAATCACGATCAGTACCGACTCTACATGAGTGTATGAGAGCGTTCAGGCCCAGCGAGTCCCTCTCTCTTACCATGGCCTCCATCGACTCCCAGCTCTTGGTCTCAGATCCCGACAGGAGGAAATTTTTGGAATTTCCCCTGAAATTCACCTTCAGATTGATGTAGAAGTCCATGGCGTCGCCCGTCTGCGCCTTAACGCATATTACACTTTTCCCCGAACAACGGAGGCTATTTGGGTTAATCTCACCAATTCGCTCCACTGTGACTTATCCGACTGGGGATGAGGCGTATTTTGTGTTTACATCAGAGTCGCGGGCACGCCCACCCTGCACCATGTGTCCGGAACAAAGATCGCCACTTCCGCTCGAACGTCACTGCGCAAAACCAGCACGGCTCAGCCGGGCGCGGCTCAGGAGCCCAGAGGACACGGCTGTAACACCTACTATATTTTATTTAATACTGCCATTGGTCAGACCAAAAAACAATAACACAGGGATTAGAATATTTTTATCAATAATATTACTGCGTTAGCAAAGTAGATTTGACCTTACACCAAAAAATTATTCAGTCATGATGAGATGAAAACTCCCTCATGAGCTATTAAAACCATCTGAAGGCTGCCCCACAGCCCAGATCACTCCTTCTGTCTTTCTCAAAGGCATTCAGTAATAGTAGGCAACGTTAAAGACCTACACATATGTAGACCAATGGTGAAAGGAACTAAGTAGGGGAGACCGGGGGCAATTGTAACATTTTTTACATTTTCCTTAATAACTCACAGTCTACTTCAGATACACAAGTCATCTTTTGATACAAGAAACACATATGTGTGCACTAATTAATAATATAATTGATATATTTTCACTTATAAGAAGACTATAATGTTTAATTAAATGCAAGAAGTCAGTTTTACACTGAATTGTCCATCCATCCATCATCAATCGCTTATCCTGCGTACAGGGTCGCGGGGGGCTGGAGCCAATCCCAGCTTACATTGGGCGAGTCCATCGCAGGGCACACTGAATTCTAACACTGAAAAATAAGTCATATTAACCCACTGTATGTCAAGTAAAAGCCTAGGCTACCTCAAAGTAATTACTTTACTGCTAATAATGTTACTTAAGTGTTTTTATATGGTTCAAATTATTTTAGAAGTCAGGCATCCTATGCTAAGTTATCTGTTCTAACCTCAAAAAATTACTTTTCACAAGTGAACTAGTCATTCTCTAGAACTAGTCATCTGGTTTTGCTGGGTCTTATACAATCAACTACTTTAAATCCACTATATAGACAAACTGAAATTGAAAGGAACTTTACTTTTGCAGACTTAGGCCTATATAACAAGTCACACTTTCTGTTAAACATATATAAAACACATTATTTTAAACAAAGAATGTTGACCTATGTTAATTGATGATTTGTTTATACTAGAACAAATCCATTTCTTTTAATACACCCTTTTTTAATGTAGTTTTACATTTAAATTTAGTGAATATGTTCACTTTCAAAAGTAGTCAACACAGACAAACAAGCTGCTTACATTGGGCCAGGTGGCTTGGAACATCCAGGGCGCCCCCGATGTTGTAGCCATGATAAAATCTTGTATGCCCTCTAGCCACCACTATATATTAGCATAGTTTGTTAGTGTTTATTGATTGTTAATCAATAACCTAGAGATGAAATCTATTTATGTTTAAATTTGTAGTCGTTTAAACTTTAGACACCAGAAGAAAAATACTGTACTTCCGAATTTATTTTCATACCTCAAAATCAGTATTTTGTTAAAAACTTCTGCTGAGGTGAAATGATCCTGCTCCTTTTTCACAGGCAGAGAGAGAATCCTATTGAGCATGTGCAGATTAAGTGTTATCACTCTAGCTTGTTTCTGTTTGGAGAAATTGAGTATGTTACAATACATATCCCTATCCCTACAGATGAGGTAGGCTGTAGGCCTACTTTACTTGAGTAGGCCTATTTCTATTTTATGCTAATTTGCTAACCAGAGGGAGGTATTGTGTACTACATTGATCTGACAGGTAGCCTGTAGTTACTGGTGACATGTCATATTAAGTGAATAACTAAAAAATGAATGTGAGAAGTCAAAGAATCCAAAATCCAAAAGTCTGAAACTGAAAACAGATTTTGAACTTTTCTGCACAACACAAACTGTCGGCTATCTAAAGTAGTTTAAAAGAGCTCCACCTTGCACAGCTACAACTGTAAAATACTATGTATGCATTAACAGTATAATCATGTTCTACAGATTATTTTTCAGTTACTGGGGCAACAGGCTACTACTTTTGATATTTTAACTACATTTTGCTTGCTTGTGTACTTTACATGAGCACACATTTGAATGCAGGAATTTTACTTAATGGAGTATTTGTACAATGTTGAATTGGTATGCTCTCTAATTGGTAGTCTCTTTTGTGTTATATTGTGAAGACAGAATGTTATTTCAGAAGTTTAACAATTAACAACCATCACTAGAAAAAGATCCGGAGCTTACTTTAGATATATCTAATAGCTAATAAATCTCCTTTAAGCCTTCACATTATTATTACCTCATCAACCTTTATTTAAAGCGGTATGAACATGTACCTGATAATAATTGTACTTTTTGTGGTTTAAACGTTGAAACGTTGTTTTTCACTTATTTTGGAACTGCTTCATCTACATTAGCCTATATTTGGTTTGCTCTTATTGTTACTGTATGTCCTTCCTTTCCTAGTTTTATGTTTATCTGCTCTTTGGTTTCTATGTCTATGGCAGGAATAACTCTAAACACTACTAAATTTTGAACTTGATTAATATTCTAGTGAAATTCTAAAATTCCACATTCATAAGAGTAGGTTACATTTACCAAAGTTATGCTCTGCTTCAACATCTTTAAAAGAGAAGCTCAACAAGATATGCAAACAATTTGACAAAGAAGTTAAACATTCTTATTTAATTAAATGACTTGTGTTATCCAGTAATATTTTATTTTATTTACTCTGCACAGTCTGATGTGCAGTCTGTGAGGCTGTACTTCGACACAGCAGGTCATGTCAGAGGATCCACAAACAGTAACAATCCACAGAGGAACAGGGGTGTGTGTACAAATTTTCATGATAATCCATCGACTTTTTGTTGAAATAGTTTTGTCAAAACCACAAATGTCAACCTCATGGTGGCCAGCGTCAGTAGGAGTCCTTATTGGCTCTATAAAACGTTTCTGGTAGGATCCCCCCTCAGTCTGGGGTCTGTAAATATCTGTAAACAATATTTCGTGGCAATCCATCCAAAGTTCGTAGTTGCTGAGATATCTCAGTCTGGACCATAGTTGTGGACTTACACACCGACTTTGCCGGGGTGTAATGCTGGACAATAACTCCGCCTAAGTTTGTTTCCACCTTGAAGGTTTATTTCCATCAATAATGTTGGTAAATACAAACGTGAAACTGATCAGACTTCAGAATTGAATCAGCTGAGAAAACACAGAATCACTCATCTCTTAGCCAATTTCAAGCCTTTCTGATTTCTCTAGAACAATAAACATTCATTACTTAAAATGCAACCACCAGAGTTAAAGAGTATAAATAAAATAATGTGTTAAAAGATCCCATCATTCATAGAAAGAAGCTGATACATGAAAAATGTTTTCAGGACCTCAAATCCCTCAAACTGAGCTCACCACTGATGCGGACACATGAAGTTTACATGGAGGGTCAGGTTCACATTTGGCGTTCCAGGTCATCCCAAGGCTTTTGGATAGTGTTGAGGTTAGGGCTGTGTACTTCCACACCAAACTGGGAAACCCATTTCCTTATGGAGCTGGCTTTGTGCATGGGGGCATTCTTGGAACTATGGGGCCTAAACCAGGAAAAACAGCAGCCACAAGGACGTAAGTATGTGTCCACATATTTTGGCCACATATTGAAGATTTAAATACAGTGTCTTATTTATAGTATATGGCAGGATGCACAGATGTTCACCCAGCCAACAGGACATGTAATGTACGGCCCCCTGCCTCATAGCAGCTTCTGTCCCTTGTACCCCAGAGCTGCAGTGACACAGTAAGGAACAACAGCCACAGTAGCCAGAGGCACTGTGGCACTTTTACAGAATGACAACAGATAGAATAGAGCTCCGCTGTGGACAGGTGGCCTAAAAGCAGAGTCAAACAACTGCAGCAGCACCAGTGTCGCACTTAAACAGATCAACTTGTAGATGGCGCACTCAGCCCCCCTGCTGAACACTACTCTGTTGGCGTGCGCATGCAGAGGAGAGTGGAGCCCCAGGCCCAGGCCCAGCAGAGTCCCAGTGTTTCTGAACAAGCTGGCCAAGGGGCTGGTGTCCACACTGACCCACTCTGCTTGGCGGCACCAGCACCGCGCTTTTTCCACACTCCAGAGGAGGTCGACGCCTACCAGCCGGAGGCACAGGTACATGAGGAGAGCCAGGGAGAGGAGGAGCAGGGAGGCAAGGAGGTAAGAACGCAGGCCAGCCTCATAGATCTGCTGGGTCCGACTGAGAGATTCTGCCAGCAGGATACCTGAGAGGAAAAGGTTTCTTTCTTTTCATTTCAGTTATTTGGTTTAACCAATTTGCCTTTCTGTTATTATAGTTAACTATGCATTAATCTATAAACCATTGGTTATTACATTTTACACTACACATCGTTGCTTGTGGCAAACAGGGGAAAATATAGAGTTGATTGCAATAACAGTTTATCAGATGTTTCTTTCAGATTAATTTCAATTTCAGATTTAAATCTTGCTTCGGCTTTTGGAGTTTAAGAGAAATACTCCACATGACGACTTGAGCGCAGCCTTATGTGGTCTGTCCGTACCTATGACAACTCCTGTGATGACCTGATGTGGGAAATGAGCAGCAACGAAGACCCTGGAGAGGCACACACACACCTGCACACACCAGAAGAGCATCCACAGTGAGACACGCACACACCTGGAGGACAGAGACAAGTGTTACTGCTCTGACTACAAGCAGCGCACAGAGGTATTACACAGTGAATGAAGCTGAGGTTGATGATACCATTTCCTGATTTGATGTCCTTCTTTCTTCAGCACTGTGGCGAGGAGTGATGACATCATGGTGTAGTAGACTGCTGCAGCCCCCATGGCATGACCGGACGGACTTCCTGTCCGGGGGAAGTAAACTTCTTAAGAGACAGACCCGTTATACTGAATTAACTCACAAATGATACTCCTAAAGGGTGGTCCTACCTGGCCCCGTCTCACAAGTCATGGGGAACTGCTCTATTATTGGTTGGGAGGAGTTGCCATAGTAACCTGTCTCCTGAACCCACCAATAGGGACGCTCTCCAAACAGAAGCCTTAATAAATTTATTAATTATTAATTTACTTTGTAAATTAATAATATTATAATAATAATGATAAATAATCATCATCATCATGCCCGTTCCACTTCTCACCATTTCAGCACCAGATTGACCCAGTCTCCCACTACTGCCACCCACACCAGTTTGATGGCTTCAGCTTGCTGTACATGGAACCATATTGGGAACAACAGGAAGAAGGTGTTGCGGAGGTCTGTTGCCATGGACACTGAGAGGAAGTAGCCCTGGCTGTGGCTGAAGTGGGTCTGCAGGTAGTACGTGCTGCTCACACCGGAGCTGTAGAGCAAGTCCATTACCACTGCAAGAGAAGAGGGTGGCCAAAGGTGTGACGCTGCTGTCTGTGTGTGGTGTGTGTTTCTAAATTCACTTACAGAAAGTGTTGTCAGAGAGCATGCAAGCTTTTCTCTGAAAACGACACGATGAGAGCGCTGAGAGTGAACCAGAAGAACTGAAACCCCCCAAAACTCTTGAACCTGAGGGGAGCTGCAGATTCAGCTGAGGAGTCCCTTTTCACATTGTCCTTTGATACATTCTTGTTAGTTAAAAAAAAATGGATTATAGCTACTTTAAGGACTACCAGAAAGTTTTAGGAACATTGACTTCTATTAGCGTCTATCAGTACTAAGTAGCTTAGTTCTCCTGCACAGCACCAGGATCAGCTGGTCATGTTATAGTTAAGTTACTATCAATCAGATAGTTTTGTGATGCTTTTCCACACATGTTTTGACTGAGGTTTAACTGAGGCACACGTGACACCTTTTAAAAGGTCAGTTTTTTATAGGTTGAGTACACTCTTGCATTGGTTTAACACCTGTGATAGTGTTGTTTTCACAAGATCATACACGGTGAAAGAATTGTACTTCCTGCTGTAGAAATCTGCCCTCACACTGAACTCCATCACCTAAACGTCAGTTAAACCTCAGCTAAACCTGGTTCATGGCAGGTTTAAGTTAAACCCCAGTTTAATGACCTCTAATGACATTTAGGTATTTCTACAGGACATCTGTGTTTACACTGAACCACAGAGGCAGAGTTTGATCTTCAGCTTCCACACAACAATGAGTTTTAAAAAGACCACTGGTCCACACAGACGACACAGATTCAGACTGGTCTTAAAACCTTAAACAGTTGATCTACAGACAGAGAAACCTCATACGGCAATATAATGTTTATATAGTAAAAAGTCAATATTACCAAACATGTAGGCTATGAGTAGACAAAACCATACTTACAGAATCTTACAGAACGAGATCACAGCACACCTCTAGGGCTGCTATAAACAGCAGTTTTATCCCTGCAGCCAGTGATGTGTGTGTGTTCATGTGTATGAGTCCTTAATTTAAATAGTCTCACAGGTGTCTGCTGAGATGCCCAATGACGGCTGAGATGTCTTTTAATGTTACGTGCGTTTAAAGCCTGTGTGTACCTGGTCACAGAGTGTTTTAATACGATGTAGTATTTGTTTAAGTATTCGCAAAAATCTAAAGTGGATCAGTGTGTGCAGGGTTTGCTGGTGTCTCTGATGGGTCAGAAGTGTGTGTGTGGCTGAGTGTTGCTAGTCAGACACAGTCTCTTTTATATTCAGACATCTGGTCCTCAGGCTCGGACTTTGGACTGGAGGGAGAGAGGGCCAACAGAAGGGGAGGGGGGGGCAGATAGAGGCAGGGAAAGAAGAGGTTTGATATAATGAGTAAACATGCCATTACGGTTTTAGCACGCATTTGGAGAGTGGTGTCTTTTCTTTTCTTTTCTTATCTTTTTTTTTTTTTTACATTTCTTAAACCAAAAAAACAAGTTCAAAATTGTAAGGAGTGGATTAAATAGTGTGTTTGCCTGCTCTAACTGCAATCATTAGCATGTCTGGCATGCCCCACCACTCACAGTAGGCTACTAACTGAGTATTAATTCCAAGGCCAAGAACCAGAATCAGGTTTATTGCCAGATACAACAAAGAATTTGCCATGAGAGTCAGTGACAGTGGGAACCCCTGGCCTTGTTGAGGAGGCTCACTGCAGACAGAAAGAAAGTGTTCTTGTGGCGTGAGGTTTTGGTCCTGATGGACAGCTGTCTCCTGCCAGAAGGGAGTACCTGAAACAGTTTGTGTCTGTGGTGGGAGGGATCCACCACATTCTTTCCTGCATGCCTCAGAGTCCTGGAAGATTGCAATCAATCACCTTCTCAGCAGAGTGAATGATACACTGCAGATGGTGATGGAGGAGGTGAGGATGGACTCAATGATGGCAGCGTAGAAGTGCACCATTATTGTCTTTGGCAGGTTGGACTTTTTCAGCTGCCGCAGGAAGTACATCCTCTGCTGAGCACGTCATTTACGAAATACTTTAGTTTGTGGGTTACAAAATCTGTGTTAGTGAGCACTTCTCCTTTGCCGAGATAATCCATCCACCTACCAGGTGTGGCATATCAAGATGCTGATCAGACAGCATGGGGATTGCACAGGTGTGCTTTAGGCTGGCCACAATAAAAGGCCACTCAAAAATGTGCAGTTCCACTGTATTGAGGGGGTCCAGAAACCAGTCAGTATCTGGTGTGTATTCCCCCCCCTCCAAAGAGGATAAAAACTCAACTTCAAACAGCGCAAAGTAAACTAGTCAGGTTGGTCTTAAACCTCAACAACAGGACTCAAGTAATTAATATGGCTGACGCTGAAAACAGGGTGAGGCAGCTGAAACTGAGATTAACACGATCTTGCATAGGAATGAGCCAAGGTATTTTAAAGATTATTTTTAGCCTGTAATTAATAGCTCATAGCTATTCAACTAGAAGCAGTGCCATTGGGGTGTACGAACAATAATGTTGCGATGATGTGTTGAGAGGAAACCCGCTTGACACTGTTCTTGATCAGAAAAGTTTATTACATCAAAGAGTTCAGCATCAAATACAAGCTCTGCAGCAGCTTGGAGAGTGACCCAGCCCGATGGCCACTCTGTCTCTCTGTACATCAAACATAGCTTATATAGGACATGTTTAGGTATCTGTTAGGTACCATAGCAGGGTTTGAGTCTGCAAAATAAAAGGTCAAACCCATAGAAGGGTACAGTACTATTCGGAAGTAACAAAACAAGGGGTTAGAAGTCAAATTCTATAGAAGGGTTCAGTCCCTACATAACCACCAATCACTGCTCTCCCCGTAGAAGGTCACTGACCCTCTGTCCTGCTGCTACAGTGCTATTTTGAACTGTTATGAGTCAAATGCACAAATATTGGATACTACACCATTTACACAGTACCCTGTAGATTTAACAAAACACCTTTTTGTCCACTGCAGCATCGGAATGGAACAAATTTAAAGTTGAGATTTAAAATGCGTCTACAAAACAAGGGTAAATTTTGCTTTTAAAAGCAACCACGATTGCCGCTTTGTTACATTAATAATAATAAAAACAATAAAGTAGACTTTTATAGCGCTTTTCAAAGAATTGCTTACAGGGAGAAAAAAAGTAGTTTGTTAAAAATGTAGGGGAGAACAGGGAACCATACAAAAAGGTGTGTAAGCTAACCAGCCAAACCTGCCACGCTGGATTGCCATTCTAAGCTCACTTTTGTTTATGATTATTATTATTAAAAAAGCTAGGTGTTTGTGTTGCAGTTGTAAGACATTAGCTGTCAGGTTATGTAGTTGTTTTCTTCTTCTGACAGACAGACGTTGTGCCTGAGGAACATGTTAGGGAAGCAGCTTGAGACTGACTGACTGCTGTTCAAAGAGGATAACACTAAGAGAGGTGTTCTGTGCATATCAATATCTAAACAATTTGATTTGTTGAAAATATATGTAATTCTTCTCTTTATTCAGTATACACTTAAATTAGAGAGTGCAAGTCTATCATTTTAAGACAAGATATATAATCAATACAAGCAAGAGAATGTGTTAGAAAAACAGAATATGAGGGGTTAACAGTGAGGCTGCTGTCGTTTTCATGTTGACGAGCTCTGGGTGTGACACACTGTTCCAGTTCCCGGCCACAAGTTTCCCCTCTGACATGTCCTGATTTACCACATGGCTGAGGAGGAACGCACGTAGGCATGCATGTCCACGTGTAAACACATCTGCCAGTCCACAAACACATGCATGGATACACACAAACAGTCTGACGGAGCATCCCCTACACATCCCCACTCCACTCCACCTGCCTGACTCCCCAGCAGGCTCTTTCTATTCTCATTCTTTTCTTTACAGCCCTTCTATTTTACTCTTTACTGCTGCAACTTCTTTCTCACAGTCTACAGACTTTGTTCTCTTTTTCTCAACTTTTACAGATCAGTTCATCAAAACTTTTCTTTTTTTTTAAAACAGAAACACAGTAACAATATATCTTTCTGGAAGCAAGGTTCCAGTTACTCTGAACAATTTAATTCTCAATAACAACTATATTCTCAATGAAACAACCACAAAAAGATGATTTACAAATGTATTTGACAATTTGCGTTCTTATATTTATCTATTTGGTGGCTGTCTTCGTGAATGGCATGAAGATATTTGATTTACTGATACAGATCTTTGAAACTTTCAGATTTTATTGGAACTAACTCTCAATGTCATTTCAGCATTGTACTGTGTGGCCACACCTCTGGACAGACTCTTCTTGAAGACATTTGTGGTGTTGCACTGTGGCGTGTACAAACAAAAAAATGAGAGAAGTAGAGTCTAGCTAGCTCTGAGGTGCTTTGAGTTAAATGCTAACTGTTGCATGGCAACATAATGACAATGACAAAGCCAACACGCTGAGGGGAACATGGATATCTGAACCAAATCACATGGCAATACATGCAGTTCACTCAGAACCACTAAAGTCAACTTCATGGTAGCGCTAGAGGGAAAGTCAGGGACTTTAGTCACTTGAGGGAAACATGAATGCAAATGTCATGTCAATCCATCCAAAACTGCCTGTTTGTGCGTATTCAATACGTACCTAGGAACCTTTTTCAAGCCCTGGTTTCTAGTTTATGCCTGTTGTTGCTAATTTGCATCATACCTACATCATACCTGAATTTATATCTTTTCAATGTTCTATAGACAAATTAACAGTTTTAACTTAATTTAACATCAGCTTGGAAGCAACTGAAAACACAAATAATTTTTAATTTTTTTCTATTGTAAAACAATTCAGGCGTCAAGGGGTTAAGCGTTTCATGTGAAATTGTTGTCAAATGTGAAATCTTAAATCTTATATATCCTTTTGTTGTTTTAATCTTGACAATTACAGATTACAGCTCAAGGAAATCAAAAAGCCATATCTCAAAATATTTAACTATTAGAATAAAGAATGTATAATACAGAAAGCTAGACCTTCTATAAAGTTGAAAACTTAAACTTAATTTATGCATTCTGTACTTGGTCGGGGCTCCTTCTGCATGAATTACTGCATCACAGTGGCATGGCATGGGGGCAATCAGCCCGTAGCACTGCTGAAGTTCAGCTCGTCTGTATTGTTGGATCTGGTGTGTCTCTCTATGGTGTTCAGGTCAGGCGAGTTGGCTGCCCAACAAAGCGCAGTAACACCATGGTCAGCAAACCAGTTACTTGTGGTTTTGGCGGTGTGGGCAGGTGGCAAGTCCTGCTGGAAAAGGAAATCAGCATCTCCATAAAAATCTCCTGGTAGTTGCTGCATTGGCTCTGGACTTAAAAAATAGTGGACCAACACCAGCAGAGGATATGGCCCCCAAATCATCACTGACTAGACTTCAAGCCACTTGGATTCTGGTCCTCTCCACTCGTCCTCCAGATTCTGGAACCATGATTTGCAAATTCAATTCAATTCAGTTCAATTCAATTTTATTTATATAGCGCAACAACAGTTATCTCAGAGCGCTTTTTTGGGATGAGGTTGCATACAGAGGGAGAGAAAGTAGAGGAGAGAGGAGCTCAGTGCATCATGGGAAATCCCCCGGCAGTCTAGGCCTATAGCAGCATAACTAAGGGATGGTTCAGGACTCACCTGAGCCAGCCCTAACTATAAGCTTTATCAAAGAGGAAAGTCTTAAGCCTACTCTTAAATGTGGAGATGGTGTCTGCCTCCTGAACCCAAACTGGAACCTGGTTCCACAGGAGAGGAGCTTGATAGCTGAACGCTCTGGCTCCTAGTCTACTTTTGGAGACTCTAGGAACCACAAGTAACCCTGCATTCTGGGAGCGCAGTGCTCTGGTGGGGTAGTAAGGTACTATGGGCTCTTTAAGATAAGATGGTGCCTGACCATTAAGAGCTTTGTAGGTAGAAGAATGATTTTAAATTCTATTCTGGATTTTACAGGAAGCCAATGCAGAAAAGCTAAGACAGGAGAAATAAGATCTCCTTTCCTGGTTCCTGTCAGAACACGTGCTGCAGCATTCTGGATCAGCTGAAGAGTCTTAACGGACTTTTTCGAGCAGCCTGATAATAAGGAATTGCAGTAATCCAGCCTAGAAGTAACAAATGCATGGACTAGTTTTTCTGCATCATTTATAGACAGGATGTTCCTGATTTTTACAATATTATGTAGGTGAAATAAGGCCTTCTTGTGTAGGGGGTCAGTGAGTGTCTTCTGGACAACTGT